CAGCTGTTCTTCCACCAACACTGACAGTGAATCCATCAGTGATCACAGAGACAGACTCAGTCACACTGAACTGTCAGACTCCATCATCTGTTTCTATGTCTGAGTGTTATTTCCGCACTGTAAGAGGAGGACCTGCCAAAAGGTTCTCTTGTCTGCAGAAACTGACAGGAACCGAACTGCTGAAGATTACAAATCAAAGTTCACCTGCTGAGGTTAAAGTGACATGTTTTTACCTTTACGTGTCTTCATCTCCTGACAGTGACGTGTCCTCCATCATCATTCGAAGTGAGTAAACACTGCTACTATGGAGTATTATTTTAAAATCTTGCTATAGTATCAACACACAGGGTTAGTGAGGTCCAGATTTTCAATTTTTTAAATAGAGCCTATTTATGGAAATTTATACCAAAATAACACGGTCCTCCCACTAGAAATGTTTTAGCAATTAACACTTCATTTCCTGCATTCTGGTGAAATTTTCTGCACCAATGTCTGCATTTTCTGGTGGAAATGTTTTTATTCATGTAAATTCAGGCGGCAGGTGACAATACAAAATATAAATATAATGTAATATTATGCAGTAAGGCTCTCAGGCATTTTGTAATTGCTTTCAGATATGTATTCTCCTGTAGATCAACATTTTTTATTTAATATCATCTCTGCTGAGTCAGCACACATGCAGGCATGATTTAGTCTTCCCTCGCCTTTGTTTTGTTTCAGAGAACGGAAAATTCGGCCAAGAAGTCAAGAAGTTGTTAAATTTCCTGAGCGGTGCATGCATTTTATAAGCAGTAGTATTTGTTTTTCTAGCTTAGGTTACTTTTTTTTGGCAAACATTTTCTGCACCATTTTATGGCATTTGTCTTTATTTATATGGCAACACAAAATTCAGGTGGCTCGTGACAATTCAAAATATAAAAATATAATGGAATATAATGCAGTAATCAGTAGCTTTTTTGCTGCTTAAGTTACTTTCTTGGACAATGCACATTTGTTTCTTATATTTTAATTGCATTGCATGTTTTCTTATTGTGCAAATAGGCTAAAACTTTCTAAAGGCATTTTCATTTGTCTTTTAACATTTCTTGTTGCAAGGTAATTTTCAAAACATTTTTTACAAATGCTTTTGAAAGTGATGGGGACAGAATCAGCCATTTCAAAAAGTGGTGGATGTCTCCATCCTCCCCAGTGGAGATGATACCCTTTGGGCTAAATATATCTGAAATGTAGCCTATAACTGTCATCACATAGCCTACTGTTGGAATTACATGTGCGGACTAATTAATGGGCACTATTGTTACTATTTGACAACAGTAAAAATACAGCAGGTTAGTGAATTCAGAGGATGCATTGGTTGATATTACAGCCTACTAATATGACATCAGCAGCTGTTTGCACTCATTTTGTAATGATTGTAGGAGCTAGGCTGCTGTCAGTCATTTAAACGTTTCCACAGCTATATCCTGGGACATTTAAGCAGCAAAAAAAAAATTAAAAAATGAAGTTAAGAAATTGACAGGACAGATAGAGGAAACTCTACAGAGGAAACAGAATTGAACTTTTAGCCTGTGAAATGTTTAGATGCTCTAATGGATCTCAGAATTGATCAGGAGGATGGCTGCTGATACTCCAGACAGTTTCACTGTATGAACCTGGAGTGTGTGTGAGACCTTTTGGATGTGTGGAAAACACAACATATTATTATTAACATTAGATCCTGATAATCCTGTCAGCTTGTCGGGAGATTTTAATATTAAGTTAGGCTGCTGTGCCTCGTGCATAAATGCGCACAGCGTCTCTCTTCATGGGGAGTTTCTTCACCCTATTAAATTCGCTATTTATCGCCCATAACTCTGCCCGAAAACAGTGGTGCTCTCAGTTATTGCGCACACAGCATTTCCACGTGCTTCCTGTGTTTCCCCTAGTCTGGTCAGTGATGGGGAAACAGTTTTTCAGCTTGAAATGAGGGTTACAACAAAGTAATCAGCTGCGCCCTCATGGTCCTAAAGCCTTCATTAATTTGAGCTTGTTGTCAACTGTTTTTATTGGAGTTTTTTTTTTAATATGCTGTAGCCTACATATAGGCTAATTACAGATGTCCAGACCTCGGTGACCTCATTGCTGGTTATATGGCCATGTCAGCACAAACAGCTCACAACATGGGATCAAGTCTTCCGAGGAAGCGTTAGACGGTTTTCAATGAGCATCAGATTGAATCATTTGTAATACATCTAAAACATACAGCCTCATCCTCTACTGTTATAAATGTATGTAGAATTATTTGAAATTAATTCAATCTGTAGTCCAACATGTGCTTATATTCTCAGCATCTCTTCTGCCTAAACTGACTGTGAATCCACCGATAATCACAGAGACAGAGTCAGTCACAATGAACTGTCAGACTCCATCGTCTGTTTCTGAGTCTCAGTGTTTTTTCTACACGTTAAGTGGAGGAACTGTCAGTGACTCCTCTTGTCTGAAGATACTGACAGGAACTGAGCTGCTGAAGATGGCAAATCAGAGTTCACCTGCTGAGGTTAAAGTGTTGTGTTTTTACACTGTAAAGCTTGGAGAGTTAGATTCTCCATCTCTACACAGTGACACATCCTCCATCACCATACACAGTGAGTGACTGTTTCTCCTATCTGATAGTAACATGTTATGATACAGTATCAGCACAAGAAAAGTGGTGTGTTTAAGATTTTAATTTGTAAATAAAGGAAGAAAGATTTTAACAACCTCCAATTAAAATGCTACCCGTAGGTGAAGGAGATACAGATATGCTTTTTGTTTTTGTATTTTATTTGTTAAACAAGATGTGTGTGGTGTTGGACATTGTCAGCACTGTTTGAAATCACTACCCCATACTTACTGCCCAGCTTACAGTCTACTTGATAGCAGGATAGAGCATTATATTTAACGAATTTCCAACATTCAACATATTTGCAGGTCAAACACCACAGTTGACTCTTCAGCATTTTCCTGGTGACCATGTTCTCTTTGCTTGCTCTCTGCCTGGATCTGCTAATCACGATACGAGATGTAACCTGTACTTTGGAGAAGCAAGTCATCCAGTCATAACAACCACCATCGGGAGGAAAAGAGACCCAAAAACCAATCAGTGGTTCTGCCAGTTTACTGTCACAATTGATGATTTGCTGAGTCGTCTTCGTTTACTTCAACAAAGTGATGCCAGCTGTGATTACAGTTTGGGAAGTGAACCCAACTCTTTGTCTCCTCGTAGTGATGGATACAGCTTGATTGGTGAGTCAGAGACCTGAACACACACACTACAATGGTGACATCTGAATAAAAATATAGTTTATTAGTGTACTCACTGTATGGGCTACTTATACAACATATAAAAAATACAAATGCACAGATAAGCAGGCTGTCCCATGCAGTTTTCGACCTAAATGTTTACCTATTTATATTTGTTTTCTACATATTTATAATTTATTGTATTTATTTTTTAAAAGTTTATGGGGTCTTTGTCTTTGTACTCACCAGCTCTGACTGTTGTAGATATTGTAGAAAGAGAGTCAACCACGAGACAGACAAAGTCAACATTTTTTGTGACCACAGGTAGGACCTTTTATACATTAAGGTATTGTCATACCTACCTACCTATTGTCATTGCAGACTTAAGTGATGGTTGCTAATTGGTTACTCTGACAGTGTGCGATGGGTATTCAGTTGCTTATGTACATGAATGTAGTTGCTTGCAGATGAAGTCAACATAAATGTTATTATGTTTTTGTGTCTTCAAGAAACACATACATATCCAACGAAGGTTGAAATCAAGGGCAACTGGACTTGGTTTAAGCCTGTTTTCACAAAGGTCCATTTAGGGTATCCACAGGCTGTAAGTGCCCCCTTCAGGTGGTTCTGTTCCTTCTCTCTGGCTTGGGCGCTTGTTGGTATGTTTTCCGCTCTGTGGTGCAGTGTTTGTGAAAACAGCCACAAGATCCATGAAGAACAAAACTACAGGGGAGGAGGAAAAGAAGGTCAAACGCAACAACATTATGATTCCATATGTGTCTGGAGTATCAGAGAAACTCAGGAGGATTTTCAACAAACATAACATCCCTGTGTTTTTTAAACCCAAGAACACACTAATACAGATGCTGGTACACCCCAAAGACCGCACACCCAGACACAAGAAAAGCAATCTAGTGTATGCGGTCCAATGCAGTGAGGAATGCACAGACCTGTATATTGGGGAGACTAAACAACCACTACACAAACGCATGGCTCAACACAGAAGGGCCAACTCCTCAGGTCAAGACTCAGCAGTCTACTTACATCTGAAGGACAGAGGACACTCGTTTGAGGACCACGAGGTGCACATTTTAGACAGAGAAGATGGATGGTTTGAAAGAGGTGTCAAGGAAGCCATCTACACCAGGGTCGAGAAGCCGTCATTGAACAGGGGAGGGGGTCTACTCCACCACTTATCCCCCACTTACAATGCTGTCTTTTCATCACTTCCCAGGAAACTCAACAAACGTAACCCATTGGCCTCAGGTGAAGATACCAACGATGGTCGTTCAGTCTTGGCCACCGGTAGTCTTAACGACTGTAACGACTGTCGTCACAGCAACAAGGAACACTAACGAACCAGCGGTATCGATGACCCGGGCCAACGACCCCACTGAGGTTAAATAGCTGAGTTTCCCTGCCAGTCAGTCAGAACTGAAGAAGTCCTTTGGATGAGGGACGAAACGTCTTCCAGTATCTTCAACCAAGTCCAGTTGCCCTTGATTTCAACCTTCGTTGGATAACTATGACCTGGATGACTGAGAATCTTCATAGACATCGAAACACATACATGTTTCAGTGTATTCAGTATTTTGAAATATACTTCTGTTGATTCACCAGGTTGGACTGTTGGTACGCCAAGTAACACTGGTGGTTCCACTTCTACTTCTCTAACACCAGAGAAACCAACATTAGGTGACGGAATTATTCTGTTTTTCAGTGATTCACACTGACTCATCAGAAAATGAATGAATTACAAAAGTAATTAACCGCAGATTTAAGTGATGGTTGCTAATTGGTTACTCTGACAGTGTAAGATGGATATTCAGTTGCTTATGTACATGAATGTAGTTGCTTACAAATGAAGTCAACATAAATGTTATTATATTTTTGTGTCTTCAAGAAACAGACTCTAGGATGACTCCATTGAATCTGGAATCTGGAGGTATATGGAAAATGTGGATAAGGATTTTATAGTTTATAGTAGTTGCAGCTTGTTGTGGATTAACTGTGGGTGTCTTGCTGGTTTCTGCAATTCTGTGGAACAAAAGAAGAGCTGGTGAGAACTATATTGACTTGTTTGTCTAATAAAGTCAGAATCTGCTTTTTCATATGGATGTTTACACACATAATGTTTAAATTTAAATTATTACACTTAAAGTGTAGAATTTCATGACAAAAATCTTTCCATCATTTTTGAAAATGTTGTTTCAAATGATTAAATATACAGTATCTAAGGTCTTGAAGTTGCATTTTCACAATCATTGCATCTTAAGAGTTACTTAAAACTACCAACAAAGCTACTATCAGCAGAGACACTAGTCAAGGAATAGGCCATTTATAACAAATGTTTAAATATTTAGATTTAGCAAAAAGTTTGTTCTTTTAGAAGGAGCTCTTGAAGATTCCAACACCATTACATTTCAGTAAAATCAACCTAAAATACCTACAATATAGCACATAGAGAGGAGGTTGGTTAAATGATCTGCAGTAGCAAATGTCATTGGCATGAGAGTATCAGCAGAACCTCAGTGAGAAGTTTCGGGTTATAACGGCTGCAATTATAGCCACACCGCTGGTGACAGATCCAGAAGCATGATTGAAACAGGTGATGCCAGTCAGCGAATCCAAGCTGCATTAAGATGGTCCACAGAGTCGTCCTGTACTCATATTCTGGTTTGGATCTTAAAAGCCATTTGCAGTTTCCAGAAAACATTCCACCCAACTTTATATTTTTTTCAGTTGAGTTCACTTCACTCATGTCTACGAAAATAAATATATATTTTTACTCACCAGCTCTGACTATTAGCAGGCCTCGTGCTTCCTCTCTGGTAACACCTGTAGAACTAACACCAGGTAACAAAATAACAGAAACATTATATCAAGTGTGACGTTAGTTAATTACAAATTATACATGTATCAGTGTATTCAGTAGTTTGAAATATACTTCTGTTGATTCACCAGGTTGGACTGTTGGTACGCCAAGTAATACTGGTGGTTCCACTTCTACTTCTCTAACACCAGAAAAACCAACATCAGGTGACATGATTATTCTGTGTATGCTCAGTGATTTACTCTGACTCATCAGAAAATGTTGATTATACAATATATTCACGTTTGTAAAAAGTGATTACTCTGAATTTCAGTCCAAGTGCAGACTGAAGCAATGGTTGATTGGTTACTCTGAAAGTGTGAGATGATGTGCAGTCGCTTATGCGTATGTGAAGTTAGCCTTCCTAGTGTGCAGATGTTAGCCTGCATTGTTCAAGTAAAATCAAATTGTTATCAGCATATGACATCGCTGTGCTGCTTAATATCTGTACTCCTAGTACAAAACAAGACAACATTAAGGTTAATGTGTTTTTGTGCCTTGAAGAAACAGACTCTTCACTACTGATGGTTAAAATACTGTAGTTATGGACAGTACATGTCTTCCTGCTTGTTGATGTTGTGAGTAGCAGTACTGACACATGTTTATGTATATGTTGTTTCAAAGCAGAAAAGTGGATATGGAAGTTTGTAGTAGTTGCAGCTGGTTGTGGAGTAATTGTGGGCATCATCTTGTTGGTTTCTGCAGTTCTCTGGAACAAAAGAAGAGTTGGTGAGAACTATGTTGACATGTTTCTCTGATAAAGTCAAAAGTGTAGAATTTCATGAAAAAAATATTTCAATCATTTTTTCATCTAATTATTAAATGTACGGTACATAAGCTCTAGAGCTCTTGCATTTTCACAACAATTGCATCTTAAGATTTACTGTAGAGGGTTTAATAACTACCAAAAAAGCTGCTGTTATCACAGACACTAGTCAAGGAATTGGCCATTTATAGGAAATGTTTATATTGGCTAGTTAGATTTAGGATCTTAGATAAGATTTAGATTAAAAGGGTTGTGCTCTAAGAGGGGGCTTTTAAAGAATCCAACATCATTACATTTCAGTTAAAATACCTAAAATATACTGCGTACAGATGAGGTTGGTGAAAGGAGCAGCAGCATCACACGTTAAAACCAACAGCCTGCATAAAGCAAATGTGGACCTGCATCTCAAACTGAAAGTAAACCACATGTGTGGTAAAGCACCACTGCGCTGAGACAAAAATAATCTTCTTTGCTTGACTCTGACACTGTTGAGCAAAATATTGTTTAAGAAGAGATGGTATAGACTTATTATTTTGTTTTGGCTTACAGATTAGCTTGAAAGTGTAATACTGTCCAAGATACACACAATTATGACAATCATATCTTGGCCATCAAATTATTGAATACTGTCAGCTGGACTGAAGACTTATTTTTATTCAGAGAAACATATTATTTGATATACAGAGTGTGCAAAAAAAACTCTTAAGAAACAATCATCTTACTGTGTGTCTTTTTCTAGCAGGTTCTGAGGAAGTGAAAAAGCAAGAGCCTCAAAATGAGAATGTGAGTGAATGAGGGACCATACATTTAACACAGTTGTCAAATATATTAATATATGTTACACTTGTTTTTTTCTTTTCCCAGTCTGACACATACCATTTGTACTGCACCATCTCTGAGGAGCCAGTTGTTTTATCCCTGAAGGGTATAGTGTACAGCACCACACAGCCACACTGAAACACGTACTGTTTTATACTGTAAAGTGAAAGAGAAAGCAGACAGCCTAAAGAACTGTTGGAAATGTAAATTGCTTTAAACTTGACTAGTTACTGTAATTGCTTTGTCATGTGATTTCTGTTTAATGTTGATCTTATTTTTTGTAACTGGATATAGACTTCTGTGACTATGCACTATAAATAATAATCTACATGCATTTACAACTTACTTCTACTGCAGATACACTGTTTATTTTTCATATCATCAAGATTATCATCATCGGTGTGTGACTGTCCTCTATGTAGGGTCTAGGTGTGTCCCTGACTAAGGATTTATGTAGTTGGATACGAATTGTTAAGGAATGCCTATAGGTGACTAATCATCGAATCATGCGGTGTCTTAAGCCCTCCAAAATAATAAAAAGAAAAACAATAATTAGATTTAGCATGGATGCTGTTAGGCCTATTTTAGGGGGGCTGAATATTTTATGTATTCTAGGCTATACATGAGCATATACCCACAGAGATATACACACATGGAAATATAATAAAATTAAAGTAATCATAATACGTGCATTCATACAGTAATCGTTACTCCAAATCAGAAAAAAGTGATTTAGTGCCATGTGTAAAAGGCCTGCTATAAACAGCAGTGCTATAGAAAAAAAAGGCTATTCAAAATGCTACTGCAAGCAGGTAACAGATATTACCTTTCTAAACCAACAGCTAGGCCTGAAACATCTGCATCAGTGCCTGTTTTATTGAGGCAAGATCACAACATCCTGACAGACACAAATCGAATTGCTGTGTAATGTTCCAATAAAATAAAGCCATACAAATAGCATAAAGAGTAGCAGCACATAAAAGCACAAGTGCTATATCTAAGTTTGGAAACACTGATTGTAGTTTCTGTCCTCTTATAAGTTGCAGAAGTGACCTTGCTGAGGTGTCTTCATTTCTTTAAAAAATTCTCTGATTTGTCCAATTTCGTCACAAAATCGTCCACCAGATCACCTGCATATTTCTTCTGGAGATTAGCCTCTTGTGTATGAAGTTCTTGTACGGAGATAGATGGAATGTTGTTCAAAAATAAAAATGTCTGCTGAATACCTTTGTAGGAGTATTACCTTTGTTCTGCAACAAGTTGATGTATGACAGGGATAAAAACAGATGCTTTGAACTTGTCTCGGCCTGATTGCTCACACTCCAGTTCAGCAGATTCATCTGCCTGTTTTTTGTTTTTTCTGTGCCTCTGTGTGTCCGCTTTGTGGTGTTACTTGGGACAAAGTTGGAGACATGTTTTTTAATTCAATCTCAAAGTTGTCAAAATCTTCACGTAGGCTGGCCACATAATCCCCCAATGAGCTGATCAAATAAACAGCATTACATAAATTGCCTGTAACTGCCTGTAGAGCCATACTTGTCTTGTGAAAACATTGCAGGATTTTGTTCCACATTTACACAGTAAGGCACTCTCTAGTTTTTCCATTTTCGCGTCCTGCCTTCATCCCTAGCATTAAGTTTTTGGTTTGAGTCATCACCTAACTTTTGCAGTGACTTTTGAATTGAGTTTGTTGCTAGCGCGTGTCCTGACCAACTAGTACCTGAAAGACTTTTCAAAGTCTCTCTTCTGTGGTTGTCATTAGGCTCTAAACCTGCTTTAATTGTCTGGCTGTGGGATGTGGATTTAAAGGGAAATTCCTCTGTCTCAAGGGAGCAGTTAGCACTGTTTAGACCCACTAAACTGACCCTTCGCTAAGCCCCACCCCCCTTAGTTACTGGTGCTAAGTCCGACTGTCGGTGCTGCCACTGTCTATTACTGCACTCCCCGGAGAAATATTGTCAAATCTTTTGGAAAAAGCAATCTCAGAAAGAAGCAGATACAGTAGTTTTGCAGTTGCATTATACATTTGTATTCAGGCTGTCAAACTGATGTGAAAAAAATTAAAGATAGAAGCTAAAACACTGGAGTGGTGGTGGCGCGCATAGATAAGATACTTGTCTTTCACGTTGGAGACCTGGGTTCAATTCCCCCTTGTGAGACATACAGGCATTCAATGTACATAAAGTTGTTACTGTGATGTAGAGACAGAGGTCAATTAAAATTTCAAGACTTTATGGATGAAAGATATTTTTGTTACAGATTAATAACTCACCACTCTGAAACTCTTGCTCCAGCCAAGCTGATCAGCAACATGTACAGCTGAAAATCATATATGCTTCTCATTGACCCGCCCTTCTCTGCTTCTGATTGGCTAGTAGTCCTTAACAAAGATCAGTTAAGAGACAAGATGTATCACTCCATAGCTAAAACGAAGCCTCAACACAGGGTGAAAAGAGGAGCTGCAGCAATGTGCAGTATGAAAAAAAAAAGGTGTTTTTTGAAAATTAAACCATGTAAACCTGTTCTGGTACAACCCCTAAATAATTTGATCAGATTTTGAACCTGAAAATGAGCATAATACCACCTCTTTAGGGATCAACACTGTTCCTGTACAGCTGGGTAGGCCTCTATTCATTATTACAATCATTAAAAAGCAGAACAGTAGGGCTTTATTGCATTACATTCAGTAGGAAGTTAACTAGCGTTCTCTAACTAACATTACATTAGGAACAATCACAGCTGACATTTCTCTGTTTTTTTTAGGTTTTGGATAGAGAATATAAACCGTACTTCTCAGATCAACCTCTCTGGGTAGCGACTGTAACTATTACAAGTTCCCCAGGAACAGTGTTTGACCATATCTTAGAAAAATACGGCCAAAAAAAAGCTAGAAAACGACTTTTTGCATTAGACTCAATGGAGTGCATCCATGAAAGTGTCGGACCTCAGTTAGAGCGAGTCCTATACTGTGCTGTGATTGGCCAGCTGTGTATTCAGGGCGTGGCTCACTTATCCACACTACTGGGTTTTCGAATTAAAACGGAGAAATTTTGCGGCAAAAACGAAGACCTAAAACATAGAAGTTTGGAAACGCTGCTGACCCTGTTTTGCATTTCAAAACTCCACTGTCACCTCACAGCAAGAAGGTCGTGGGTTCAAACCCCGGCCTTTCTGTGTGGAGTTTGCATGTTCTCCCTGTGGGTTCTCTCCGGGTGCTCCGGCTTCCTCCCACCATCCAAAGACATGCGGACTAGGCTGATTGGTGACCCTAAATTGTCCTTAGGTGTGAGTTTGAGCGTGAGTGGTTGTTCGTCTATGTGTGGCCCTGCGATGGACTGGCGACCTGTCCAGGGTGTACCCTGCCTTGCTCCCGATGTCAGCTGGGATTGGCTCCAGCTCCCCCGCGACCCTGTACGCAGGATAAGCGATTGACGATGGATGGATGGATGAACAGGGCAAAACAGAGAACTTTTGAAACGATGACGCAGCTCACGTTCATCTCTCTGATTGGGTTATAAGTCATGCAAAGCAGAAACACAATGCCACTGACCGGGTTTTTGACATGGTATTTTTATTAAAATATTGTGTACCGTGCAAATAACACTTATCTGCCTACACTTGTACTGTGCATGTTGCCGTTTACTTTGCAACGACTCCCTCTGTTTTCTGCCGCCACACTCCCGTGTTACATTCAGTAACAGTCCCAGCTCGTTATTGGTGCATGCAAAAAAAAAAAAACTTCTTTGTCTGTATTCATTTATTTAGTCTGTATTCAAATCTTCTGTAACTAGGAATAGACCATCTGCTTCCTGTTTACGCTGGCCTGCACATGCCCAGTGTACCTAAACGTCATTTTAATGTAGACGGAGATTAACTCCAAAACCCATCTAAAATGCTGGTGTGGACGTAGATCATATTCGTTTTAATTCTGTTTGTAAACTAAAATGGAGTAGTGTAGAAGTATCAGTTGAGTGTGTTTGCAGCACACGGTAACACTCAACCAATGGGTTAATTTGTTTAATGCGTTTTTGCAGGCCACTGTAAATTCCAGACATGTTGGCTGCAATATCTTAGCACTGGCCTCTGCAGTTATTGATCAATGACCATGTTTTGTAAAACACCACGAACAGACTGGTAAAGTGACTCTGACTCAGAAACTTCAGAAAACACTCTGTAATGCAGCAATCAGATGACACATATCACAAAATGAATGTGATCATCATTCAATCAATTCTAAACATGTTGTTGATGAGAGGTATGATGGTGTTCCCCAGCCAGCATTGCTATTCTTTTCTATATGCATTTTCAAAAATGGACCAAACTCACTGATAGCTTCCAGCACACCCATAAAGTTCCCATTATCTGGTTGGCCAAAAACATCACTGCGGCCACCGAAAGGTAGTATTTGCTCTACTAAGAACTTTACCACCTCAACCCTCTTTAAAATCTCAGTCCAATATTCACATTCACTGTCAAATATTTTGTTTTGTTCTAAATTTATAAACCCAGCTTCAGCACAGCATATAACATAAGCGACCATGGCCTATCTGTGACTCTCTGATCCTTCATGTTCTGCCAAGCATGCGGCAACTTAAGATCACAGTCCCCCAGTAATGCACATGCGAAACAAAACATAGTGCCTTTTGAAGGGGAATAAAGCAACTATTCGCTTGGCACAGTTTCACCATTTGCCAATTTCCTTTTAAACAGGGTTTTGGAAAAGTACCTTTTGGTTGTGTTGTCTCTCTGAGGCAGAGACATCTGTGTCTTTGTTCTGATAAATTTCAGGCCTATTTTAAGTGCTTATATGCTCATCAATTTTATCCAAGCATGCAGGATCCAAGCTATATATAGGGGGATTTGTGGACTCTTGTTCCCTCTCTGTAACAACAGGTGAGACCGTCACGGAGGGATTTGTAGCTGCTGGTATATGGCTACTTCCCGGGGTGTTGATGGTGGTACAACATACTAGTGTTTCGGGTGGTTGAAGTGTTGGACCCTCTGTCTCAAACTCCTTATCTGAGTCACAAGATTGTGAGACATGGTTGTGTTCCCGATTGGGTGGTGTCTTTGCCATTGGTAGAGCTAGCTTATAGCCTAAAAGTTCACGTAATGTGCATAATTGGCCATGTGCATGTGCGCCGGAGTCCGTTGCACCTCTCTCATGTCTCATACTGTCTGCGGAACCCGTAACTAGCTCAGGTGAAACCACTTCTGTGATGGAACTCCTTTACTGAGGCTGTGTTCAAAACGGGTAAAAAAGCTATCTCAGAAGGTGTCTAACAGGGCAGCGAGGCATCGAGTGCTGGTTGAAACGGTATTTCGTACATTCTCTCAGACAAGGCTATAAAACGACATCCTTCTTGCACCTTCACTCTTTCCCTTACCATACATTCATCTTTACTGTAACATACACTCACCTAAAGGAATATTAGGAACACCATACTAATACTGTGTTTGACCCCCTTTCGCCTTCAGAACTGCCTTAATTCTACGTAGCATTGATTCAACAAGGTGCTGAAAGCATTCTTTAGAAATGTTGGCCCATATTGATAGGATAGCATCTTGCAGTTGATGGAGATTTGTGGGATGCACATCCAGGGCACGAAGCTCCCGTTCCACCACATCCCAAAGATGCTCTATTGGGTTGAGATCTGGTGACTGTGGGGGCCATTTTAGTACAGTGAACTCATTGTCATGTTCAAGAAACCAGTTTGAAATGATTCAAGCTTTGTGACATGGTGCATTATCCTGCTAGAAGTAGCCATCAGAGGATGGGTACATGGTGGCCATAAAGGGATGGACATGGTCAGAAACAACGCTCAGGTAGGCCGTGGCATTTAAGCGATGCCCAATTGGCACTAAGGGGCCTAAAGTGTGCCAAGAAAACATCCCTCACACCATAACACCACCACCACCAGCCTGCACAGTGGTAACAAGGCATGATGGATCCATGTTCTCATTCTGTTTACGCCAAAATCTGACTCTACCATCTGAATGTCTCAACAGAAATCGAGACTCATCAGACCAGGCAACATATTTCCAGTCTTCAACTGTCCAATTTTGGTGAGCTCTTGCAAATTGTAGCCTCTTTTTCCTATTTGTAGTGGAGATGAGTGGTACCGGGTCTTCTGCTGTTGTAGCCCATCCGCCTCAAGGTTGTGCGTGTTGTGGCTTCACAAATGCTTTGCTGCATACCTCGGTTGTAACGAGTGGTTATTTCAGTCAAAGTTGCTCTTCTATCAGCTCGAATCAGTTGGCCCATTCTCCTCTGACCTCTAGCATCAACAAGGCCTTTTCGCCCACAGGACTGCCGCATACTGGATGTTTTTCCCTTTTCACACCGTTCTTTGTAAACCCTAGAAATGGTTGTGCGTGAAAATCCCAGTAACTGAGCAGATTGTGAAATACTCAGACCGGCCTGTCTGGCACCAACAAGCATGCCACGCTAAAAATTGCTTAAATCACCTTTCTTTCCCATTCTAACATTCAGTTTGGAGTTCAGGAGATTGTCTTGACCAGGACCACACCCCTAAATGCATTGAAGCAACTGCCATGTGATTGGTTGATTAGATAATTGCATTAATGAGAAACTGAACAGGTGTTCCTAATAATCCTTTAGGTGAGTGTATATACATTCAGAATCTTCATTAAGCCTTTAAATGACATGTTGTTGTGGTGTGGTCCTTGCTAGTAAACACTGATGATATGCGTCTGTCCTCCTAGATGATCCTCAGAATATTTCACAAGGATCTTTAGTGATGTTGTTCCAGGGCTCAAAGGTGCTGCTGTAGGTCGTCAATGACTCCGCTCCATACAGCAGGGTGGGGAGGACCACGGCTTTGTAGACCAAGAGTTGTGTTTGGTCTGAGTCTGGCATATGCTCCACTAGCACAGCTCAGGCAATGGTTTACCTCAGAGTCTATTGTCAGCTTTGGAGGAGAGGAGGCTGCCAAGGTAGGGGAAGTGGTCAAAATATTCAAGAGGAATGTGGTTCACGTTTTGAACTATGGGCTGGGTTGATGACTGATTGGGTGTAGGTTGATGTAGGACCTGGGTCTTTTTGGTCTAAATGGCTACACCCAGGGCTCTGAATGCTTCAGCAAAGGCATTCAGCATGCCCCAGAGGTCTTCTGCAGTGTGCTGCGATGGCATTGTCATCTGTTCCATGATGGTAATACAATATATAAAACATATAATAATACCATGCAAAGAATTGCTTTGTGTTTGTCTTTATATTCTGTATAAAATACATGAATATGTCTTTTGTTTTTTCAGTTAATAGTTCTACACAAATTGGCATCACAACCACATTGCCACACACACAAAATAATGACTTACATTTTGTCATCAAAATGAAGTCCCCACAATGTAACTGTGTAAATTGATTTATGTTCCCATGACATAAGTAATACACGCTCACATGTGCATAACCAACACTGCCACCAGGAAAATTGCTCTCCCCGTCTCCACACACACAACCCAGCAGAACTAAACATTAAGGCCATTGCACACATGGCAACCTCAATAGCACAGGACATGACACACTCACTCAATCACCATCTTACCCTGCTGCTCTGAGATGCAGGAGGGCTCACTTTGGGAAAAGCCTGATCCCCTCAGCCATAACCACCTTAAATAAAAGGCCTCGCTGAACTGACCTCAGAGTGCACTGCTGTCTGTCATTGTATGTTGTAACTGTGTGCTGTTGTTATCTGATGTGTAAAGTCAGACACACACACACACACACACACATACAAGGAAATGAGACAAGGGGTAAATGAAGGAAGGAAAATATTTCTTTGTATTTATTCATCAGCTTTCTCAAACATGTGGTGAAGGGTATGTGGTCACTTTGACAAATTATGGCTGGATATATCAATATAACAATCTGTGATCTTCTTCTTCTTCATGCATCTTTTGTCTGAAATGTCTTCTGCTTTAAAACAAGGAGAAACTGGCAGAATAAAACAAGTTCAAATTGTCCATTGTCTCTCATGTATTTTACATGATCCATATTATTACTGACATTAAAGAGAATTATGCTACAAAATAAATGTATGATGATGGCACAGTTAAGTTTTTTTTTAAACAATTTACTGCCAAAAATAGAGACCGTTCTACGTTCTTTTCACATGACAAAAGTGCATTTTACATTCTGCAGGCTTTTACATTAGCCTTAATTTTCCCCCTCACAATACACAAAACAAACTCAATATATATCTGATGTCCTACTATCATCCTTTGTTTTACATTTTATACTTGGACAAGAAACACCTGTACTTCTAGGCATTTGTTTTTACTGTTGACATACTATATTTCTCTCTCTTATTTAATTTCAGCACACATTCATGACAATATGGCAAACAGTCAGTGGCGTGATCTGCAATACTCAAAGTCACCAAGCACTCCCATTATTCTCACTTTCTTTTGCTGCATCACATCATCTGTGTTTTCTGCAATAATGGATGTGAGTCTCAGTGCTACAGATAAAGATTTATTCTTAGTAGAGCGCTGCCTTTTGCAGAGGTATGAGCAAATTCACTTCTGATTGGCAATGTTCTCTGTGTGTTCGTATGCATCTTCTTGTTGATTTAGTCCTTACTGATGTCCTGCTGCTAATGGTCACCTGCTGATGGTTGCTGCTATCATAGGGAGCAGAGCTGCTGTTAGAGGACTGGACAGGCGTGTTGCCGAACCACATTCCATGGCATTTTCCTGCAGAAGACAGTCATTAAATTAAAGATATGTTAAATATTACTGTAACAGGGCAGATACACTTGTTTTATCTGGGAAAGACTGCAGTGGATGCTGACAGATATTAACTGTTGTTGTTGAACAAGTTTTGTCTTATTTTTCGTAGTTAAAATAATTTCGATTGATCATGATGACATAGTACTCACAAAGGTGAACACAGAGATCGGGGAACTCAGCAGCATCGCTACAACAAAGTTCAAAGGGGCAAGTAACGTGAGCGGACAGACGATCAGACTAACAGTTTAGCCAAATTATCTAAACCAGTTTATTTTATTTTAACTGATTGAGCGCAATATTATTATTACCATTTTTTTTTCTCTGAGTGGGTGAGAATTCACTTTACGCCATTTATATCTACATAACCACGGGTCTCCCTTCCATGGATGTCGCCACGTGGCATCGTCATGTTTCTACAGTTGCTGAAAACGGACAAACAGCGTTACAGAGCGCGTTTCGTCACTACATTTTTCTTGTTCTACTTCTGGTAGAATTCAGGCAGTGCAGACACTCATCACTACCTTGAATACGTCAGGCAGGTCAGCAGCTGTTCCACACACCCGCCCAGGTGGTGGCAGTATGCAGTTGGTTTGCCACCCACAATTAAACGCAAAAGAAGAAGATGGTCAGCAGCAGACTTCAAAAAAGGAAATTTATGGCGGGATGTTTACAATAAAACTCCACCATGTTTGGTTTGTTTATGATGTGCAAATTTGGAGGTTGTCAAGGAAGATAATCCAGTGTCAGTGAGGGAAGATCCGGTCCTGGTCCGCCCCCTAGTGGATTCAGGTTTAATCCTCCAGGTACACACAAAGCTGTTTGAGTCGCTGACACCTGTCTAGGCCTACACATTGTTAAAATGCAAGTATATCCAGGGCTTAAGGTGCAAGACTTGCAACCCAAGGGTTGAGTGTTTCATTCAAGTGGGAAGCTTCCGGTCAGCGATTTGAAGTGAACGCGAAGTCCCTTGAACCTGCATTTTATCGTACAGCCAGCAGGGGGTGACTCTTCTGGTTGCAAAAGAAGTCCGTCTCCATTAGAAATAATGGTGAAATTACCCTACTTTTCACCTCAATAATTACCTCAGTAAACATTTTCTCTGGTGAGTACATTTGTTAGGATTGTTGTTCACTAAACAAAGTTATCAGCTCTGTTAAAATGACAGTTAACATGAATTACAGATGCACCTAGCTAAGCAAGCTAGCTAGCACCGCACATGGCCGTTAGCTCAACTGTCTTGTCCAAATACGGTCACGTCCGGTGCCGCTGGTTACAAATACTCAACATGGCGGCGCTCTATCAGCCAAAGCAGAGGCTTCAAAACCGCAGTCCACAAACCAACGGGTGACATCACGATGACTATGTCCATTTCTTATATACAGTCTATGGTTTCATCCCAACTCGGAACAATTTTTTTTTCTCTCTTCAGCAATGGATTCTGCAGCAAATGTTCCTCAAATCACGGCATGTGCTGCACTGTTTTTGTTTCGGTGTTTGATTCACATCCATCAACCTACGGTCACTTTTTCATATACCCCAGTATCTCCAGGCAGAGGACATTTAGGGGAATTACGTTTCCTGACGACTCATTCAGAGGTGTGCCAAGCAGGCTACAGACTTTTAATGTCGTTCAGAATTTTTCAAAGTAAAAGCTCAGTTCAACTCCAAATACAGCATATCAGTGAACAAGCTTCTCATGGTTTATTTTGTAGGCTAAACAACTAAAGAGCAAGTAATCATGTGAGTAATTGTTGCTGTCATGACTGAGATCTATTTCATCATCGCATCATATTTAGATTTTTTGTCACTATCAAAGCACCATAATCTGGCAGCGGGCTAGAAATTATTGTTGACGGGCAGTATTGGCGAGGATATATAATCACAGAGAGAATTAGTTTGTTTCCCTTGTTAATGCATAAACTTTATCTATTATGTGGTTTATAATGGACTGTGGTGCAGAAACTTTTTCACATTCTTGGCTTACATTTTCCATGTTATCTGTCAGTGGCCAAGTCACACTAAAATATGGTTTTACTGAATAATTAAGTAAATATAATTTCTTAATAAATATACCTAAAGAAACCTCATTTCTTGACTGGCCACTCTTTGCTGTCTCAGAAGAGACTGTACTGTGTCAGCCACCATAGCTGTCCTACGCTCTTTGAAAGGTTAGGGGGCAGGGGTAGACTGGACAGATGGTTGCAATTCACAACCCTCACCACTAGATGCCACTAAAGTAGACAACTTGCTCCATGATTGATATTATGTCTCATAGACTGATCTGCAGAATTTATAGAGTTCCTTGTGAAATTTATATGTTCCTGAAAAACTTTGTTTCATTACAAGTGATTAGGATGAAGCTGAGATTTGACCCTAATAATTAGCAAGTCTGACGTAAACAAAAACAGACCTTGATTTAGTTACTAGTCTAACTCTCAAGACAGTGACTGTACAGTATAATATAATTAAAGAAATTACTTAGCATTCGGGAAACAGCCTTACTCGCTTTCTTGCCCAGGGTTTGTACGGTAAATATGGAGTGAACATCTAGCCTGTCTCTGTCCAAAGGTATAAATATCAGCCTGTTAGCACTTCTTGTGTGTTTAATTTATATAAAACCCAACATGAAAAAACATCAACTTGCGTTATTATGAGTGATTATGTGCTGGACTATTTCTTGGCCTGGATCACTGACTTGCTGTCACCATCTGGTTGTCAAAGTGGAGACACCAGGAAGTCACTGCGCCTGGCCAGGAAATACTCATGTAAACCAGACTCTTTGTTCTTTTGATCAAGAATCATCTTCACTCTATAAATGTACATGAAGACACACACACACATACACACACACACACACACACACACACACACACAGACAAACACACACTCTCATACCTCAGGGTGGAAAGGATGACATGATTCAGGCTTCTTTCTGTCCTTCTGAAACTTCAGTCTGTCACATTTTAGTGACTCGTTGTGTTCAGAGGCGTCAAGGGCGTAAATGAATGAACAGAACTGCAGAGCTTCACCAACATACACACAGGTCATTTAGCCTGATGCGAAACGAAACATTTAAGTGGATCAAACACACATATTAAGAGGAAATAAAATAATTCTCAAACTCAGTAACTCATAAATATTCTTATGATCTAACTAATCATGAGCTGAAATGAAAATGCTTTCAGAAAAAGTTTCCACATGTCAAACATCTGTGTTTCATCTAGAAAGGATATACATGATCTCGATTGGATCCATGGTTACTGGAGGCGCACTGCTGCAGTCACACTTATTTTCCACAACAACCATGAAGAGGTTGCTGCTGGGAATCTGCTGTATGACAAAAGACCTGTAGCACAAGCAGAGACAGAAACTAGAATTAAAATGTTGGAATATGAACAGTAGCAGACTGAACACCTACTGTTTAACAAGGATAGTTATTGTTAGCAAAGGGGGTGATTATTTAATGATTCACTGTGTAACTATTTTAAGTTGGCCTAAAGCAGTACCTCATACAGCCATCACAGTCAATGTTGCCTGTTGTTTCTTTGATGGTGCGTTCAGAGACAAACGCAGGGTATTCGGTATCACATGGCACCATCATTGTTTTCCCCCGAGATCTCTGAGCTGTACGTGACACAAAGCAAGTTTAACTGAACTGCAGAAGTTGACAAAACATCATAGGGAAGGTTTCGACTTCTCCTTCTCATACTTTCTCACACATTTACCTTTCTCTCTCTCTCTCTCTCTCTCTCTCTCTCTCTCTCTCTCTCACCCACATACACACACACACACACGCACACACACACACACACAATAATCATTGTTACGCCTACAGTTACCTTTAACAGATAGATCGATATTCCACCAGCTGTAAAGGTTAAATTCTAGCAAAAAACTTGAGAAAAAAACAAAAGAACATCACATTAAAACAAATGTTCCAATGACAGAAATGTGAATTTATTAAGCATTACCACAAGAATACACACATACAAGTAAGCTAGTCCTAAGAGTAGCTAATGTCTATAAAATGATATAAATAGTTAATGAAGACATGGATTTTAAACACATTTACTAAAAATAATAAGTATTAATAACTATTAACCAATGTATCTTGGTACTGGTGACATGTTTAGTTATGAACTAATATTAGTACATAGTTAATAGGATGTAGACCAATATGTAAATGTGTTTATGGCTGAGTTATTAAACTGATGAAAGAAGTAGAGAAGTATTTAAATGTTCATCTAATATTATTAATATACCTTTATTATAAAGAGGTATCACATTGTGTACATTGTATCATAAATTTTATAATAATTAGAGTATATATGATTTTTGTGTTATTCTTACATTACAAGCTCAGTCAGGAGCCACTTAATGACAGAGAAGGGCTGAAAGAGAGAGAAAAGCATAAGGTGTCAGAATCTGTGTGCAAAAATGAAATAATGTTAAAGGTTGTTTAATGTCAGCGTTCACTGTGAGACTGCTCTGTACTCAGGTTTCACAAGTGTGCAAACAGGGTTCACCACAAACCCAGAGAGAGCTATCTAGATCTATGCTGGTGATTTTAACTTTGGTCATATAAATATAGATGTGCTGCAGTGTACCACATATGATAAAATGATTGTCTCTAATGTTTCTGTCTGTGTATCTACCAGCTGATGTTCTGTCTTGCACACTTACGTCTGCCAAAGTGCGCGCACTGTCGCTGCTCCCAGCATACTCTTTGCAAAGGGCCTGATAGTCATACAGTGTGATCCTGCGATGCAAGCAGAGCAGCAGAGGTTGTAATGACATAAAATATGACACGCGTAACAAAATACTTTTAAATGTTTTCAGAGAAATGTTATATTGTGTCTCTGACCTTTTGAAGGAACCCATCTGGAGAAGTTTGTTCATAACAGCACCTTCCACCTCTCCAAAGAAGAGCCCTGTCTGAGAGAGAAGTTGTGTCAAAGCACCCAGGCACATAGCTTAGCACACACAGTACTAAGTACTAAGTAAATTTTAATTAAAGATTTTTCAAGCTTAAAAATTTCACTGACAAATCAGCACAGAAACAGCAGATGCATGCCACAGCCTAGTGACATGAAAAGACACTCCAGGAAACTTAAAACTTTCCCAAAAATTAAACGAGGGACTTTGCCATTCAATGTTTGTCTGAAAAGTCATACAACTAATATTTTACAGGCTGATATGATGTGAAAAGTGCGTGACCACTTACAGTATTAATTAATATATTAATTATTCATTAATATATTTAATATCTAATTGAATCTCTGTGGGATGTTCTAAAGTGCAAAATGTCTGCCTTCCTCTGTTTGTCAAGAACTTTCCTTTTTGGAAGAACTGTCCAGTGTTGCTCTAAGCACACATGTTTTGGGAAAACATGTAAGGAGAAATTAAGCAGTTATGGTAAAGGAAGGGGGACATGTGTTTAGGTGTTTCCATCCATTCAAACGTTTGTACATTTATCTAAACAGGTATATGCAACCATGCACACAGTACCTGAGATTGCTCCTCTGTGACAAGAATGAAACCATTGTTGTCAATGAGATAACAGTTAATGTCCTGTCAGAAAGGTGAATAAAAGATTATGTTAACAAAACAACGTGAACATTAAAAAAAAAAGAAGCCAGAGTCATGTGACTGTTCTTACCTCGTTATCACAGCTAATGCTGCATTTTCCATCCAGAGCTGTACACTGAGCACAAAACATAAGTAGCTTAGTTTTGCTCCTAATCAGAGAGCTCATTTTACTGTATGTCTCAGTATTTATTGAGTAGTAACCTGTCTGCAGGCAGTCCAGAACTTCCTCTGAAAGAACTCGAGCTTCATCTGGATCCCTACAGCTGAGCACAAGACCAAGCACGTAAGACACAGCACAGTTTCCCAAAATAAGTATTAACATGAAGATAACAATGTTATGAAAGATGGTTAAGAGGTTGTTACCAGCAACGATTGGAGACTTTCTGTCATCGAGGAGCTGAATTGCTGTGCTCGCCAAAACCACACTCTTATTTTCTAAAGCTAGAGAGGAAGAGAATAAACTACAAGTCATTTGTTCAGATTACATTATCTGCTCACTAGATGGTGCCCTTTACTCAGCAGCCCCAGTTGGCAGGCTCAAAAGAAACCGCAGTACCAGTCCATTACTTTACAGTAATGGTGTCCAGTCAGAGCTTTCTCTACAGCCAGATGACTCCAGTAATCCTGAAATGGACGCTGCGATAGGACATTTCAGGTTATGAGTGGATGCAGTCATCATTAACACAGGAAAGGTGGTAAATGGTAAATGTCCTAGACAGTGAAGCTGAATTCTCCATCCTCTGGCTAGCACACAGAACATGAGTCACATTAACTGCAGAAAAGCAGCGAGGGAGGTGAGCTGTGCTGCTCGTCAGTGGAAACCAGTAAAAACCACAATCCATTACAGAAAAAGGGACATTTAAAAAGACAGATTTAGATGTTAAAATGCTGAATGACTAAGGCAACAACATGAGTAAGAGGGACTTGATGAGATAATTTAGCAGCAATAGGCAGATAGACTTGTCTGTCTGGTATTGTTTTATGCGGGCTCAGGGAACTTTTATTTTGTACTGCAGACTTGAGCTACTATCTCCAATCCCCAGTTTTGTTCTGCATACCTGTGCTGAAGGGGATGGAGTAGACAAACGTGCCAGGGACCTGCTCCGCCGCTCTCTTGTACCACAGAGGGAAGTGATCAGCAGTAAACACACCCTCCTTGTCCTCTGCTGTTAGAAAATCTCTGAGGAAGCACACAAAATGAAACTGAGGCGAGAAGCAAAGGAAGAGATTCATCAGTGATTAGAGAAATGTTGAGCAGCAGCACTCACTGATTGGAGAGCTGATCGGAGGGGACAAACTGGTTGGTTCTCGACAGGCCGGTTCGTGTACCCAGGAAGGCAATCTCCACTCCTTTGTCTGAGTTCCTGTTGGTATAATGCAGAGCAGTGCCACATAAACACATCTGCCCATACTGTTTGAGTACTTTTCCTGAAAATTCCTGACTGAGCACAATTATGCAATGCCAAATGCAATTTAGATTCTTCTTTAAAATGTAATATGTAGGATATTTATATATGTATTTAAACTCAGGTCTGCTACTTATTAAAGTAAATGGTGTATAGAGGAGAGTTCTTGGTGCAGCTGATGTAGCTGTCAATTTGGAGGTATACTGTAAATATTTTACATATATGTTACACCTTCTAAAACTCACTTTCTTTTTGATTTATTGATGATTCATTTGAGGTTGTTTGATGGTTTGTAGACAAAATAAGTTTTAAGCCATCACTCTGGACCCTGGGAGCTTCTCATGATGTTTGATGTTTAAAGGCAAAATTATTCATGGTTCATAACAAAATAATGATCAATAGACAAAAATGAAAAAAATCATTAGTTGACAAGACCTCATATGACACATATATACTGAATATGCATTTTAAGACAGATCTTATACAACAACATGCACATCAGGACATTATAATAGGACTCAGAGTGTTAAAGGATGGAATCACATTTTTCAAGATTGTCTTAAAACAGCACTCACATGTCCATGTGTTTGTTTGCCATTATTGTTCCTCCTGTTCCTCCTGTCCATACTGGCAGTAAAAAAAACCCTTCCTAACCTGATACTATTGTAAGTCATGGGCGACAAGATCCACAGTCTTCATTTTGTGCAAAAAGTGTGTATTTACAACAGTCACAAAGAAGAAGGTGGATTTATTTATTATTTTATAACACAAGGTTGATTAAGTTATAGTTCCCTTTATGCTACTCACTAAAAACAATCATTAATAATAATAATAATAATAACAAAGATTATTTATAATAGATGGGTGAATGAATGATAACTCATAGAAATAAAACAATTTTACATGGTGCAGTGCTGAGGATAAATTTCAGAGTCTCACTGCCTGAGGGAAGAAACTGTTCTAAGTCTGGTGGTACGACAGTTAATACTTCTGTATCTCTTGCCATATGGCAGCAGGGTGAACAGGCTGTGACTGGGGTTGGTACTGTCTTTTAGTATCCTTTGGGCTCTCACCTTACAGTCTTTTAAGTACATAGTTCCCTCTCTGCGTTGCCCTCCCTGCACCACTGCACAGCAAGGAAACAGTGTCTGAGTGAGCATAAAGAGACCGTAACTTTGGAAGATACACACTTGATTTGGGTAACTTAGACTGGTGAAGCCACATATTAGCTTCAGCTGAACTGTGAAATGCATTTTTGTACAGAACAAGGGTTTTTACAATGATGATGATGATCCTGTACATACAGGAGGAACAACATTCATATGGGCTTGTGAGTTTTGTTTAAAGACATACTTGTGAACCAATCATTAATGGTAAAAAGATTTGGTTTTAGTGGTTCTATTAAAAAAATGCACTAAAAAGCCAAACCTTCTAAAAAGGTTGTACTGAATGGCTTTGTTAGAGGCTAATAATTCTCCAAAGATCAGTTACACATTAATAGGAATATTTTTTGGGTTGGATTGTATTAGATTATTATGGATGTTTGGATTTTATAAGAACTTCATATTAACGATCTGCTAACATTTAAAATTGCAGATGACTGACAAACATTTGCTGATGGCTTGTTAGAAAACCCTAATAAGACACCCTTCATTAATGACTTATAAACACCGTAGACTTATAACGAGAATGTAAAGTTTTACCAAAATATTCTTACTCTGACTTGTTGAGTGCCAGTCCGGTCCAGTAGGCCTCCAGTGGAGCAGTGACCACAGCATCAAACAACACCTCCTGAATCAGCTCTCTGTCACCTGTACAATGTTGCAGACCAGTTTAAAGACCTGATTGACAAATACAGACCTTTTTACCCTTATGTATGATTAAAATTTCATCCCGGACAAAACAAGCTCCTAGTAGCTTAATTTCTTCAGCTCTGACTCAGATGTCTCTTACACTTGAGGTGTGGTCTGCGGCCTGTCATGAAGAGCTTGATGGCTTGAATCTGGGTCAGGTGACGGTGCTCGTGCTGCTCCTCTGTGTTGCAGTAAGTCCTGCGGTCCAAACAGAGCTACACTGTTACATCACAGGCCTCAACATCCCTGATGAACACAGAGGGATAACCTACATAGCGCATGAATGCCCACTTCCATAACCCCAGCGTTACCATTCATCTGCCAGTGCGACATCTGGCTGTTCCAGATCACGGAGCCCTGAAAAACACAAGTCAGTAACGCTTCAGCAGTGCCATTCTGGGTAGACTGATACAATAAGCCCTCCCAAACAAGCTGGTCAGAGTGACATGCATCTCACTGCATTCAGCCTTTTGCTAACAGAGTAAATGACAGCGATGGAGCGACATACCGGCTTCAACTGATACATTTCCTCTGAAGAAGTACTTTCCATGACCTCTGGAGAGAGCCACTCCGACACTGGAGGCAGAAACAGGAGAGAATCAACCAGTCGGTTAACATTTAACTGTAACCAAGATATAAAGTGACATAATGTGGCTTTAGGACTGATATAAAACTTTTCCTCCACCTAAATGGTGTTCCTTTGATGTCAGTATAAAAATAGTCATTGTGCATCTTCAGGACACGCCTCTGAAAGAGAAGAAACAGACGTGCAGATAAGATTTACTCCTTTATTCTAGAGACAACATAGAGAGAGAGAACAACCCTCATCTGATAGGGAGACACTAAACATCTTAATCTGCAGCCTCACCCCTCTATCCACTGTCTTCTTCGCCTCCATAGAGAAAGTCCCTGTCCTCCTGTTCACCATAGCATTGCGTAGCTGAAAGATAAAGCACCCAAAGACGCACATACAGCGGAGAAGTCGAGGTTAGGTCACTGATCAAGCAGCCTGTATGTGGCTGCCATTTTACTGGGAAACAGAGTCATACCTTTATAATTCTTAGGGCTAATGTGAAATAATAGACACTTTCCTCAATCTGGTAACAACGTGAAATCAAAGCATTATGTCAGTTGCAGTCACACAATGTTGTATGTAGAGTAAAAGTACATCTAGTGTTTCAAATTACTTACAATATATTTGCACTGAAGAAGACTTTTTTTTCTACAATATTGGTTTTAAGGGGTTTAACACCTACAATATCATCTTTGTCTTCCCACTCCACCTCAGATAGATCCACGCTGCTATAGTTGGGCTTCCTCCTCTTCTGACCATCCTGATACTGCACAGAGGAACACAATATACACAATTCAATGATCCCTTTTGTGCAATGACTTTCATTTTGAACGGCTTAAACATGTCTGCTACAGTAATCTGGCCTGAAATTTATGAGCTTGATAATAAAGAAATAAATCTATGGAGCAAATCTTTCACTGTAATCTGTCTTTTGTGTTCAAATGAAAACTTTCTGTATGTTCCTATTTATCAAGCCTTGCTCTGGAGGTTTTGCTGCGTAATTATTTAACAAATCGTCTGTGAAATTAACACTGTCAGGTAAATTAAAAATAGTTAATATGATTGATAGGAAATCTACGCTCAAACAAGTCAACATCAATGCATTAAAGTGTGTACATGTCAAACTCTGCTACTGTATGTCGTCTGGTCCACAAGAAACAAGAAAGTCAATAACTACAACCACAGCACAGTTTTAGCCACAAAGAGACACTCACAAAAAAACCAACACAGACCAACACACACACAGTTGCACAGAGAGGAATAGCACTAACACTGGCACACACAGATCCACTAGCACAGCCATAGCTCCTGAGGAACCAGCGGTCCCTGGGGGAGAGGCTGTGGTCTCTGCCAGCGAGTGTTAAGTTACCTCTGGGAAATCTCAGGCCAGCCAGCCCTATGAGTGGCCTTTATCCCTGCATGCATACATCAAAGGAAAAGGTGGGGATTACAGACTATACGAGCCCATTTAGCCTCCTAACCAGATAACACATTTGTCTCTGCGTGACCTCGTTAATGGAGGCTTTCAATTCATCATTTCGGTTAAGCATACAATTGCATGGACAAAACAAAACGGAAAAAACAGGGTAAAGTCAGGGAATGCTGTGAGATTGTTCTGGTGTATGTAATTACCAAAGGTCTGAGGTCCGGGTGTGTCAGGATGTAGCCATTGTTTGTGATAGCAAATGCGTATCCATGGATTCCTAACTAGAGACACAAAGAGAGATATGTGAGGAAGAAATTATTACAAAAAATGCACATTAATAAATTCATTTATTCAAAGCAAAAGTGCAAGAACAGCTGAATGTACCATATGCTTCGGGATGAGCTTCATCAGCTCCTGCAGAGGGATGTCTGTTCCTACGACCCCCAACAGAATACCCTGGTTCTTCTGCATGAAAAGATTCAAAACACACATGCAGAACTTTAGATGAAAACTACATGAATATTCAGTCACTCAGCAGTGGTGGAAGAAGTACTCAGACCCTTTACTTAAGTAAAAGTACCAATGCAAAGTAAAAATACAAAAATAATACAAGCAAATGTACTTAAAGTATCAAATGTAAAATGTACTGTTTGTGATACATTATTATATACACTATTATATATTATTATTATTATTATTATATTGTAGAAATATATAGATGTACAAAGGTTTGTGCAGAGGTTTCCAACCAACCTTGGGGTCATGCCATTACAAAGGGTCATATAAATCTGAGGGGTCGTCAGAATTAATGTGGAAGGAAACAAGAAAAAACAAAGTTCTGCTACACAAATTTCTATAATTCTTTTCCCTTCAAACTGTTATTTAACTGAAACCATGTGGGAGGTGGAAAATCACTCTTTGATTGAATTGCATCTGAACCATGACAAGGAGCTCCAATTAAGACAGATTTTTGTTGTAAGGGGTCACAAGCCAAAAATTATTCATTTAATCTTTCACAATGTATTGAATTTCTTAAGCTTATTTTATGTTTTTAATGTAAAATCTTCAACTGAAAAGTAACAAAAGTAGACGAGTAGAAAGCACTTTGTAGTGGAGAGAAGCAGAAAGTAGAAAAAAATTACTACAGTACAGTAGTAAATATTCTTGTTAGTTTCCACCACTATCACTCAGTCACCCACTGACTCACTCTCTCACCGTTTCATTCTTTGTGCTGAAGACAGGCATGGCGACGGTAGTCATCAGACTTGGGCCTGCTTTTTCTTTCAACTGAAAAAAAAAAGGAATTTCAGTTGAATTTACCGTATTTAACTGAATAATCACACAGAGGCATGTTCTCTGATCAGGTTTATGGGCATCAGTCAATAGCAAAAACTGCACAGAAAAAGAAAGACAGAAAAACTACATTGTTTGGGCTATATCTGCACACCATTTATACACCTACAGTACTTACTCAGCATTTCTTAATCAGTACATCCCATATATTCTGAACAGAATGTATATATATATATATATATACACATTATATATATACATAATGTGTATATATATATATATAATATATGCATACTGTATTTAACTTTATTTTAAACTGTTTGACCACTACAGCAAAAATTATATTAATAATGTTAAAATAAATTAATAAATATTATATTATATATTATAAAATAATAAACTTATTCATCTTAAACTCAACATCTAAACGATTCAACTAAATCATGTGTGGATGTAAACAGTACTGTAGTGTATGCAGACTGTACACAAAAATTTTTTAGTTTTTTCACCCTGTACAGTCCCTAACTACCAGCAAGGTGTAAGTGTAACTGACATGAAATTCAATTAAAATTCCCAGATAGAAAAAAGAGGCACGTGAGTTATTGAGTGAGGAATAACAACTTCAGGACTTGACAACGTCTAAGGCATAGGTGGCAACAAATTAAAGTAGGGAACAATAGATCAAGAAACAGAATACTATTTGACACAGACACAACATTAATTACTTGCGCAAAATGTTTAAAAGCAGCATCCAAAAGAATTCCCGCAGAATCATAAAGGATCGTGGTCACAGCCTTTCTGCTGTCAAAAAACTGATCCACGTGAGTCTCAAGTGGGGCTCAGAGGAGGAGACGAGGTCAGTCAGAAGGATGAAGGTTGACATAATTAAGCACAAGAGTGCTGATAAAGTAGGTCTGCTATTCCCTCACCTCGTGAGGCGACACAGCTGAGTGTGCCTACATCCAAGTTGTGTGGGTGTGAGTGTGTGTGGTTGATGATCATTTGTGTATGTGCATGCATATGAAGCAAATGAGCTGCATGAACTGCAGTGTGTACTATCTAGCTTGACAAAATGAAGGATGGTGGATCCTTAAATTCATCACAACGCACAATGGAAGTGGAAACTGGACCCCCCCCCCTCCACACACACACATACTCACGCACACACAGGTAAACCCATGGACGCCTAACCACCTCCACCTCCACCTCCATCTCTCTCTCTCTCTCTCTTTCTTGGTCTCCCCTCCAATGTCAGTTTTATTATGGGCTTTAGGAGATAAAATGCAATGATCCACAGAATGATGAATGGTGTGTCTGAGGCTGAGATACAAGAGCACACACTCCAGAGGACAATCTCCCAACCCTTCTGTAAGTGTGTGTGTGTGTGTGTGTGTGTGTGTGCATGCTCATTGTCTCCATACTGGAAAGAAGTACAATAAATACTCCTCTACTGCTTCTGCTCCTCAGAGGCAAGAGTTTCTCTGCACTTTAGCCTTCCCACGAAATATTCATGCATAATGTGAAAAGTAGGTACAATAAGCGGCTATTTAACCTCTGAAGTCACTTGTACTTTATACAATGTAACTCAGACTTCCCCTGTGATCCCCTCTGATGCTAGCTCATAACTACTTCGTACAGCATCTGGTCGATTCTTTTATAATAAGGCAACAAAAAAATTATGTTTTATATAAATACGATTCCACCTGAGAGCACATAAAGATCACTTGTAGATATTTACCTTATGAGCCTGGGAGAGCTGGAATGAAAGAAGAGATGCATAAAGATTGAATCATCCAGTGAGTTAAAGCCCACACATTGTGTATTGACTTTGTGGACACAGATGTACGTCGGGGGGGAAGATCCATGCACATTAATGAAGCCCATAATGAGAAATCATTCCAGCAGTATGAAGAATAATGACGAGAAAGCAGACACACACATGCACACTTACCGTACAGTACAGGGATGGACAAAATAACATGAACACCTTGCAATATCATGCAATGTCTGGCGTCTGTACATACAAGCATGCAGTCTCACTCATATACAAATGTGCAATGTCAATTAGGACAATTACAGGAAGTCCCGACACTGCTTCAAACTAAGCAGTAAATCACTGCAACATACTTACAGCACTGTCCACGTAAGCTTCGGTCCACACTGTGTCGTGCTCGTGGTCAATGACCTTCGGGCGGCTCATGACGTGAAGATACCTCATCACGTTCTCCTGAACGTCTGCTAAGGTGGAGATCTGACTGAAATATCCTGCAGACAAACATAACACAAACATCCTAAAATGAGGCACATCATTCCCTTCTTTCACAATGTGTAGGACAATGTGTATTTTGACCATTTAAAACTACACATGAAAATATATTTTTTATATAATATATATGATTTTATTTTATAAAATCATGTGTCCAAGTTTCCCCAATGCACCCCTTTCAAACAATTTGGCCAAACCCCAAGAAGGTCTTTTTTATTTAGTTCACAGTTAACTATTAAATTCTATGTTCTATGTTCTATGTAAAACTTACATATAAAATACAGAAATTCAGAATTCTTTATTTAAAAAACCTAAAAGTGGTCAAATTAAAACATACTGAGTCTAAAAATACTGGAATCGGCAAAATATAGTTGAGCAGCAATTATGTAGAAAAACCTCTTTCAGAGTGGCATTGATATTATTTGATTGTTATTATTAATTATGCATCAACACGGAAGCAATATTTTAAGCAATATTTATTTTCAACAATTTTAAAGCCCCTGTGTGCAGGATCTGATTTCTGGTTTTGGTGTCTCCCCTTGGATGAATCAAAAAATAACAAGAGTAGACAAAGTAACTAGACACTAAAACTGTATATACATAATAGTGCAGTAGACATGTAAAGTAGCATAAAATAGAAATATTCAAGTAAAGTACAAGTATTGCAAAAATAGTACCTAAGTTTCATTCCACGCCTGCTAATATCTCTGATATTACTGGACTGTACACAACCAGAGCGACACAGAAGCCATTTGACTTGGTGTCAGCTCCTGCTGTTGCTGACAATGACTCATACTGGACATGTAAGGTTATTTCACAGTGGGGGCATACAGGGAAGGATGTTTGGGTCTCGTCTCCCAACAATCCCTCTGTGATCTGTTTTCCTGGCTGCGACTTTCCCTACCAGAGGGCACTCATCTGGAGCGCTGACACGTGGGAGCCATCAGCAGCGGGCAGCCAAGGGGGAGACACTCTGACAGGAAGAGGGATTAGGGCGGATTGACCTCTGACCCCCCCCAAGTGCCACTTCATTGCCTCTTGGCAGTGAGCGTGCACACATGCATGCACACACGTAACATACACGGCCAAACCACACAGATACCCACACATCCTCAACCCATTATTTGACTCCACAGAAACACCACATCAGACCATATTCAACACACAAAGCTGTCTAGAGAAGTGTTTATCAAACCAAACCTTTGTTGGCACAAGCCATCCATTTGAGGTTATCAGCAAATGCAGACTCTCGTCCAATCAGGTAAGGGAATATTCGCACCTGTGCAGAGGACACGTAGATGTCGACAATTTCAAAGATGGAAGGATTAAAAAACATGCAAAGTGATGTGTCTCCTCAGTACTTTGTCTTCCTGTCCTGATTCTATCTGGCTTTGGTGCAAGAAGTCGCTGCACTTTTAAAATCCTCATTAGGAAACACTGAACATTAAGCTGCTTTTCCAGCTTTCTCTTTTCATTCTTTACCTTTTTTTTCCAGTCCACAACAGTAAGTTGTGTATTTGTGTATCATTTTTCCCAGCTTGCACTCTCTGCAGTTAAATTCAGTTTATTCTCTTTTGTCTGGGGTTGTGCATGAGGGCATGTTCCAGTGTCCTTTTAAAGAACGCTGTGTGACACTTTGCCAAACCTGCACGGCTCATTGGCTCCAGATGCTTTGCTAAGCATAAAGCATATAGAAAACACTGAATGGCTGCCATATAGCGGCCCTGAGGGTGCATGGGGGTGCTGTGGGGGGTGGGGGTTGTACTCTGCCAAACACGGCCAACACACACATGCTTGATAGGATTGAACAAAAGCCCCTGAGCTGTTGTTTTTATTGCTTTCTGAGAGGCACAGCAGTCCATTTAATTTCAATTGCATTTAGGTTACAAAGGGAGGCTAACAAAAGATTTTTAACAAAAGAGTCGAGTCCAGGAAGACATTTGGAGAGAGCCTTGTGGACTGAGCTGCTTGTATATACTCTGCCCTTGAAAGCAGTTTATTTCCCATGTTTTATTCCCTGTGGGGAGGGGGAATTCCTCTGTAATGCATCAACACGTTAAAAAACATTGTATTGACGTGGATTTTTATATTACAGAGTTATGAGTGGTAATGAAGTAAGAAACCAATTCCTCAAAACGTCAACACAGGAGCTCCACTGACATAAAGTATTAAAATGTAGATCTACCCTTGCTGGAAGAAAAGTGCAGAGCAAGCACAAAATTCAGAAAAAGGAAATGTATACCATTGAAAATTAGGCGCTGTGTGGAACAGATGATAAAGAGAGACTCACCTTTCTTTCAGGCCAATTGTACTTCTCAAAAACATCATCATACATTTCAGTTGCCCCATCGGTCACAAGCATTATGGCCTGGCTGCACACACTGCCACGTCCAGTTTGATTAAACTGCAGAAAGAGATAAATAATATGGAGAGAGACATTTAAAAAAAACATATCACATCTGTGTTGTTAGCTAAACATTCAGCAAACAGAGTTTCTTCTGTATATGATGATGATGTCTGATATGGCAGCTGTGCAGCCATCAGTCAATATAATACAGATAATGTCTAGTAAATAAACCTGAAGAGCGTGGTACACTTTATTCTGATGGCAGAAGATGCATTGCAGTATTTAAGCAGTTTATTGACCTGTAACAGTGAATGTGGATAGAAAGAGGAGCATGTAGTGACACAGCCACAGGATAAAACCTGCTGAGCTACACTGCTCTCAAATCAACCATCCGAGCATCAGGAGGCCTTCAGAATTCACACACACACACACACACACACACACACACACACGGACATGTTTTATAAGCCATATCACCACATTCGTTTGCAATGTAATGTAAGAAGTTATGTACATGTCTGACAACTGTTTCACCACAGCCGTAGTATTTTTTTTGGTGTCTCATAAGTTAATGCCAGTGGGGCACTTCTATGTGATGGAATAAATATATAACACAACATCCCCATTGTCAATTTCTGCCTGATACACTGCTGTCTGACCAATCGGAAAGGTAAACAACAGGAAAAGGATGAAAAACTTAATCCCGATATAAAAGATTAGAGACAACCACATTGTGCAGCACATTTTCTCAAGGCAATTCAAATGATATCACATCAACTCTAAAAATTTGTCTGATGTTAGAAAATCTTTAATTGTAAACTATGATTTTTATGTTCAATTACCTGTAGAATCAATAGGAAATCAGCTCTAAAGTAAGATGATCATCCACATAATTTAAAGTTTATAAAATATGAATAGGTTTGCTCATAATAGACTTTTTCACAGAAGATATTTTGACTTTTCACTGGAGGAAAAGCACAAACGTTATTAATAACATTAACAGAGGCTCTGTTGTTTTCAAGCTTCCCAGTAAGACATGTGAAAGTGAGCCAACATGGACAGTATGAGGACCCCGAACCTGAAGCAGATAAATGGAATTCAGCCATCATTCATTTGATTATTTATACCTGTGCTTTTACATGTAAAAATGTCTTCAGTGAAAAAGGGCTATGAAAAAGTCAGGCTGGTATTTGACATCCCCCCACACTGTCCATAAGCTGTCCTCGTCAAGCTTAAGATTGGCTCTAAAAAGTGGCACATGTGTCTCACCTCTTTTCTCTCTTCCATCAGCTGGCGTCCATCCTGCATCTGGTTCCTTTCATTATTCCTGTTGTTAATTTTAGTTATGTCTACTTTAATAAATTATGTTGTTTTAATATATCTTGTAAATGGACTTCCCTTTTGTCACATTCTCTGAGTCAGAGGAAGATTTTCAGCAAATGAGCGAGTGTCAAAAGTCATTATTGAAGATGTTCATGCACACTGCTGATGAGCATCTGTCCTTCAAGCGAAGCCTTTGTTCCAATATATATTATATCATTTTTTCAGCATTGTAAGTAAAAAAAAGTGTCATTCTGAAGGTAATTCTGAATGTTAATGATAAAAGACATACTCAATAACAGGGATTAACTAATTTATGTTGATAAAATCTAATCACTCCCTAGCCCTCGTTATTTGAGAGGTAAATCAATAATCTTGTTCTAAAAGGGGATGGTTTACATAAATCAAGATGGTAAAAGATTTTACTATATACTTGTTGTTTTGTGATTCTTTCGGATCTTTGGCCTGAGGGGGAGGCTGTGCTTGTTTGTCTCATTCAGCTGGCCAAGACTGGGTGTAAAAATGGTACAATGCTCTTCAGGTTTTTCCTTTTGATTTGGTCCATGATAGGCCGTATTTACTAGCCAGCGGTGTAACAATGAATTTCAATAGTAGGCTACTGGCTACCTGATTACCATATTCATTGCAGGGCTTTAATTAATCTGACAAATGCAGAGGTAAAAGCTGCAGTCCCTCAGCTTCAGTGGAGCAGCCAAAGCTCGCCTGAAAACAGGGAGATAAAAGGAGTGCGGTGTGGCTCCTGGCCTTATCTGCTTTGTGTTCCAATCAGCCACGTTATTAATCATTGACATTAATTAGAGCCATTAATCACGCTTCAGAATAGATGTGTCTGTGTTTGAAGGGTGGAACAGGGATAGCACTGGAGCATTTTGACAGGCGACACACCTCCCAAACGCTCAAATATATTTGACTGGAGTGTGCTACTTTTTATGATTAGCTGAGGAACATGCGTGAGTGTTGTACTTGAATACTCTCTGTCATTGAACAAGGCTTGTAAAAGTTTGCTAAGGTGCTGGTGGAGTTTGTCAATTAAATCAAAACAAAGTGCTTTTGTTATGGCTGGGCAGATGCACACATTCAATCATTATTATATCAAATTAATCAATAAATTAATCTTTTTGTGAAAACTCACAAATACTCAAAAGCATTGTCACATAATCAGTTAACAGAAGGATTTAACTGATATAATTTGTGATACATTATTTCAGGGAAATATACTGTAGATGGGAAGATTTGGTTTTGCACAATACAGCATCCCTATTAAACTGACAGTCACAGATGCAGAACAGGCTCATTTAAAGAGCTTTACTGTACTGGAACTTACATCATTCAGGATTGTGAACGCTTCAGCCAGAGCTTCACCCAGCAGTCCGATCCCTTTTGCAAACAGCTTGTCCAGATGTTCACGGAAATGCTAACAGATAACGACAAAAGTGGGAAAGAAAAGTTTTAAACATTAATCACACAAATTCGAGCAGATATAAGATTTATATACATTCATCACACGTCAGTTTGATTGTGACTCACGTCTTTATTGGTTCTGTCGGCTCGGACCAGCGTACCATTCAAACAAGGCTCCACATAGTGGATCTCCTGATTATACTGAGGAAATGCAAAGAACATGGACGTGGAATACTTTTTAATAAATCTATTTTGTGAAGATAATAGACAGCAAAAGACTAATAGTATAGAGAAATAGGACAGAGAGATGCACAGACAAAGATGCAAACATGCACAGGCACAAACTAAGGAAAAGGTGACGGTTTAGTTTAACTGAAACTTACTGCAATGATATTGAAGAAGTCGTCATCTCCAAGTGTGTCTAATATGGAGGAGACAGTCTGTCTGGCAATGGTCAGCCTCAGTCCTTTCATGCTTCCACTAACGTCGACTAAGATAACAACATCCTTAGGAGATGTTGCTGCCTGAATGTACCTGAGATATGGAGATAAATTACACATTTTGATACCTTGTGTGTTGCAGTAATGAGGGAAGAATAAGAAAAGAAATACTTTCTTTACAAATAATATGATGCACGCGACAAGAGCAGTACATTTTATCTGGTATGTAGAGGCTTACCACTTCCTGTTTCTACAGTCAAAGCCAATGACACCATGTTCATCTGGATGCCACTTCACTCCTACAGCAAGAAGTCAGTTAAGACAAAGCATGAGAGCAGCACTTCGCAGTGGACAAACACGAGCACACTGACACATCTGAAATAAAACCCTAACACAGGTCTGTCACTTTGAGGAGCAAGTGGAACTCATCAGTCTAAGTACTGCACCATGCTGTTGTGCAGTGTATACTGTACTGTTTGTGTTGATGTTTTTTTAACATTTTTTTTTAAGTTTATTTGAAAGTGACCACGTACCAAACATAAATGTCAGTACTTGAAATCTGATACATTATACAGAGTTACAGCTAAAAGCTCATTTTCATCCCCTGTCCCTGGGCAGGTGAACAAAAATACAGACAACATGAAGATTACATACAACAAATATTTTAAAATAATGTGCAGTATGTGCATATGGCTGCATGTCAGAAGCTTACTGTAGGTATTTGAAATCACCATAAACTGTTTAGACATTCACAGGGAGGATGACAAAAATCATTAATAATGAAAGGTTTAGTGTCCAATAACTTTATTTTGGATGTTTGAACCCTTTAGTCACAGTGGTGTCATGTACTTTGAAGCAGCAATCAGGATTTAGCACCAATGGAGTCAGAATCTGATGACAGTGTGTGGGCTGTTTGCTCATGTTGCCAGCACTGTCTATCAACTCTGATCAAACTACACCCGCACAGTCCTGATTAAGCAAATTGTTCAACCTTTAATAAATAATAACTTATTCCAAACTTTAATTGCTGCTTATTTAGTCATGAATATTAAAGGTTTTAGGGGAACTACTCAAGGTGGAGCTCATTTTAACTGCTTTATGTGCAATTGGTTGATTTAATCTGTTAAAATGCATCGTATTGTATAAACTGTTTTGTGTGTAAAAACTTAATCTCAAACGTAACTATAATAAAATAAAAATCTGAAATAAATGAAGTGGAGGAGATTGTGCAATGATTCACTAAATTTAATGGCAGTGTAAAGTGTAAAGCAGTATTAAATGGAAATACTCAAGTAAAGTACGAGTACCTCAAACTGTTGGCTCCTGTACTTAAAGTAGAAGTGTGGGACTTGTACATGTTACATTCAAGCCCCCGCCAAATGAGTTCACACAATGCTGATTAAGCCTATCACAGCCAGATAAATCTCTCTGTGTTCACAGTATACCAGAGTTTTTAAATCTGGTGTCTATGGCGACATTCCCACGATGGCGCATCGGTAGTGATGCATTTTATGTCAACCAGCAATGATTGGTTTGCCAGAGCTGAAGGGAGGAACAACCCAGGGCCATGTAGAGCGAGTGAACATTTGTTATGAAGAATTGTTTATTGTTCATTTTGTTTAGTATGATTTTATAGTTTGTGTTAATATGATTTGGCAACATTGTTGTATGCAGTCATGCCAATAAAGTCTCTTGAATTAAAACTTAACAGAGACGAAGCAACTTTCTCTCTCTACAGTGACGCAGTAGACTACAGCAACTAGGAAAAACCTAAGAAACGTCCAAGATAAGATGCTCCAGATAAAAAAGAAACTCTGCGTTCGGAGGAAGGATTACAGAGAAGCGATGGATAACAATTGGTGTAGCTATCTGTAACACAGATGTCGCGTTACTGTTGGAGTAGGCTATGTAGCTATTAGATTTACTCTATTCTGATCACAAGCCTGTGGCAAGCTCACCTGTAGGTATACATCATGAGCGTGCATCGACAGTGTTTGTGTAATTACTCTCACTGCCAGAGGGGGAGACAAAAGTTCCGCATTGCAGGTTTAGGTAAACGTTACTTTCCAACACTGCCTACAGTTTGAACCATATATTGAGGGCTCTGCCTATATTTATTAACGTTTTCACTCTGTATGAAGAGAAAGAACAAGAAGCCAGGATGAGTTCAGTGAAGTGGGATGTTCATATAGAATTTACATGCTGAATACATTAGTAAAAGAGTGTTGTAAAACACTAGTGAAATCTCTTTTTTATGAATTCTTTCTAATACACTACAGTCCATATCTGTATTACAATATCATCAGTTGTATCTTCGCTCCAGCACTGCAGTGAGCCCACCGCCTGTTTCATATCACTGTAACGGTCTGACGACTTCGGTTGGATCCAGCAGCAATGCGCTGTTCCTCAGTAAGACCCACTCTGCCAAATTCTGATTAATTACAGTCTGTATATATGCATCCTCTCTGATGGTCTGTAAAATTACAACATTAGCCAAATTACCCTTTTAGTAATTCTAAATCATTTGTTCTGATCTGTTTTTTCCCCCTGCACAGACAGCTGATGGCTCCCTTGAGACAAGCCTTTCTTTTCCCACACGCACACAGAGTTGTTTTTTTTATCACTTCAGAGAACATTACATTGACTTACATTCATTTCCTGGACAAAGACTGAAACATGCAGACAGACAGACTGACAGAGTAACAGCACTCACCAGGGTACTGCCTGAAGAAACCCTTGGCGCTCCCAAAGTACTGCCAGATTAGTGTTGGGTCTCTTTCAAAATTATCAACAAAGACTTTATTGAGAGCCTCGGACCAGTAAACTCCGTTCACTATGTCCGGATCTGAGGATGAGGAGGAGTAGGATGTGGGCAAAGACACAGAGATGGAAGAGAGATAAAGACAAGTAAATTAAAAGATGAAACTGGTAATCATCCTGGTCACAATTACTGAGTGCAGGGTTGACCCTTGTCCCCTATTGACCCCCCTGAAGGAGATACAATCACTGTGACTAAATCTTCCCCTTCTCTCCTCCTGCTGGACGAGCCTCCCTTTGTGCTGTGAACAGAGAGTTATGGGGAGTCCATTATAGCCAAACAAAAGCAACCCTGGTGCTACACAGGGAGAGGTGACAGCGACTGAACAGCTAGCGTATGACAAACATCTTTCCCATCCACCCTCACTGCACTCTTTCCGGTCTCTTTCAGAGGCCTGCAGTTGCCTTCTCTTCATGTCTGGACTGTTACTGACCTCCCAACTCCCCTTCTCCCATCGTGAGACACTGATGCAGCTTCAGTTACCATTTTTCACTTTCACTGCTCACATTTCTCCCTCCTCTTCTCCTCCCCTTTCATCAGCTGACAGTTGACAAATAACAATCCCATAACCCTGCAGTATGATTGTTTGCAGGCCGCAGGCTGAGCCTTCACCTTTGTTGTACATGTTGGTGGGCACCTGCACCACACTGAGGCTCAGGTTGACTGACAGGTTATTGAAATGGTCGTTGGGCTCCAGGAGGAACTCTCCTCCCAGCTCCACATTATTGCCCATCTCGTCCACTTCATTGATCAGCACGGCGTTGAAGTACTCATACTGAAGAAAAGAGTAACAAAAGAGTGAGTAACACAAATGTTTAACTGAATTTGCAGTATTCTTTTAGCTCAAAAACACGACTACAACAACGTTGATATTAATACTTAAAGGATATCTTTGAATTCTGTCTTAAAGTCTTAAAACACTACTCACATGCCCAGATGTATATTTAAACAGTTTTTCCTTGCAGCTATCATTCCTCCTGTAAAAACTGGCCATCTTAATTGATTTCAATGTAAATGAAAATCCACAGTCCTCTTTCAAAAGTTCAGCCGAAGCTAAGTCTGAAAAGTCTGAATTAGTCAAATCAAGTGAGTGTCTTCCAAAGATACAGTCGTTTTAGTATAAAATTGTCTTTTTGTGTTTCCTCTGACGGTGCTGCTGTGGATGGATATTATATAATACAAATATGGAACCCAGAAGTGATGTTGCCCCCCATTTCTTACATTGGCATCATCTTAGGGATCAGGAAGAACAATTACAGCATTCAAAAATGTTTGAATGTGCATAAAGGAAAGTAAAATGTGAACCCAAGGGGTTAGACAAATCTTCCTCATACAGGTTTGCCTTCTCACAACAGATAATTTTCAAATGCACAATAATGTGTGCTTCTTTTACATCTGTCCTCCAAACATTATAATGATCAGAAACCCTAAAATCAAATGAAAGAGGAGTAAAAAAGACAGGATAATGTCAAATAAAGCATCACAATAAAAGCAACAAAATAAGATGATAAAATAGGGTGTAACTAGTAAACGTTAAGATATCATGGCTTCTCACAATATACAAATATTACATTACATATTTTACATTACAATGATTTGGAAGAGGCTTAATTATTTTCCCCCCACATGCACACACTATTTGGGACCAATTTGGGGTTCAGTGTCTTGCTCAGGGACACTTCAACACGTAGACAGATGAAGGAGGGGATCATTCAGTCTGCTCTACCACCTAAGATAGACATAAGCTGTCTTTTAATTATACATAATAACAAGTATGAGTGTACGCAGATCTTTCTAATATTTATAAATCTGTGTAATTCTGTTCAGTTAGTGTGAGTTTATTCAAAATGTGAATAAACTGCATCAGTTGTAATTGTCGCGCATCACTGAGTTCTAAGAAGGACCTCGATGAGCAACGAGGACTTCATGACTGCCAGTGAAAAGTCTTGCCTCCCTAAAGTGAAACCCAACAGTTTGTCTGTCCTGTCCTTCACTGCCTGCTGCTGCAGAAGAAAGACTACCTCATCCTGTCTGAGCGGCCTCTCTGTGGCCTCTGGTCCTTATTGTCTGCACTGAGAGGGAAAAAGAGAGACGGGAGGGAGAGATGGGTGATGGACTCTCCAGCATCACACTCGGGGGAGGCCGCGCGGGCATCACCATCAAGCAGCCCCTGACAGCTCATACCACGCCTGAACAGCTCTCTGACGAGCTGCGGCGGGGCGGGGGGAGGAGGGCTGCTGAGGGGGAGCAGCAGGGGAGAGAAACGTGCACCCTCAGCAGAACTGATAGTGCTGTAGAGAGGCACGTTAACCACCAGGGTTATTACTGTAGAGCAGGCCATGGGACACTGCAGCTCTCTGAGACGCCCCGCCGACTCTTGCACCACTGCGGTTAGCTGTGGGCCCTACTGCAGAGATCCGCCCTTCATTACAGGCAGCTGGGCATTACTGTATAAACAGACTCAAAGATCTGGACATGGTGGGTCACAGTAAGTTTTATTCTGTACACTCTGTACACTGTCAACTCTTACTGCAGCTGTTAAAACCTAAGACTAATTTGTTCTGAAGCTGCTACTTCCCTAATGTTATGGGTCACATTGTTCAAGGGGAGTTTAGGAGAGCTGTTTACAGTAAGACGTGACAAACAAATACATTCAGCACATGAATAATATACAAATACACTGTACTATGAGAAAATCCTTTAGACTACTACTCCGTAGCATCCTTCTGTAACAGAGTTTGGGGTCATCTTAAGATGTTTAGAAACCACCATAATAGCAGCAGGTAATTAAAAATTCTCTCTCCCATTAATTTTTTCTTTCTCATACAGGAGAAATGAAATGCACCGTAAACAAGGATTCCTAAATTACACCATAAAGTTTACTTTTACTTATGTGTCAAATGTTTCCAGTGCAATCACAAAAGCAGAAATGTAGGCCTTTAACTTGAAGTTTAAAGCTAAATGAAAGTTTAACATTATTAACGTTATTTGTTATTTATTTATTTTATTTTAAGCCTTGCTGATTTTCAAAATATTTTAGAGGCATTATAAGCCCACATAAATGTTAAGATTTAAAGCACTAAACACTAAACCAAAGAAAAATTACAACAAATAAAGTGTCTGCATTAATAGCTAAGTTTCTGTTGCTACATCAGACCTGATCTGCACACCCTTGAACCGCAGACTACACTCGGGTCAATGCAAAACACCCGACTGTCCTGACACAAAGCAGCTGAGATAAGAGCAGAAGGCTTATCTCATTGTGGTCAGGGAAATGGTGCGTGAAAAATGTGCGGTGTCAGGGGAGTCGAGATTGGCTAAATGATGCCACAAGGAGCGATATCATGACATCACATCATTATCGCCGTTTGTATATTGAAATTTCCTTATTATTTTTTATGGCCTTTAAGATGTCTCTGTGATGGGCCTGTGCTGTATGTCAATTGCCTGAATAAAAATGTTAAAACAGCTTGAATGTTTCAACACTATACCCTATATAAGATTTTTATTGTGAGAATATATTTATTTTATCATATAATTTATAAAACCACATAAATGGTTATGATGACACTATTAAAATGCAATATACAGACATATATTTTGTAGCAAAATATAAAAAGAAAGCCAATGCAACTATTATAAAATTAAAGATTTTATTCAAAATATTATTAAAATAGTTCATCAAACCATGTTTGTGAATAGCCTATTAGAAAGAATTTTATTATTACAGGTGAGCTTTTTTAATTTTATACTTAAGGAAACTACATATTGCTCAATTTAAAGATTGCTGGTTTGAGAGTAAGTATTAACAGCTCAAATATATTTAAAAAATGTGTAATAAAAACAATTCCCAAACATCCACAAATCCTTCAGTAAATTGTGATTTTCTAACTGCTTTAGGGGGACAAAGTCATAATATAGATATTGTGGACGTATTAAAATCTACGGCATTTTCAAGGATTATGGGGAAAATAAAAGATAAAAACTCCTTTATTATTATTTAAAAATAGCCATCGTATTTTTTTGTTTAAAGGGTTTAAAGGTAAAATCTACATATCTTGTTATGGCTGTGTGAGCAGCAGAGAAACGGGCACCGAACAAGGTGTCTGAAATGTATTCATATGATGTAAATGCTTCTATTAACTGTAAAGTGCTGCCGTTGTTTCAGTGCTTTGTTGCTCGAGTGGGTTTCCAATCTCGAGCCATGAAAGTGAAACAATGCGCCGCGCAAAAGAGTTTCATTTATCTTTGTCCACTGGACAGAGAGAGAGAGAGAGAGAGGGAGAGAGAGAGAGAAATACTGCATCCCCTCTGCAGAGACTGAGGAAGCTCAGTGCGCACTGGAAGTCCGCAATGAGAGCCGCTAAGTAATGTCCTGAACAGAGTCAGAGCACACGAGCATGTCCTGTGAAATATGATTAAAAGTAGAAGAAACACAGTCCAATGTATGTCTCCCATTTTTTTCTCTCTGCTTTTGCTTATATCCACACAGATTCCAAAACAGTGTCTTCTGATAAATGTTAATCAAAATTTTCACCAAGCATCACAAACTGCAGCACAGCCTTTAATGAATAAAAATCAGGACCTCGGCGAAAGATCATGATCACCCTTTCTCTGATACTGAAATACAGCTATTCGGTTACTGTACTGAACTTGAAGGCGCTGCGGCGGTACAGGCCTGCTTGCGAGATATGATTACAGTTAAAAACAGTTCGTGTGAGTTATGACAGTGTGGCGCCGCAGCCTTCAACGTGTGCGGCATTGCTTATCAAAGAAAAATTACGTATCAAACCGCTGACAGGACATCAGTGTGAAGGACGATGCCAATGCAATTAAAGACTTTCAGGGCCTATTATCCTTCTCTCACCTTGCAGCCGCTCCTCCCCAGCCCAACTAAAATGATTCATTCCGCTCCAACACAATGACACACCACATTTTTAATAATTACATTGCTCTTTTCTTTTCTTTTGCTTGGGGACAAACCTCACCTGCAGGTCGGGATTATCCTCATGCTGATGGTGCGCTTCTTCTGCTGCCTCCACGAGCCGCTGCAAGGAGGACAAAATGTTGGTTTTTAAAAGCGATTTATCACAACGTAATATGTGGAAAACTATAAACGAACCAAATGTATTTATAATATAGGCTACATGCACATTTGCATCAAGCAATATACACTATTCTTTCATAAAGTTCATTAAGTGATTGCTTCTCTTTTCATTTCTCAAACTTGTTTGCGCATCGCTCTTCCACACTTATTTTCAAGTCTCAATAAATGTCTTTTCATTGAAGAGGAACATGATCGTATGGCCAGACTTTAGATTAATCTGTGGATGTAATCAACAGCATGACCAGCTTTTGCTTTAAGTTAACTAACAGGATATTTTGCTAGAACAGTTTCCCTCCTTGGCAATCCTTATTTTTAAGGGCAAAAATATGCATAAAATGTAGGGCACAACTGTGGAGTGCCGCTGTGAGATGATTGATGGACGCTGGTTGGAGCAGGATTTCATGCCGTGTACCAAAGCAGCGACAGCTTTTGTAATAACTCTAGTAATATTTCGATTCTGGGGGGAAAGTGCTTGGCTCTGTGTTTCCGGGGAAATGCCACGTGAACTTCACAATCACTCTCGCCTTTGGAGCCAAGCAGGTAATTAGCATCTGTCACATGTGTCAAAATAACTGCTAGGCTATATAAACACAACTGAGGCTTTTTGCGCCGACTGCTGAGCGGTGGTGGTCAAATTCACTTGACCTCTTGGTGAGTTCTCACGTCGTCAGCAGTTGTCAAAAAAGAAAAAAACTAAATGAAATAAATATAATGGTTACTGATTTAGGCGGGGGATACTTGTGGCAGGTTTGGAAGGTTTGTGCTGAACACCTGGCCTTCGGGGCTTTATTGAGGTCACTACCTTTTTTAAACTCGCTTTTCAATTTAGAGAAACGTGATGACGTCATCAGATTAGGATTTATCACACCTATGCTGGTGTAGGCTAAAAATAAAAACGATTTCCCCACAAATTTGTGCCGTGTTTTGTTCACTCATAATTTTCATCTCAGGGAATGAAATCAGCTTTATGAAATTAAAGGCTTTCTTAGCAGTGTAATTTATAAGCTAAATTGTCCTGAATTGTCGCACACATGGGATCAGGCGTGGGGGAGATAAACGTTATCATTTCCCAGCAGTCCCTGCAAGGTGCAGCATTAAAATGGTTACAAGCTCCTCTGCACTGAGGTCACAGACAGGCTGCTGCTGTGAGGTGACAACAGCTCAGGCCTGGACTGTAATAAATTATATGCAACACCATGTTCCTGATGGGCCTTTTACATCAACATTAAGTACAAATTTGATCTTTAAACATTGCACAATAGTTTGCTTTTCCAAGTGTCTAATCTGCTTAATTTAGGGACTGTACAAAAATTATTCCTGCTGGGGTAGGGAGTTAACCAAGACCTTCCCCATATTTACTGATATTTTCTTTAGAAACATTGCAACACCCTCTTCCACTATTATCAAAACTAATATGTTACAACCTTAATATTTTAACAAAAACGTCATTATCACATAGCCACCAAATCACACATTAAAGTTCAGGGCGATTGCAAAAATGATGGCTAACTCAACAAAATGCAAAGTCAGCCACAACCTCAGTGGGTGATGAGGGGCTGTAGCCCTGCAATCTTTTTCACCTCACCCCAGATTCCAAATGATAAAATAAAGATGAATTAGATGATCAGGTGTCAGACTGTCTGTCATAACTAAACCAGTCACATGGTGCCTGATAACCAGGCATGTTTGACACCCAAAGAGGGGGCTGTTTTCTCAGGTGTGTGCACCATTAAAAATCAAAACACAAATTGAGTGTTATGAACTACTACTGCATTTTGATGAAGTAGTTGCCCCCACTGATAATTAAATAACTTACAGTCCCTCTTTTCCACTGAAACAGAATAAATAAAAATGAATAAATAAATACAGAATAAAATGCTTTTTTCCAAAAATATTTAATATTTTACTTACCCTGGTGGCCTCTGCTTTTTTCCTGAACACTTCCTCCATCTTCACAGCCAGGTTTTTGACCAGTTTCACGCCATCAATTTCTTCCACTCTGACTGACTTTTCAAATTCTTTATATTTCTGAAAACAACCAGAAACAAAAGAGTGGCATTGACAGACAGAGCAACTGTAACCCTTATAGCAGCTGCAGGAAAACAGACAACAAACTTATTGAGCTCACATGTTTGATTAACCCATTAGGAGTGTCTTAAATGTCCACTTACTTAGAAAAGAAAAAAACCTTAGGATAATGGTGATCTTTTTCTCTCTCACTGTGTGTAGGTGTGTGTGTTCTGTGGCATTTTTGAGTGCTATTGTTTCACTGCATCCTCTTTCAGAGAGGGGGAATTGTTAAACAAGGCTTATAAGCCGTCACATGTTGGCTGACAAGCTGCATGCAGCCAGTCTCAGATGAACCGATGATAAAACCCTCACTGCAACGCAGAATGATTGATCGTCTTTATCCGATCTCAGTCATTGGCTGCACATGCTGATTCTTTCTCTCTGATTGGCTGGAGATGGCCATGTTGGGGGAGGGGTGTGTGTGGGGTAAGCAGTGTGGATCTGAAGGCTATGCATGGTAAGAGGGTAATTGAAATGGAGTCAAAGCACAGGAGAAAGATAATAACGTGTCAAGCTTGGGCGATTGTGGGTAATGAACTACACCTCACATAATGCTGATTCTGCTGGATGCACAGGACCTCCAGTGATACAGAACAAAGCACGCCACAGCTCGGAGGAATATAGCATTGCATAATCCCACCCCTGCCTGACACACACATGTACACGTCAAATAAAAACAAAAACCTGATCCTCTCACGCTGTCCAGTCAGCCACATCACACACACTTCCAATAACCTTATCTAAAAATAAACATGAGGCACGCTGGGCTTGTAGTACACATTCAAACATTGTATGGAGAACACGCACACAAAATCACACACACACACACACACACACACACACACACACACCAGTACATGAGGCGACAAATTACCTACTGAAAGGAAGAGTGTGGGCTCGCAGTGGAGCAGAACAGTTCATTTCACGCCTGTCCTCCCCGCCTCAACACCCCATGTCCCCAGTCCCCTCTCCTCCTCCCTCACACTCCTCCAGTCATCAAGAGGAGGTGAAGCCCCATCCATCAAAAGCACTGATCATGATTATTGATTAGAGTAATGACCTATGCAGGAGAGAGGCCTGACTGCCTGACTGCCTGCTGGGAGCCTGAAGAGCCCCGGTGTTTTCCCTCTTTGTAGAAATCGTAGTAAAAATCTGGTAATTCACCATAAATGCATCTAATGATCAGCCTTAATGACCAGCCCCTAACGACCCGTCATCTACCTCATAGCTCACTGCTTTATGCTGACTGGCTCAGCACAGCTCTCTCCAGACATGCCTCCATGAACAGGAACACAAGCAAAGTGCTTACATACACACAAAAAAAGGAACAAATCTGCAGGGCATATTGTAAAATGTTTTTGCACAGAGATGAAATGCATATTTGGTAACAAATGGAAGGATAGCGCTTCAGCTTCCACCATATGTTTGCACTTAAATCTTATCTTATATTAAGGAACTGTCACCTCAGAGCAAGGAGGTCCAAGGTTTGGACCCAGGAGCCGCTTTCTATATGCAGTTTGAACGCTCTCCCCATGTTTGCGTGGACTTCCTCTGGTTGTTCCGCTTTCCTCCCATGCTCCAAGACATGCAGCGGTGTTTTTAGGATTAATCCTGCTATTGCCCTTGGACGAGGCACTGGCCTCAGAACTGGAGTTGGTTCCAGGACGCGGCGCTGTGATAGCCCACAGCTCCTAAAATAGTGAGGATGGGTCAAATGCAGAGGGTTAACAAGTATGTGGTTTGTATGTACCAAGTTCATGTGGTAAACTTAAGCTACAGGAGAAAGTAAAGAGTTGTTACAGACAGAGGGATCTCAGCGTCCCAGTTGAAAAGGTCATACTGTACATGAGTAAAATGGATGCTACGTTCAGTGAGTGACCAGAAAAAAAGAAACCACCATCCACTGTCATGCAGTCCTGTGATAAAAAAAACCTGACAAATAAACTCAATGGTCAGAGAGGCGTTGATTCAATTCTTTGGTAAATTGAGGCTTTAGTTTAAATGAGAAATGCATCATTAAAAGGTGTCTCCAACATTTGTGTACTTCCATACGTAAATGTGATTGAAACCCCTCTCAGTACAGTGCAGTTCAATTTAACATGCACCGCAAACAACAGCCTCACAACAAACCAAAGAACTGCGATCTACAACCCCATGATTTAAAACCAGCAGTGGTCTTTTCACTGAATTTACTCAAAATTTAAGACCAAACAAACAACATTATGTTCAACCTGACAAGTAAAAAAAAAAGGTTTTTAGTGCTGAGTAGACAGAAAGAAGACCTGAGACATTTGAGTTTGTAAACTTCTTAAAAAGCCTTTTTTTTCAGTTTGGATATAACCTGAAGTGCTTATGTCAGAGATGACAGATCCCTCATCAGGGATTTAATCTTCAATCCACAGACCTTCTCATGGGTCCATTGTTACAAACTCATGTTATGGCAAAGCTTTTATCAGACCCACATAGCTCCATTTTCAATTCTAGTGCAGATCCCACAGTTTCAAAACATATTTAATATGGCTGAATTTAACGGAAGTGTGAATGAATTTTCAGGCACCTCAATGATTTCCAGAACATTTACTTTTAACTACTAACTATCATATAGCTTGTACATATGTAAAACCATCCCAGAGAGTGGAAATTACTTTTCCACATGCAACACTTCTTTGATGTGATAATAACTTCATATGAAAACTCGATATTTTTCTGGCTTGTGCAGTCTGTGTCCATGTTTTTATCATCTAATGCATCTCTTGTGGGTTTTTTTTCTTCTCTCTTGTTTTGTAAAGTGAAAGCTGTCCTCCTGCTTAACTAACTAAGGGACAGGGGTTTAATTTAATTTCATCATTGGGATTTAATGTCTTTTAAAATGCCATAAGACATGAATGTAAAGTGTATATAACCACTAATATCTCAAGCATCTATATATAAATTTAACATGACACTTAAAAACATATCATAAGCATGCTGACGGACAGTTCACCATTCATCCACCTGACTCAACTGACTCGAGGCCTGTGAATGCAGAGCCCACCGTCGATGTCAAGTGGTTTGAAAGTTAAATTTATTGTACAGAGTCATTGCTCATTCTCTGTTGATTTCACTTGTTCATCATATCAACCCCCCATCACCCACTATCAAACACAACCGCACTCTAATTCAATTTGTCTCCTTGTCACATTCATATGCAGAGGTTGAAACTCTTGACTCCAGAGAGTTAACCGGAGAGATGAGATGAGAGGAGAATCAGAGCTGTGGTTAATGGCCCGTGTCGAATACAAACACACACACACATGGACACACACACACACACACACACACAAACATGAAGCTTTTTCTGCTAAACACACCTGAGCCTTCTCTAAAATAACGCATCAGCATTCAGCTGAGACACCAAAATGTCTCTGCAGCCATTACAGAGGGAATAATGCATTACTGCGTACAGTGTGTGTAACTACATGACCATCAGACAAAGGGAAAATGCTTTTGTGTTCGCACAAGGGAAATAATAAGTATACCTTTTGCAGTAGTTGGGATCCAGAATATTTTGCAGAAATGGATTTAATTTCTCCACCAAATGCTGAGGCCCAGAGCTTTACGCTAGAACACAAAAATAGACAAATGACAGGTTATCCCGCACTCTCTAAAAATTATAGGAAAATTAACATAAAAATATAAAAATAAATACACATTGAGGTAGACAATTGAATAAATAAATCAAAAGCACATTTAAGCTATTACGTTTAAATATGGTATTACAAAAAACACATATGAAACCATTTATAACTTTAAATTATATGAGAAGTTTTGAGCAACAGTCATGTTTGTAGGTTTAAATCTGTTATCTCATGTCACCTTCTCCCCACTGAGTGCTCTCTGTCCTATGGTCACCCCAGCTGCTTTTAAACACCTTTAAACTCTCCTCAGCTGTCCTTTTTTTAATTTCAGCTTTATTTCTGACATGATCAGTCAAAAAAAAAGATTATCATCAAGGCCCAGCGTCCCTGACCTTCACTGTCTTGAAAGATGATTGATTGTACTTTTGATGATCTATACTGTACTTATTGAAGCTTCTTCTATTAAACTGCAAATGACTCTGGCTAAGAGTGGCAGCAAAACACTGCACCTGAAATGTAAAATGCTGAATGTGACCGTCCTACACAAAACATAGATGCTGCTTTAAGAGTGTGTCCTGTTTTAGGGATTACTTATTGTACTACTTGTACTACTACTACTACTTATTGTAAAGTATGTTTTATAAAAAAAAAGACATTGAAGTTATGCATGTTAGTCAAACTGTCCTCACTTGCAGAACCAACTTTTGCTCAGAGGTATTTATGCACAATTTTCAGAAAGAGTCCAAATGTAAATAATTCCATTTTTTTTTTTGGGGGGGGGGGGGGGGGGTATGTAATATTGTGGCTTTTAAAAAAGCAAACCATTAAAAGAATTTGCAGGAAAAATGTTGAGTTACATATCATTCAAAAGTGAGTCTTTGTGACACCTGAACTTGAACATGAGTTTGTGCACAGAGTTTTGAAATATGTAACTCATGTTTACACTCAGGAGTGTTAACCACGGTGAGTTTAGCTGTTTGAATCTGCTTTCACATCTTAGACGTGTATTCTTGATTTTCCAAGGTCTTGTGTTTAAATTGTTGTAGGTATAACTACAAATCCTGCAGAAAAGGTTCCTCAAGTAGAAGGTTTTCTAATTTTAACAAGTCTCCCAATCTGCTGTAGATACAATCTGACCTATACATTTTTTTCCCGTTATTGTTGTTAAATGCAGACAGTTGGGAATTGTTAGATTACAGTTTGTAAAACTAATCAAAAACGACCTGTTCTTTATCAATGTGAAATATACATGAAAAACAAAGCTTGAGACAAAAGGTGCCTTTTAAAATATTCCATGAGATATAAAATGTCTTGCTATTGGCAAAACCATACAGTGGAGCCTTAAGGTTATGCTTACTATTTCTGACTTATTAATAACACATATAGTCTAATTATAGTTGGCAATGTATTGGTTATCTATAATGCAATAATCAACAAAATAAGACAAATTGTAGTCTACCTACATAGGCAGGTGTAGTCTTAATCTCTTCGCTGTTGAAGTTTAATCAACATGCTCTATTTAGAATTTCCCCACCTTCTGTGATTTTTCTTAACAATGCTGCTTATTTGCTGAAATCATATCTCAACAGTATCGCTCTACAAATAAGTGGTGAGTTAAACCTGTAATATGGCATGTGTGGGAGAACACAAAGAGAGATTTGTGGTTAAACTAAACTCCACACAGTAGCCAAGACTTACAAGAATGCAGCTACAGAGATGCATTTAATCTCCCCGAAACTGGAACCTGTTTAATAATCTTAAAATGAATTTAAATCTAAAGAAAAAGTAATTTTAAAAACGCCTCTATATTTCCAGTCTGTAAGAGATCAACACAGGCTATTAGTCAATTCCGTGTGAAAGTTGCAGAGCTGCTTCTCACTCACACTGACAGAGGGATCCCTTGCTGGGACCCCGCCACCTCCTCCACATTCAAGCCGACGAGGATCCAGAGCAGAAGGAGGCTGGTGCTGCACATGTGCAAAAACGGGATCCTCCAGTTCCCCAGCATATTCAGCTCTGTTTATAAAAAAAATATCTGTACAGTAAAATCCCGTCCCAGCACCGTGCTGGACTGCTGGACCCCGGTGCACCGTCTCCAGCCGCGGTACTGCCAGCACGTACTTTACTGTATTCAAGTGTAGAGAGAGAGAGAGAGAGAGAGAGAGAGAGAGAGAGAGAGAGAGAGAGCGTGGTGTGTGTGTGTGTGTGTGTGTGTGTGTGTGTGTCTGTGTGTGTCTGTGTGTCTGTGTGTCTGTTGTGCGTGTGTGGTGTGAGCCTCCATCCGCTGCCACTCTCTGAAAAAGAAACCCCACCTCAGCCGGCTCTGTGCTGCTGCAAGAATCACGGAGCTTTATCCATGGAAACGACGTGTCGTCTGCTTGTTTGCAACGAAGCCTGAAAATGTTGAGGAGGTGAAGTGGGAAGACTATGGTTCCTGGAGAAGAAGAAGGGGTTCCTGTGGTCAGTGGTTAACAGAGAAAAGCGTGCACAGGTGTATCGGTCACAGAGCTACCAGAGAAAACGAAATTCATCTGCAAAATGCTCAAATGCTCAAATAATGAACTTTGGCTTCTCTCTGCGACTCACTTCTCTCCTGTCGACTAAAGTTGTTGCGTTTAAGGCTGACGCTGCATTACTGTACTGCGCTGTATAGTATCCAATCTGCACACACAAAACCCGTGAAAGCGTGTGTTTGTAGTAGGATATAACTGAAATGTGATCATGAGGTGCTTGATCTAATGTTTTCTTTAGAATATGATTGTTAAAAGCGCAGAATAAGGGGAGATTCCTGACATAAAATGGCTCTGTGGGCGATAATGAGACTGCAGATGAAGGCTTCCGCACTGCCAGCAGCACTATAATAAATAAATAAAACGGTGTATGGTGGGAATCCTTTGGATTTGGGAAAATATGTGCACTGGATGGCCACACAGAGTTCAGATACTACAAAAGAACCAGTAAGAGAGATACGTGTCAATTAGCAAATATTGGAGCAAAATGTCCTGTTAACTTTGTGGCTTTTCCTGTGGTTGACCGGAGTCCAATCATATATCACTTCGACCAATGACGTCATGCCACTCACCAGCAACTTTTCCACGTGGACCCCAGAGATTATTTCAGGAATTAAAGTGTAGTGAACTCTGGAACAAGTTATAAGACACACAGATCTGGTCAGGGCGCCATATTTATCACTGCTTGCTATAAAATAAGACCGGCAGCCTACTCTATACTGCTGATTAGGAAGCGATAATGTTGTCAAGGCAGCAGGGGGGTTGATGCACCACCTCTCCACCCTCCACCACCACCACCACCACAGGAACCGTGTTTCGACTTGAGGCTTTTATTAGTTTAGTAATTGCATCGTACATCAAAGTTGTGAGGAGCCCTTACTGTCTGGGACGTGCCGATAAGGTGCCTGCATGTTGGGTTGACGGACAATATCATCCGGTCTCCTCTCCCTCAACAACGCCTCCCCGAATGCTTTAATTAACTATCGACGGCGAATAAAAGCAGTTCTCTGTCACTATGCTGAAAAACGGCGTCTAGTTTTATTCTCCTAGTTGAAGGCACGACAGTTTCTCAAGTCCTGCTGAAGTGTCCTTCAGCAAGGGGTGTGTTTTGCTTGCTTCAGGGTCATTGCACCACTACGCCTTTATGCACAGCACGAGGATGAACAAACAACATTCTCCATTTGATGTAATCTCTTGAATAATGTCACCACCTCCACCCACCCAGCGCAGTAGGTCAAATAAACACATTAGTAGGCCCAGTATTCTCCATGAGGAAGTTTAAATTTAGTGCCTAGAGTGCAATGGTTTGATTGCTACATTTAGGTACCAGCCTGATTGTGTGTCATCACAACTACGTTGGAGGCCATTCATGGTCCAGGATGGAAACCTGAAAGCTCCAGTGCACACAGCAGAGAATGGACTTTTAAGTGAAGTAGGAGACATCTTGTCCTATCTGTTTCAAATGAAAAATTGCATTGATTTTTTTTCAAGGAGGGAGAAACTTTCGATTTCTTTTGTGGAAAAAAACAACAACATTTAAGACACTTTAGATGTTTCTTTATAGGTCTTAAAACATGTCTGGAGGGGAATCGTTAAAATTGTCCTCACTTTGGAAGCTGCTGGAACCCTTTCAAATGCACTAAAATAAATATTTCACACAAGCACAAACAGTGCAGCAAATCACTGGTCATGCAGCAGTCAAACCATTGTACTCTGGTACTAAATTTGTACTTTTAGTGCATTTGAATGGGTTTCAGCAGCTTCCAAAGTGAAAACAACTTTAAGGATTCCCATCTAGACAAGTACTAATAAAGAAACCACTAAATTAAAAATACCATTCTCTCTCATAGAAAACAAAATGCAACTATTTTTTATTTTAAACTTTTAGATGACAAGACAAGATGTCTCCTACTTCTCTAAACAGTCCATTCTCAGCATGTGTGCACTGGAGCTTTCAGGTTTCCCCATCACACTGTGTAATTTCCATCCTGGACCATGACTGGCCTCCAAGCTAGTTGTGATGCCACACAATCATGCTGGTGCCTGCACATCCTCATATTTAAAGTAAGCTCAGTGAAACCCCCCCCCCCCAGCAGATGAATTTGAAGCCTTCCAGTGTCAAACTCTGTACATACACAATTCTGCACACTGAAGGACAGACATTTAAGTGAAGTTAAAATAAGTAAAACACATTTTTGAGTGGAGGCGAAATTAGCTGCAGAAATTAGCACATGATCAAGGCCTTCAGCTGCTCTCCATGGTGCTGAATTTGGTCTGTATGTTCAAACACATTTAAAGTTGAAGAAAAACAACCTCAAGTTAGGCCAACTTACAAGCTTTTTTCCAGGTCTTTGAACCATACTGCACAGATTTCATTAGGGAGTGGAGTTTTCTTAGTTGTCATGTAGATGGATATGTTGACATGCACGCTCAGTAGCTGTTATTTAATCCATAGCAGGAGTGTAACTCTGTGTTTCAACCTTGAGCCCAGGAAAAATATTTAAATGTGCCACAGAATGGAAAACTGTATTGAATTCAAAGAGTTAAATACATTTAATTGACATACCGTGAGCCTCAGTCTCCATTGTTTCTTCTTTCATATTTAAATCTCGTGCAACTAAAAAAAACCCGAAAAACGGGCTAATTCAAAAAGCGCTCCATGTTACACAGACCAGCCCACGTTCCAGCTCTGAACCAGCGGTCTAAAGCTTCTGTACTAATGTTAGAGGTGTAAACACCAACACAACACCGGAGCACCAAGCTTGAAGTCCGGGCAGAATCGGCAATAGGACGGCTAGCTGCACAGCTAACTCAGTAGCTAACTAATTAGCAGCTGCTGTTAGCTGTAGTTAGCTGCTAAAGTAACCAGTAACATATAAACCTATGAACCTGAAAATGAGCTTTCTACAGCACCTTTAAACCTCTAACAGCAAGCTCGTGGAAAAGTTAGTAGACCTTGGGTTATATTATTTAGACTCTCATGAACAACATGTAGTTTCTTAGTAAATGTTCAGGCTTCTGAAAACAATGACAGTGGGGAAATATTGAGATAAATTGACCTCCCAATCATTTGTCATTTCAAATGAATCAGAATTAAAGCCATTGTTCCACTATCAGAACCGGATTGCTGTTCTCTCACTCCAAACAGTTGTAATCTCTGTCTTGACTTAATTGGACATAAACCTCTTAGAAGGTTAAACATCGGACACCTGTTGTCATGTTAAGTCCAGGGCTTAACTTCCCCTCATGCCCTCAGCAGCGGGGGATAATTCACCTCAGACCACCTACAACAGTCAACTTATTCTTATCCATTGAGCTGTGACTGTAGAAAGATTACACCTCAGTGTACCATATAGAGTATTGTTCATTGCTCTTACACATGTACAGACCTACAGTCAAGTAAAATTGAATGCCCTGATACATTCACATCACTGCTTTCAAGACTCAAAACCTACAGTGTGTTTGAATAAAGCATGCTGCAGCAAAACACTGTAGTTAGTTAGTTCTCACCATCCAGACTTGACCCCAAGCTTCAAACATATTTCTATGCACTTTTCCCTTACCCTTACATTTCTGCTTATTGTTGGTATCCTGTGTGTAACTTTTCATCTGGCTCAGTGTTTGGTAACATGTTTAGTAGAGACTTATTTATAGCACATCACAATGATCCTGAGTCCAGACAGTACATTGCATTGAGTACATAAAAGCTTAACCAGTTACTTCACCATTTGGGGAATACCAGTGGGGTTAAATGGGATCTTACTGCAGGAACATGTACTTGACTTAAGCAGAAGTCATCTGTAAGACATAAATAGTAAGGGAAGTCTGTCCATACACATTAGAAGTTAAATCTAATGTTAATTCATACAGTGCAGATAATGTCTGCTGTTTAAATTACAACACAACAGGGGATGGACAAAATAGGAAACAAGTTTATATAATGTTCTTTTCTATTTTGAAGAGATGCACCCGAGGTTTTGCTTTTACATGTAACATTGCACTTAACATTGAGGTTTACCAAGCGACTCATTAAATCACTCCAGTGCTGCAATGTTGGTGAGGACTGAATGATTTATAATCAGGTATAAACGCTGTGTACTGGGTTTGCTATATGATTTCCACCAATTTTAAACACTGCTTGGCTACCAAACCAAATCATTATTAATTAAAATAAGATATGGAGTTTTGTGGTACATCAGGATGACTTCCATGAAATCCAAGATCAGATAAAAGTTGACAAAGATGTTATTAAGTTGTACGATAAATTAAATCTTTCACGCACACTGATACAGTAAGTAGTCATAGAGTTTATTGTATTTTTGCACTTGCTTTGTGGACTGGAGTCATATTGTGTAAGTGCCTTAACAATCAAGTAAAAGGTTGGAGGGATCAAGCGTCATCATTTGGAGGAATTACTATTTGTTAAGCCTCTGTCTGGAGGACTTATTCTTAGACTCGGGGGAATCTAATCTCAGCTGTCGCAGTTGAGTTGTGAGATATTGGAACATCTAGAAGCTCCAGGACAACGAAGAACTACCTGACCACTTTTTAAAGCTCTGCATCCATGCAACCATCTGTTTTTTCCCCAAATGCTTCCTCCTACCTGGGCCCCAATGGGGAGCCCCCTCTGTCACGCACTGGCTTCATCATTCTCTCCATCATTATGGCCATTTTCACTGGTCCAGCCATCATACTCAACGCTACAGTGATCATTGTGTCCCTCATGCACAAGCAGCTGAGGCAGCCGCTCAACTACGCTCTGATGAACATGGCTGTGGCTGACCTGGGCACTGCCATGACCGGAGGGGTGCTGTCTGTGATAAACAACGCCCAGGGGTACTTCTCCTTGGGAAGAACAGGCTGTGTGATGGAGGGCTTTGCAGTGTCCTTGTGTGGTGAGTGAAAAGAAGAGTATAGCGTAGGTTAAATAGTTCACACTCGCGCTATAAGAGAATTCTGTTACAACAAGAAAGCCCTTTTATTATGTGACATTTGTTGTTTTATCCTGTTGTTTTGTAATGACAAACATTTGATAGAATTTCATCAGTGTTTACATCATTTTCATGTAATCACAAAACAAATTAATTCACATTTTTCAATTAGCAATCACTGCTTCTCCCATGTGAATCGTCCTGACTTTGCATTCCCTCACTTGTCCGCAGGCATCACGTCTCTGTGCACGGTCGCTCTGATCGCAGTGGAGAGGATGTTTGTTGTATGTAAGCCGTTGGGCCAGATAACCTTCCAAAATAAGCATGCGTTTGGAGGTGTTGCCTTATCCTGGCTGTGGTCCCTCACATGGAACTTACCTCCCCTGTTTGGGTGGGGCAGGTATGAGTTGGAGGGTGTCGGGACGTCCTGTGCGCCAGACTGGCACAACCGAGAACCTCATAACGTGTCCTACATCCTGGCTTACTTTGCTGTGTGCTTTGCCGCGCCCTTTGCCCTTATCGTGGTGATGGACATTACACCAGGTGAGCTTTTAAACGTTTGGCTTCATCACAGGCAGTGGTGGAAAGTAACTACTGTGTTCCATTAACTTTAAGTACAGTTCATATAAGTTTGAGGTACTTTCAAACTTCTATTACCATATATATCACACTTCACAATGAACTATTGTACTTTTTCTCCACTACATTTATCTGACAGCTATAGTTATTAGTTACTTTTCACAATAAGATTTTACATCAAAAATATTTGTGAAGTTTATAAAACACAGTGAACACAGTGGTGTTGGGGCCTCTTGTCAGAATTTAGTTGTCTATGAGTTATTATGATTATTAAAAAAGCCAAGAAATTAAAAAGATTGCAAATTTGTGTATTTTTACCTTTATTTTACTATTAATCATCTCATGACCCGATTTTATCTTTTATCTGTCTTTTAACCCTTTGGAGGAGGCCAGAACCAAGCAGGTTCTTCTGTAGTTATCTGCTAAGTAGATTCCCATTTTTCCCATGACGCATTGTGCATGCAGGAGACATGATGAGAGATTAAGGGTCATGATGTGCAACAGTGGTACCCTGCAGTGCATGAAGCGGAAAAAAATAGGTGCAGGTACTTCACATTCACATGTTGGTGTTGTGTATGGTCATGTAGGCCAATAGAGTGCTAACTATTTACATTACTGTGTTACAGGTATCAAAGATGGCCTGTGTGGAAGGTGGTGCAGTAGCTAAAGGAGAGATGAAGGTGGCGTCCATGGTGGTCCTGATGGTCCTGACATTTCTGATCAGTTGGTTGCCTTATGCCGGCCTGGCCATGCTTGTGGTCTACAACCCTGATGTGGAGATTCACCCGCTGGTAGGCACAGTGCCAGTTTACCTGGCCAAGAGCAGCACTGTGTACAATCCTCTCATCTACATCTACCTCAACAAACAGGTACTGTGACAAAACATACAGGTAGTGATTTAACTGAGCCAGATGTGATGTGTCACATTGTAGGAAACAGCTTGTTGTGAATGAGAGCTGAAATACTTTTGTTGTTTTGGGACATCAGCACCATCTAGTGGTATTAATTAACAGTGTAGCTTGTCTTAGGGCAGATATTCAGGACAGGAATGTGCGTTTCTGTTGTAATTGGGGATAAAGACAGGCATTTTAATGTAATAATAAATGCTTGTATTTTCTTGTAGATACATTTTAAGCTTTCCCCTACTATAAAATGCTTTTTTGGTAGAATTTCTTATTCACAGTGTTTTTACAAACGAAAAACAAAAAGAGTGTATGTATATGACAGACTTATAAAATGTTTAAGTCCTCTGAACACTTTACACTTTAAACCCCTATTTAGCATTCATAAGTACTTAATAAACATTTATTACATTTATTAAACGGTGTATAACACTCTTAACACTATAATGTAGTTAAGTGAGAACATTTGTGCTAATTACTGTACAGTATTTGTCAACAATTACAACTTATCCTATAAAGACATATTTCATATTATTAGATCTGTGTTACAACTATATTACATATATAATTTATATAATCTGTATTTATGTTTGTACGCACATTCTAGCTTCTGAATGATGTCTGAATGTTTGTTAATACATTAACAAAAAAGACAGTGTACCTTGTCTGGGCTGAACTTTTCTGGCTCATTTTTTCTACAGTTTCGTAAATACACAGTGCCCTTCCTGTTGTGTTGTAAAGAGATCTCAGTGGACGAAGAGGGATCAGAGACAACGACGACTGTGGAGAGTTCAACCAACAAAGTGTCTCCTGCCTGAAATTTACACATACCTGCAACCATCCATTAAAAATATATTAGTTTGAAATGTCTATTATTGAGTTTACACATCCTTTTTATCACCGGCTATACAGATATCAGTGTAACTATGACTATAGTGTTTGAATATTTGTGGTAGAAACAGTGTCCAGTTCCTGTCTGTTCTCTAAAAAGTGCAGAATCCAAATAAATGAGAACAACAATTCAGCATAAGTTTATTCCATGATGATCAATAGAAAATAAAATATCAGTATCGATTCAAATAAAGTCAAGGCCAAAATAAAATGAAAAATACAAAAAAATGTATTGATACAAAACCTAGAAGGTTATAGTAAAGCATTTGCTACTAAGAGAAATGATGTTTACCGAATAAAAACATTAAGGAGCAAATATCAAGACTTTCAAGTAGAGAACATTACCATGGGTCTTTCCATACTTTTGTACATATTTTACATTATCTTCTATTTTAATACAGCTTTCAGAACATTAATAGTTGTAATAGGAATTATAATCATAACAATATGAAGAAAACTAATAGAAACGTTCAAATGAATGTGTTTCTCTGTAAAGTGGTACTTCACCATTTAATTTTTTCCCTACAGAGAACAGAGAAACAGTGCACCTTGAAAATATTTTTTAATACGCTTTCATTCCCAGCATTGTAAGGTGAGGTGTAAATGACAAATATAGATTCCACTAAACCATACACACAGTCACAAAAAGTACAAAATTGTCTCACCTTAATACACAAATTTGTTTAGAAAAAGGAGAAACAAAAGCACTATACAGTTACTTGTGCAAAGACAAACAGCTATGTGCTAATATTTAAATACCATTGGTATAGACTGAACCAAATCATTATTTTCTTTTTTCAGGAATCCCTGACATGAGGTAAAAGTAAGTTCTTTTCATCTTTAGTTTAACACAACTTTGAAAAGTGTTTACAAAATAATGCATATCTTCAGTTCATCAGTACTGTAATTGCTACGAATAGTACAATGTGCCTGTTATGTGCATTGGTCCTTTTATATGACGTGTCATCAACAAAAGGACTAGAACACATTTTTTTTACTCACAAACAATTCAAAGAGCCCTTTCAATGTGCACACAAAATGGAAAACCTACATTTTCATGACAGTATTCGGTTGAATTAGAGTACAGTACGCACTCGCCTACAAATCAAACACTCATGAACAACAGATCACATTAACCCCTAAATATCCTTGGTGCTAATTCAAACTCTCCATGGTAATGCCTGAAAGAGCCCACTTGGGTTTATTTAGTCCAGTATCCCTATTGTAATAGATCAATAAATGATAACTGATAAAAAAGAAAAAGATATTTTGTTGTCTTATATTCCAACTTGTGGGTTTCTGTTGCTCCTTCAATGCATCCAGGGTAAGGTTTCCCTCCTATTAGGTAGGTTCAATCCTACCTAATCTCTTTCAAAGACTCTGTGACACTGTGACAGACAGGTAAGTTGAGACAATGATATGTTGTCACTGTTGCCTAACGAGGTATACTGTATGCAGGAACCGGGCAGGCTGAGAGAGAAAGGGGCGGGGGGTTAGTATTGCTTAGCCTCTCTCCAGCATCCTGACACCAGGACACCCTCTGTCCTTCTACAACACACGCTGGACTGTTTCTGACCTTTGGATGTGTGCATGTGTCTCCTGCCACCACAGGCTCCGAGGACTCACACACTGCATGAAGGCTAAGATGTGATTGCCAAGATTCAGTACAAAGGTTTAATGGAATTACACCATGATCAACAAAGAGCATGTCATGGAAAATCCCAGCACAAGCTATGAGAAATATTAATTTATCCCTGTTATTGTTACCATATATCGTTTTTCTTTCTTTCAGCAGCAAAAAAGGCATTTCAGTAGGGGCTGACGAAACCTAGGTTTGACTCTTAAACCAACTAAAAAAGCAGCATTGTTAATGCACTATGCATCTTAAATTCTTGTGCATGCCCTGCACAAAATATGCAAACAAATGTGTTCATCACATCTGTATAAATTTTCAGCACTGGATCCTGGAGGCTTATCTTCTAAAAATGCTCCTTTAAAGGGGGCTTAACCTTATGCAACCGTTGTTGGTTTGATGAAGTAACACACGTACTCCTACGCTAGGAAATCAAAGCCATTTGCATATCTTGTGCAGTAGTGTTGTTACACAAGCAGAACCTCTTAAAAATGCTGTTTTCGTAGGCAAAATAAAGGGTGCCTATTAGCAAAAAAAATAAAAGGCAAATAAATATCAGAATATTTTACCTAATAAAATAATGCAAGTCTGCTTTTGATATCATAACAGGAGTCACAAGGGTCCGTATTGCTGATCTTTTAAATGATACATAATTACAAAATATAGAGTATCTCTTTACAAAGTTTCTTTTGTTATATAATACATTTTACAGCATATCAACTATGAAATATTAATCAGGATATTCTAAAATTTTAAAATAACCTGCCTGCTAGTGCATTTATAACAAAATGCGTTTGTCGCTTCAAAAGTACATATCTCAAGTTGAATGATGCTATGAGTAGGACAATAGTTCCTGCATAATCTGGTAACTCTACTGGTGCTCTTCACTTTCTGACTCAGCTGTAACGATCATGAAATGGTCTGTTCTAACAACAAAGGGATCAAGTTAAAGTAACGACTACGGGAGGAGATATGCCTTTCTATGCTTGCATTGAAAACTTGCATGATATGCCAAACCTTAATAAAGTGACCGAGGTAATGACATCGTACATCTGATTGTCATCAACCTTAGAGACCTGCCCTAGAGAGTGTCTCACACCTTTGCCAACTGGTCCATCTTTCACAGGTATCAATGTCCTCCTCTCTGACTGGCTGCAGGTTGAACCTGTATGTCACCTCCAGGACAAAGCCTTTGACAGGAGGTTGCAGTTAGTCCCTCTGTGCTCAGCAGGGATGGTATCTGGCACTATGCTGTGACTTCCTTTGCTGGCAGGTGGAGAACAATAAAATGAACGGGACTAATGTGTCTCTCTTCTATATGCCTTTTCTCTTCAATGTAAAAGGCACTTCTTTTGGTCAAAGCCAACAGATGCATTTCTTTTTTTTAAATTTTCACCAATTTAGTCTGACATGGTTCTAAATTGCAGATTTTCTCCAGCCACTGCTATAAAGTTGTGATGCAGATCATCTCATCTGCCAGATCCTCCTCATAAGGAGCTCTCGGTTCTGTCTCTGGCTCCTCGTCACTGTAGCTGGCTGCATTGTCCTGCAGTTCATAGTCCCTTGGAGTCAGAATGGGGAACACATTGACCCCATTGACGCTCGGCGCCATCCCTCCATTGAGCAGATGACTAGCTGCACTCTCCATCTCATCTATTGTCATCTCACATGCATCTGCTATCTCGTGCTTTGTGGCAGCGACGAACTTGGGGTCCTTGGCAAATCTCCCAAGCCCTTCTGATATCAAAACCTGCTCGACAGAATGAGAGGGAAAAAAATGTTACTGTGGATTTTTTTTGCAATCTTGTTTTACTTATCTTGCTTGTCCTATTTTGTTTTGCAGGATAACTCTGCCTGTCAGGATAACTGTGCCTGTGAGTAAGTATTTGGCCAGGCACACCTCCTTTCTCCCTACATCTAGAGCAAGCCTTAAACTCACCGCTTCCACAAGGCTGGTGGCGCTGCCTCTCTTCTGGTGGTACTTGTTATGGTACTCAGGTGGCACCTGCAGGTGGACAGGCGAGTACATCCTATGGGAGAAGTCTGGGTCGTCTGTGTACCAGGAGCTCTTCCGCACTGACACTTGGCTGCTAGCAGCACTCTCCCTGTGTGGGTGGTCCACACGGATGAGAGGGGTGTAGTATGGTGACTGGTCTTTACTGGCCGGGGTAGCAGGGGGAGTGGCCCAGGAGCGGGTGGAGCGAGTCGGGGAGAGGCGGTGGGCTCTGCTGGAGTCCAGACCTGCTACAGCCATAACCTGATGGGCCAGGAGAGACACATGATACAAACACAGGCAGTTGTAGTACTGTCAAGTTGTACTAGTATTCTACTACTAACTACAGCTACCATTTCTACTGCAGGAGGATGTGAGCACAATCTACCTTGCTTCATCAAATATACATATTTTAAAGGAAAATCTGTTATGTTTAATTTAGAGAATGAGGGAAGTAGTACAATCATTTTTAATGTCCATAATGTAATGCAGTGTTTAAAAGTGAGTAAACAGTGCATGTGAGACATGTGCCCGTGTTACCTGGTGCTGCATAAGGTGCAGTGGTAGAGCAGTACGCTGATGTGGAAGCTCGTCCTGGCTACTTTGTCTGCGTAGACACTCAAAGTTGAAGGATGACCTCCTGTTACCTGAGCGAATCAGGAGGGGACCAGTGAGTGAACTCATGCAGGAAACATTGACAGCATGCAACTTTGCAAACACTCAAGGAATATAAAACTGGGTGAGTGGGTAAATCATACAGTGAGTGTTAAATGTTTTGTAATCTGTCGTGACTTCTCATATAATGTCTTCAGCAAGATATTTTTGTGTTTTAGTTTATTTGATATATATATTTAGTTTATTCGATACAATGTATTACCTGGAAAATTGTACGTACGGTCAATGTGTAACGGATGCTGTGGGATACAAGAGGGTAAGGTACCTTGAGGCGTGGCAGGAAGCAGCCGTCTCTTTGGTGACCTCCGTGAGTCGCGGTAGAGAGGCTGCTCGTCATCATCATAGTAACTGTCAGGGTGATGGTAACCTTTGGGAGTCTCATATTCTGTGTCACTGTTCTGGTACCTGTCAACATATAGAATAAAAAGCATGTTGGAAAGCAGCGGTTTGGCACACACTATCCCCAAACTCTTTCATTTTTATTACATTTCTGGTACTTTATACGTGTTTATACATGCTGTCTTTTCTGAGCAGGGTACAACTACGCATAAGATTGCCGCATAAGCTGAAAAGGCAGTCGGAAAGAGTAATACCTGTCCCCTGAAAGCATACTGTCATCTTCATAAAACTCTTCTCCACTGTAATACTCCCCAGAGAGGCGGTCTTCATCAAACTCCTCCTCCCTGCGGATGGTGGGGTGGCGTCCATCAACTCCGTGGGACCTGATGAGAGGTCAGGGCACAGGGGTCAGAATGTGCACACTGCTGATGTTCTTGGGGGGGGGGGGGGGTGGTTACTAGAATAAGGCCATGCACTGCCATGCAGACACAAGCCTCCAGGGGGCAGCAATGCAACTGACCACCCTGATATGTATTAACCACAGTCAAATCAAGAGAAAAGGGAGTTTCAGGCTGAAGAGGATCACTTTGTCATCTAAACATCTCATCCACTTCATCACATCGCTTTGTCCTGTATAAGATAGTTTAAAAACACATTTCTCTTTTGGTTAGGAATTGTGGAGTGAATTCAGTGACGGACTCTTTATTGGGGGGGGGACTAGTGGTGACTAGCAATGCAGTTTTTAAAACAAATTCTTGTACACGTCCTTGTTTTCGAGCATCTGGCATCTTCTTCAAAGCAAGCACGTCACTTTGACACATGCATAAAGCAGGGCTGCTCTCAGCGATATGCTGGCCAACAATTACATTATTTCTCCTTTTAATTCAAAGCACTGACCCAACTGCATCAACAGTGGCAGATGATAACCAGACATATGATTGGCCAGCATATAGCACATAACACTGACTTAGCAAGAATGCAACCATTCACTGATCCAAAACCATAATAAACAATAAAGTCCTTCTTTTGCTGTTGAGACAAATTGCTGGAGCCAAACCTAGAAAATCAACATACCTAACATAGGTCTCATAGTAGCGCCTTCTGTCCAAGAAAGCAGAGGGATGGTTGAGATAAAGAATTTTGGTTAGGAAGGAGAAAGGGAGGAGAGAACACAGAGAAAAGGGTGGAGAAAGCGTGACATATATATCATACAGTATATGAATCATATACAGCATTCTCATATATATGTATGAGGAGGAGAGAGCATGATGGCGGACATCAACTCCAGTGTTGGTTGACAATTCCATTTTCTATTCTTAAGATAAGAACCAAACTAAAAATCATTTCTCTTTTGCAGAGTGGCAGTAATGAAATTGTCCTCCAAACTTATTGGGTACTAAAGAAAAACAGGCCCAATACTGGAGCGGCTGACTAAACAGAACATGGAAAATCAGGAGATATGTGTATATATTGTTCACTTATGAAATTAACCGTCGGCATGAGAGTGGGCTTGTGATCCATTATGAAGTGAAGGGTTTACAATAAAGGTTTGTGAAAAGGGAAGGTTTGATAAGAAGCTGGGTCTTGCCAGTGGGCGTGAAAATACTTATGCAACAGATAAAGTCCACAGGTCTTCTTGATGCAGCAAGCACTCAAGGTATATAAATTAATACCAATGGCTTTTAAATTCCCTCAGTTATGTGCTGTCAACAACTTAAGATAGCTGCGTGAAAGGAGAACAGCGAAACAAAAAATACATTCAGAAATTTCTTCAATTGTTTTTTATCTATGCATTAAAGTTTCAGCCTTCAGCACTTAAGGGGAAATCCATAATCCATATCTATATACTTTGAAATGTTTATACCTGCTGTCAGATGTTATTATTGTGTGATATTCTATGAGCTATTTTGTGTATTAGGTATTTTATGTCTTAACAGTCTATCTCTTCACAAAAATCATGAGAAAGCTAAATAGGAAAGACACAACCAACTAGGGCAGGGCATTAATTCAAAATATTAATGCCTTCATATATGTATTTTGAAAAAAATTCCATACGAGCAAACAAACTTGGACCAAAATCTGTCACAGCATCTTAAATAGTTTTTTTAGATGAGATGACTGATCAAATGATTACAGCAAATATGAAGCTACCTCCTGCAGCCAGTTAGCTTAGCTTAGTGTAAAGACTGGAAATGGGAAAACAGCTAACCTCTGTTTTCCCATTTACAGTCTTTATATTAAGCTAAGCTAACCATCCCTTGACTGTAATAAAGAGTATTTCCCAAAATGTCTGAAAAATTTGACTAATAGGTCAAACTGAATGGTTTTATATGAAACTTGAACATCTTCAAAAAGTTCTGATTTTAACTTAGATAACCATGGTATGGATTGCATTTCAAAAATAGAAGGGATTTTCTGTCATCATTGTCTTGTGGGAGTGTTGAAAATATCATGATGTGATGTGACTTTATAAGCTTAGTTCACATGTAATTTCTACATTTGGCGAGTTTAGCAACAAGAACACAACTCCAAGCAAAATGTGCCCAGAGACAAAGGGTATATTTCAACTCACGTGTCTCACTCTACATCTATTGTTTAAACCATTTCAAAAGGCCGATGATCAGTGTGTGGATACCTTTGACCCTGGGGTGTCCGAGGCTTGTCGTAGTCATAGTAGGAGCTGCGAAGACCTGGGTAGCCATTGGGAGGTGCATGCTCATAGTAACGATGGTGTCCTCCATTGGGCAGACTGGACATGTTGGCATTGTTGAGGTTGATGTTGGTGGATTTGGGAGACTTGCCGTAGGAGTTGTGGTGTCGGTTGTGATGGTGGTGGTGGTGATGGTGGTGGTTGGGGTGCGACATTGCGTTTGCTCGAGATAGGCGTCCCACCGGCTGCTCCATGTGGGCGTAGTGAGGTGGAGGTTGCACCTGTAGTGGTCGCTGTGTGGCGTTGGTCTGATGGCCGTTGGATCGCCGATGACCGCCGTTCATGAGATGGTTACCGAAGAGCCCACCGTTACGCTGTGAAGGAACGCTCAAAGTAAAACCACCAGGGCTTCTTACAAAGCAGCAGAACAAATGTGCTATTGATGTTAAGTCTGGGGGCTGATTTTCTTTCCAGAAATTGTATGAGCAAAAAGAAGTTCAGAAGCTGGGTTCATGACACATGACGTGAGCAAAATGAATGCACTGTTTGCAATTTCTTGGAATTGAAATGGAGGAAAAACAAAGAAAGCCAAAATAAACCAAATAAACAAATTCTACATATTGTAGCAATATAAATTAGAGTAGACAGTACATCTACTTCATATTTTGTTGATTAATATTTCTCTAAGCACATTTCCTTATATAAAAAGCTTTTTAATGTGCAATACCATGAAAAACACTTTACAAGCACAATATTTATATTTCGCTACAAACATTCCTCCTGTCATGTAAAATTAAATCAGTTTACCCTATAAATTTCCTCGTCTTCCTCTGGAATAAAGTCTACTAGCTCGTCATCTTGCAGATCACATGATATCGCTCGGCGAATTTCGGGCCCAATATCATGCAGGGTGCGAAGGCCAGCCTGTAACCATGACAATGAGAGGACTAAACGCTTGACCTTCATCTTTCAACTCACAGTACGAAATCTGACATCATCCAGCCACAACCACCACACATACTGGGCATACACATGCCTGCACTGGAATATGCAACACCTAACATTTACAGTACTGACAGACTGTGAGAGATGACACAGACAGACAAATGTGCTCTCCTGAATGCCACCTGCTGTGAGTATTACTTAGCTGAAACGTCTGACCACCCAGCTGCGCTTTGTCTAACACATGCTGCAGTGAGTGCAGTAAATAATTACTTTAACCCTAACCCTTCCCTTTGTGGGTGTACTTAACAACATTAGCACAACATACAGAAAAAATGTCATTATAAATTAACTAAAGCTGGTCATGTTTACTGCCAATGATATATGGGGATACATTATAGCCATATATCCGACATTATAAGGTAACAGAAATGGCAACATGCTTTGCATGTGATTTTCATGGGTCGATGAGTGAACTGTGATGCACAGAAAACACATGGAATGATAGCTGGAGACAATGACATACGCTTAACATCAACATCTATGATATTTAAAGACGCAGATATGCGAACAAGAAATTCACACACTGGGCACATATAAATCACAGTAACAGATTCATACTGTACACCAAGATCATGAACGTCCTGCTGGATCATAAACCATAACATTAGCACACGTAATGATATTTGAATGAAATGCACAAAGACACATTTTACACACTTACTCAACACAATTACAATGCTCATATTTCAAACAATCTCTCTCCTCTCTCTCGTAAATAACACACAAACACTGGGAGACTCACCTGTAAAGCAATAGCTGTGTTGTTCTGGGAGGGGTGAGCACCCACCAGGCCTTCCTCTTTACGTTTCTTGAATTTCCTAAAGTAGTCCTGTATCAGGAAAGTGGCATAGAACTTCCCCACGGTTACCTCATCATCTGAGTGAACAGACCACACAAATGCTTCCTGTGTCAGCAGCTCACTACACACAGTACACTGGGAGAGAGAAGGAGAGACTCTTCTCCTCCCTCGTCCATTCTCCTTAAAACTGTGGGTCCATCACCTTAGAACTGCAGACAAGTGAGGCACTCTTTAATCCCAATCAACCAAAATAATTTATATCCAAATTATATACATCCATCTTGATGGTGTATATACTGTACCTCAATCTGCACCACCTGAGATCCTTCGCTGTTTCAAAAAGAACATAAAATCAAATATTTGCGGCAAAATCTTTGTCTGTGTTTGTGAACTTTTACATCCGAAGAGCTATCGATGATAAAAGTGAGATCTTCTACATTATATGTGTGTTTGATTTTAAATGTGATCCATGAAAGCTGTGAGTAATAACTACTGTAACTTCTCTGTCCTTTTTCCTTAAAGTTGGGCTACTGATGAAGTGGACGCTGTGAGCAGAATTATGATCCAGTAGACTACAAATAAACTTACAGTACGATTAAATAATGCTGCCACTTGTAGTGTGTAATTAGCATTTACATACAGGCTGCAAATAGAGACGTAAAAATTAGCGTTTTTTATTTTATTTAAATATAAACTGACATTAATTTACCTTTGAGAAACTTTTTTCATATTTTATTGGGAGGCAGGAGGGTGTGTGAGCCAAATTATTTTTTGTGTTTATATTTAATTTACTTCTTCAGCACATGCAAGCAAGCAGATCTACAGTATGCGTCATAAATGTATACTATATGAATCATCTAGTATGTTTGTGTAAAATTCACCTGTTTGTGCTCATATATGCTTTTATGTTAAATTATGTGTGTGCTTGTACTTTCAGGGCATGTTCTTAGATGTATGTATGATATATATATATTTTTTCGACTTTGAAGAGTATGTGAGAATCATTCTGAAGCAGGGGTCTGAATCACTTTGAACAAGCACGCTGGGGATAGAGATCGGAGAGAGAGAGGCAACACTAGTTCCATGCCACCACCCTAAAACAGAACTGCTTCAGAATATTCTGAAGAGCCTCAGAGTTTTGGATACAGAGATATAACAGTGTGAGAAGAATAAGCTGTGGGAGCTCAAGCAGTGAGAAAAGGACAGAGTTTAGAACAATGGAGACAGGCGGAGAAATAGAGAAAGGCCATGGATTAGTGAGAAAGACAGAGCATGCACTTGCACAGTGGTCTACAAGGCCATGCAAGCCCAAAGCCCAGCAGACAGTCAGTGGCCTCCATCAGCATCCAGGGCAGGAGGGAGGAGTGTGGATCAAACACACATGGAGAAGAAACATGAACAGAGCAGAAACAGCACAATACAGCTTTACTTGTGTGTGAGAATGTATGTGCGTGAGTGAGATTTTATTTAAGGACAAAGATATGAAAAAGCAGTTTGGAGCTTTCTGTAATTTTATGCAAACAGCAAGTGGCCAGCATATGGTGTGTGTGTGTGTGTGTGTGAGGTTCGGTGCAAGCTGCTGTAGTTTGGTTTGTGTCAAACTGTAACAGAAGGACTAGGAGTGTGTGTGATTTAATTGACTGACACTGCCAATTTCACTAACCACCAGCAGGGGGTACCACTTGATCCAGCAGCTTCATGCTGGTTCTCTTCCAGATTTTCTTGATGACAGCTCGCAGTTCTTCATTGGCCTGCTCCAGATTACCTGCACCACAAGGAAACAAACACCCCTGAGACACCAGCACTCCAGTACTCAGCCATTTTAAATCCATGCAAGCTCATAATTACAGGTAGTGAATGCATCAGCAGAGTATTGTATGTGTGTTTTCTAGAAGCAGCGCAAGATCATGTGACTTCTATTTGGCTGGTACCTTCTGTTTTGATCTTCAGAGCGGTGCGCACCAGTGCAAACAAAGTGGCGTTAAACATGACTGTGCCGTCGCTGTTCAGAGGCATGTTCATTGCTACCAGCCTCTGAAAGAAGAGAGCAGACAGAGGCCTTTAACGTTTTAGAACAGATGAGCTGAATTATCAGTATTTCTGTGTACATTTTGGAAATAAGATAATAAAAGAAGGGAGGGGAAGAGACCTTGCAAGCAACTCTGTGAGGGCACAATTTGCCAAAGCCGAGAGGAGGCTGGATACGACGAAGGAGTGTCACAACATCCAGGTGTTTAATTCTGCCCCTGTGTGAGAAACAAAACAGACTCAAGACCTTAACTGTCATATTACTTGCTAATAGAGATTCACTCCACAGAAACACACTTTTGGATACTATAGGTAAAACACATACTTTGCCTCTGGGTCGTACTCAGACCAAATTCTCTTGAATTCATCAAGGTGGTGTGGTCCAAGAATGGACCAATCACGTGTTAGATAGTCAAAGTTGTCCATGATGACGGCAACAAACAAATTGATAATCTAGATGGGAAAGATTGCACAGTTTATTATTGAGAAGTGTTATGGCCAATATCATATAACCACTTTGTTTAGTCCTCAAATTATTGTTTATAGAATATCTGTAGAGTTGTATGGGCCTCGGTTGTACATAAGCAAACATACAAAAATCATAATGTAGGAATGATTTTAAATCTTAACCTGTGGTGCTCTAGTGATGCTAGTACAGAAGGCAAAGAACTGTAACGTAAATAACTAGTTATAAGCCAAACAATTTCATTTTTGTGTGTACCAAAAAGGCGCAGAGCATGTAGAAGGTGATGAAGTAAACTATTGCAAATCCACTGCCACACGTCATCTCCTCTCCAGGGTTGTAGTCGGACTCTGGGTCACACAGTTTCCCTGGCATACAGGCCAACATGATCTCCTGCCATGCCTCTCCAGTGGCACATCTGGGGAACAGACAGTCAGGACGGATACAAATGGATCACTCAACAGGCAACCCAGAAATATATACACAAACTAAAAAGAAAAATATTAAAAATACAATGAATCAGTTTCCCGATGAACCCTGGCCCCCAAAATCCTACACACCTGAAGAGAAGGAGCACAGCCTGAGGGAAGGTCTGGAAGTTGTTGTTTCTGTTGATGTGTGTGCCGTCCACCATGGCAACCTTTCCAAACACCTGAAGAAGATATATTGCCCGCATTAATTTGACTGCACCCTTACCAACTCGGGTAAGACAGAGGGAATATACTTGCATCACATTTCTTCACCGACCTGCATGCCAATGACAGCGTAGATGAAGAACAACATGGCTATAAGAAGAGCAACATATGGCAGAGCCTTCAGGCAAAAGAGAGGAAAGAAAGGAGAAAAAGATTAATACGCCGGACTTTAATACTTAGTCACTGATCAGATAATTGTACTGTGCCTCACCTGGAAGGACTTGATGAAAGTCCAAAGAAGGGTGCGAATGCCCTCCCCTCTGCTGAGGAGCTTGACCAACCGCATGACTCGAAAGAGACGAAAGAAGGTGATGGAGATGCGAGCGCTGTCCTCTGTGTTCTGTGGAGAAACAGACCAGAGTCAGAGGACAGGAGAGCAAAAGTGTATGTAGTGAACACAGAGTACCTGGCTGTGCTTTATGGGATGAGGAGGTCTGAACTGAGACCCCTGTGCCAGATACATATGGGCTACAAAGCAACACTACATCTGTGCGTCATGGAAAACTGCATGTTTGGATCAAACCTTGTTTTGAATTTGATGGATTATTTTTTTGGTGTGGTGGCAACATCTATTCGATGTTCAAACTGCAGTTATTCTATACAGCAAGGCTGTAGATTTTAGACCATTTCTGGTCACAACATTATTAAGCAGTGTAGCTGCAGCTGATATGTTTCTGTTATTCTGCGTCCATAGCACTGTCAGGAGCCCTGTCACTGTAAAGACCTATAGGGGAGGAAGCAAGGAGGCAAGCATGCTGGAGAAAACCTTGCCATACTTGACAGGACACATCTGCACAAGCATGGCACCCTCAGTCCAGAGTCACTGCATGCGGAGTCACAGTGGGGCCAACCCGAACGGGTCAGCCAGGAGGTTCACAGGTCACAGCTAGGTGACCTGATCCCAGGGGTCACCCATGGGTCACTACCACACGCAAGAATGGTGGCAGAGACCATGTAGCAGTGTCAACAGTACAAACGTGAGGAGCGGCCCAAAACCACTCCCACCCAACAGGACACACAGCGTCACGTTTGAGTGACACACTCTCCTTAGAAATAACTCCAATTACTCCAAACATTTAGGAAAATGAAAGGCAAATGTTTTGAGGATTTATACAAATGAACAAACAAAAACAAATGTGAGAAAAATTCCCAAAAGAAAAAAAAGAGAATGGAAACTAAAAATAAGCAATAGATCATTGGAGATGTTATAGACAACAGAAAAATACCAAACAAAGAAATGCAGATCTAAACATGGCATGGCCCTGAAGAGGGGGAAGGGGGGTACGGAGCATCTTACCCCCTGATCATCCACCTGAGGAGTCTCCGTTGGCTTTAAAATCAAAGACCTGTATTAATGACTTGCACAGAGCCCGCAGGTCTCACACACATTTGGGCCAAACACGTATACATTACATTTGAAAAGTCTTTCATCACACAACGCCAGTCAACACGTAGACAGAACAAAGTCACTACTCTTCTCATTGACGGGACAAAACTGTCTTATTGTTTCACTATGACAAAGACAGACATTCATGTATCACTGTCTATGTACACTTAATATAATGACAGACACAAAACATTATCTTAACACTTTAAAAGACTGCCATACAACAGTTTTAAGGCTTAACATTCTCCATGTAGAACTTGACAATCGCATGTCATACTGACAAACAACATGAAATTACTCCATCACTTAGTAACATGTAAGACTGGCACACAACTTTATCACTCCCCCGGTGTGAAGGTCATTACTGATGGGATTACATGGATTTTATGGATTGAGATATCTTTGCCGAGCTTTAGACAATGTTAATGAGACGTTAACAGACTGACATGACAAATGTTATGAATTCATGTCATGATAAAAGCTGCTACTCTTACAGAGCCTCATAGCTAATTTTTAGTTTTTCCTGCCAATTCCAACAATTAGACTTCGGATTCAGGTGGCAAGTTCACATCAAAATATGACAAAATATGACAAAAATCATACATTGTGTGCATCATTAATGGCACCCATCATAGGAGTGGAACATGAACGACAGCTGGGATCTCATTCTCCTCTGGGTTGTGATGATTTTATGTAAATCAAATATTTTGAAAACAATGTTTTTTCTTGCTTGCTGACACCCCCCCCACCCCAAAAAAAAGTTTGAGCCTGATAAAATTAAGTTGAAATACACAGTTGCTCACACAAATCCGCACCCAGATACACAGTTATTGTTTGCAATTCATGCCATTAACAGCAAGTAATAGAATATCAGCAGTATTCAGCGAGCATTTTTACACAGAGAAAGTCCCAGTGCAAAATAAAATAGAAACATCAATCATAGTGGTGGTGGTTTGACTGAACCTGTGTAACGAAATTAACTCAGCACTGAAAACAAAGATACACTTCAGACGGATACTTCATTCAAATCCCTCAGCACAATACTTGAGAAACTGTCAGTATGAGGTGCAAAATGAGCATGATGAAAAAAAAGGTAGAATTAGCTTGAGGAGGTTCTTTAGGTAATCCTGGCCACAGCGTTGATGGAACATGCGTTTAGCATTGCTGCGTTGCTGGGAAAGCACTGCACGCACACGCAAGACATTTGAATGATGAGGAGCCATTGGTGAACTCATAGCAATGCAGCAACTCATGCATGTCAGTAGTTCCCTGCAACAAAACTGCCATAGCAGGGCGCTCTCACAGTCCGGTGCAGAAAGAGGTGAAGAAAAGGAGAGAGAAAGAAAGACAGGGAGGAGGAGGAAACCAGAGACGGAGACCAATACTGGGATAGAAGATAAAAAGCCAGACAGATTGAGTCATACTGTAATAGTAAGAAAAGGAGAGGCAGAGAGGTGTGAAGAGGCAGAGAGTAGAGATTTACTGTTGGAGTGTTCATGCACCTGACTGGAGTCTACACACCTGCGCTACACATGAGCTCCATTCTGAGCTTTAAGAGCTCACTACAGGAAGACAGAACAAAACACAGAGACAATCACTCACAGATACACAAACACAAGATCATCAAAGAACCTCAAACTCAGCTGCATTAAACCACCAACAGTGTAAACGTACAAAAATAAGGATCTTCTGATCCACTGGTGAATTCTTACCTGATAACTGAAAGGACGCTTAGATTTTTACTTTCATTTGAGGACTATAACTGAAGACTAATTTAAGTTTTAGATACTGGAAAAGCTTCTATATCTACTTATCTGTTTTAGCTAATACTGATGCATAATCTTAACAATCTGCGAAGCTGCAGTGGCCTACACAACTTCAAGGAAAGCAAAGGATCGACATTTGTTAAAAATCTCATCACGATTTCCAGCTTTTTACAAATTTATTGGCTCTCAGAGTTCTTTTCCTTAATGTTGTGTAGGGTGGCAATTTCCAAGCTCTGAGCTCCAGCGCCATTCTGTCTGGAGGTAAAGGTCGAAGGGTGTGGCAAGAGAGAAAGGGCAAACTTCACAAAGCTCTATGGAAAAAAAACTGACCGGTGGGGAGTGGAGCGGGTGGCCAAGCGTCATCTGTGAGAGGCGGGACATGGGAAGGATGTTAGCGAATGAGGTGCATGAGGTGCATGAGGTGCATGAGGTGAATGGCTGACGCTTCCCAGCATGCATTTTGAGAGGTCACAGTAGTCAGGTCAAAAACTAAACAATCACAAACCTTATGACTGGTAAGGCAAGCAAGTAGTAAAAATCATCAATAACTGAAAATGCAAACCCACAACTATTACAAATGATCCAATGGAAAAAGTTTAATATCTGGTCAGTTTGCTGTGTGACACAAACAGCAACATCCTCATGCAACGCAAACCACAAATAAATGTTAATGGTGAATGAAAGGCACATCACAAGAACCAATATGAAAGCTCTTGTGAAATCAACATCATGTCCCCAAAATTCCCAACACACAAACACACAGCACACCTTAAAGTACAAAATGTACACATGTAAAACACGCATGCATAACAATAATAACCTACACACCCCAACACAACACATGTTTTAAACAAAGTTAGTGCTTGTTTAGACACTCATGCAGACACACATTTTGGAATAACAAACTCAGAAAACATGAAATATAACTCCAGAAAAACAGCACTGCAGCTCAGACACGAGAGCACTCAGGAGGGAGACGGTGGAGCAGGTGGAGCAGGTGTAGCAGTGAGTCTTTGGCACACTTCACCCCTAACACGCACCATCATCACCATAACTATTCCTCGACTTAAAATTTGGTCTCACAGCATTCCTGGTGTTTGTTTGTATCCTGGACTACAAATCTGACAATCTTTACCATTTTTGTAACAGTTAAACTCAAAGCACGACAAATCGTTCACAGACATGTAGTCTTTGTTTTAGGTGTTTTTTTAAACCACAAAGAGAGGAGGATTATTGTAGCTGGTTAAAGCAGAGAAGAAGTAATTTTATTAAGCCTTCACATGGATTTTAAAAGCGACTGACTGATTGATCAATACTGAAATGGGCTTTTAATTAAAACTGAATCTGGGTTACTGTGCTACAAAACTGCAAAAATCTACTTTTTCCTGAGTCAATAAAACAATAGACGACCAATTTGCTTTTTTATCCACTGTTAAGGGGTCCCCAAAGATAAAGTTGTTATACAACAGTTTTACACACAGAAAACATTATTGTTCATTGCCATACTTGCCTCTACAAGTTTCTATGGAAACAAAACGAACAAGAATAAGAATTAGACAACCACATCACAAATCATCCTGCTCTGAACCAAATACAGGGGTCAGTTCACAAAGAAAACATGAGAGATTCCTGTTTTTGGCACGTATTTTCACTGCCATGTCCAAGGGGTTAACAATCAGCATGTTTATCAGACATTTTGTCATGATCCCTGCCAAAACAGTACTGCAACACACTGACCACAAAACATTTAGCAGAGGCAAAAGTCCAACAAGATAGACTATTCAATTAACTCAGTATAATGTGGCTGCAGCACTAATAAAAACAGGACATAAATGAAGGTCAAACTGAAGCTTTACAGAATAAGCCAATGGCACTTTCACATCTATGAATGCCTTTCCACAAATAACATTGCAAAGTTTTAGCAGGGTAAGTATCATAATAGTGATGGAAGCTTTTAGTTCAGCAGATACAATCTTTAAAGTAGAGGCCACAACTGAATACACCAGACATTCCCAAATTAAGTGTGAGGGGTCGTCAGATGATTAAAAACATAAGGGAAAACATTTCTGAGACATTTTTATTTAAAACCTGTTTATACTACTTACTTTTACCTATTAACAGTGTTAAAATCCTTAAAATGAACAACAATAATAGAAGAATTGATCCTCCTTGATTGATCTGTGCTGAACTCCTATCCAGAGGGTCAAGCAGACATTTGCTTCATATTTAGGGTCCTCATGAGAAAAAATTTGGGACCAACTGCACTATCAAATTTCAACAAATAATTCAGGAAATCACCATGTGGCTTTCCTGTAAGGCTTCAGTTCAACTTGGGAGGCAGAAAAAAGGAGTACTTACATTGACTTCAGTGATAGCGATATCAACGACGCTACCAACAACAATTAAGGCATCAAATGTGTTCCAAGCATCAGCGAAATAGTGCTGTTAATGCATGGCGTTACATGTAAGGGCAAAGATGGGAATGAAAGGGAAGAGACAGTGAAGAGAAGGAGAGGGAAACGGAATCAGACAGATAATCAGGGAAGAGTGGAAAGTAAAGAGGGAACGGGCGAAAGGTCGTAATGAAATGGCAGGATCAGGGGGAGAACAAGAGAGAAAAAAAAAGGAGATAAAGTATTAACAGTGATCAGATATAAAGCCAGAAATCTTGAGTCCTGCCATAGAAACCTGCAGTGTGAGCCGAGGTGGCCTGAACATGAGAGCGAGGTCAGAGAGCAGCGGGTCTTGTTGTAGCTGAGATTACTTACATCAATCTCACTGAGAACAATATCAACTATGCTGCCAATCACAACCAGTGCGTCGAACACATTCCAGGCATCCCCAAAATAGCCCTGAGTGAGGTGGAGCAAGTGATGGGCAAGTTGGATGTGAGATCCGCACAAACAAAAAAAAAGTCTTTACTTGTACACTGAAATTCATATACAGTACACTTATTCTGATCATTTAAAACACACAGACCCCTGCTGGCTACTTCAGCTGGAGGGCCCATGATTGTAATGCACTGATTTATACAAATTGTGGTTGAGCTGCAGAGCACTCAATCTGCACCAAATTGATGTTAATACTAATATTACTTGCAAAAAGACTGCTGCCAAGAACTTGACAAACAGTGAATGCTATTATAGAGAAGAAAAAAAAAGGAAAGTCAGCACTGCACCCCACACGCTTACTAGCATCCTGTCCTTCTTCGCGACACAGAGCTGTTGGCAATTGAGGGGGAAAAAACAACTGGCTCATCAGTTTGCACACCTTCACATATGCTGCTCCATTCTTAAACATTTTAAGAAGTTGAAACATCTCTTTCCGAAAGTTAGATGAGAGGATGGAATTATCACTCAGATATAGCCAGGAGAATGTTAGTTTAGCTTAGCATAAAGACTGGAAACAGGATGAGACAGCTTGTCTGGCTCTGTCCGAAGTTAATCCGCAAAACGATGTGGTTCCACAGAGGTTATGTGTTGGACTATCTCTTGGCCTGGAGCAGTAATGTCTACTCACCAGCATCAGAGAAGCTGACATGTGACTTTTTACCTTTTGGTCAGGCCAGAAAGGTTTTTCCTTGTTCTCAGTTTTACTGCTAAGCTAGGTTGGCCATAGCTTCATATTTGACAGACTAAGGAAAGGTGCTATTGATCTTATAGCAAATAAGTGTACTTCTCAGTATCAAAGAATTCCTTTGATAAATAAAACTGTATCAATTAATGTATGTTAAAGTAGGACATCTGTGTGTGCCTTGCTGTTTATTTGGGTAAGTATCTCCGTCTCTGTTTGATAGTAGATATGGGTGTCTGTGAAGACATTTGTAATATGACTCACCCTAGGTTTGAAAGCGATGAGTTTGAGAAACATTTCCACAGTGAAGACAGCGGTGAAGACCATATTAAGAATGTCCATTACATAGTTAAAGAGTGCCGACTGGCCATAGTGCTGCAGAAAAGACATAAAGAGGGGTGGTTAAAGAAAACGGAAGAAAAGGGAGCGGTTATATTATTTTATGCACTTAATTAACTTAAGCCGTAACAAAGTCTGTTCTAGTCAGCAAGAAAAAATAAATAAATGACATGTAATAATTTTCTTTTTTTAAACTGGCGGAACATTGATGGTGTATATTTTGACTTCAGTCCATTTATATCCTCGTCCTTGGGATTGCTTGCATTGATGTCCTTTTTTGATAATACCACTAGAGGGTGCCAATGTCAAAACCTTTTAAATTGCACACATAGTAACTTGATAAAAACGACACTGCTTAAAGTAATTACGGCAGTGATGCAAGTAGAAAGTTGACAGTTAAGTTACTGGTAACAAAATAAAACAATTCATCAATACTAATGACAATATTTTTGGTAGATCATTGCACTGATCAATGCCTATTACCTGTAAATATATTTGATGTTCACCTTTGTGTCAAATTACAGTGCTACTTAAGAATAACTGTTGCTGTCACATGTGATCGCATTCAACAGAAACAGAGCTGGTTGGCTCCAGTGATTTCTTACCTGTACAGCCAGACAGAGTGTGTTGAGCATGATGAGCACAAACATGATGTACTCAAACCCAGTTGAGTTCACCACATACCAGAACTTGTACTGGTACGGGTTCTTAGGGATGTACCTCCTCAGTGGACGAGCCTTGAGAGCGTACTCCACACACTGACGCTGCACAGAAACATACAAAAGGTTTTAATGCTCAGTTAAGAACACACTTGATACTCTCATTTGAATCCAACCTAGACTACTTATATTAACAATGTAACGGTTAGTTCTAGGATTTTCACAGAAAAAGACCAGATGGGATATTTGTGTGTGAACTGCAATGATTAGCACTTATTGTGCCCCAGCCTTTTCTTCACACATTACCACAAAGTCAAGGCACCCACTGTAGCCTTATTAACTTTTCTGAAGTTAAAATCTTCTAACTCTATAAATAAAAAGTATTTAAGCATTTCAGTGCTCAACATGGCATATTATATACTTCAGTTCTCCTTAAACTATTTTATACATACACACACAAACCGCTGCTTCCACACACCCACATTTTTTGAACTCTGACCTGGTTCTTGTCCAGTTCACAGTTTTTGTACTCTTTCTCTCCTTGTTCCTGAAATGTGACGATCACAAAACCTACAAAGATGTTCATCATAAAGAAAGCAATGATGATGATGTAGATGATGAAGAAAATGGAAATCTCCACACGGTAGTTGTAAATGGGGCCGAGGTTCTCCCTGTTGGAGTCGATTGCCTTGTAAAGTAACCTGAGTAGAGAAGAAAACAGAGACAGTATGTGATCCAGCTAACTGAAGATATCATCTATGAGTGAGTACGAAATGTGTCTCACAGATAAAACTTTTATTTTAACTTTTTTTAAATGGTGTTGATAATATGGAGATCTGACTGCTCGTGGTATCATTTTGAAAGCTTTGACATGTGAATTAAAATTAAAGTCTTACGCAGGCCAGCCTTCAAAAGTGGACACAGTGAACAGAGCCATCATAGCCATGAGGACGTTGTCAAAGTTGAAGTCGCTGTTGTGCCACAGTCGTTTGTGGATGGTTGGCTGGTTCACATCTCCATCCTTATACAGGATGTAGGTGCCCCTGTGAGAAAATTACATGTTGCATGGAGGTTTAGACTGAAACCAGGATAATAGTCAAAAGTAAATAGCTGTGAAGGAACAAGACAAGAAAAACTAACTTGCACTCTTCTGGGCTGGACTTGGCTTCATCCGTGCAGCGATAGAATTTTCCCTGTGGAACGAAACAAAATATTTGCCCTCCAATTGATACTTATTTTAAAACTTTAAATGCAATATCTCTGGCTTCATGTGTAAAACTGCTTTTTTTTCAACCTCAGTGCAGCTGACCTTAAATAGCTGCACCCCTATGCAGGCAAACATGAACTGGAGCAGAGTGGTGACAATCATGATGTTACCGATGGTTCTGATGGCCACAAACACACACTGCACCACGTGCTGTAAGACAGAGATGTTTACACATTGTAGCATCTGTACTGAATTGAGAGATTGTGGTTATTACTGTGGATGAGCACCAGGATGACTTTGTGATGAGCTCTCACCTTTAGGCCTTTCGCTCGGTTGATGGCCCTCAGGGGTCGAAGAACACGAAGCACCCTAAGAATCTTCACCACTGAGATGGCCGAGGACCTGAAAAACAAAAACAAAATGGATGTAGTTTACAAACAAGATATTCCAGAAAAGGATCGACAAACAGCTCATTATTACCGCTGGACCTTTTCCAGTCCAGTCCAGGAACCATTTCAGAATCTTAGCAACCAGGAACTAAATTTTGTTTCTCTGCCATAGTTATTGTTGCCAAAAAAAGTCCATTAGTACTTTCTGGCCCTGGAAAGCATTAACAAATGAAGAAGGGAGAGGGAGCTAAGACAGTAAACTTTTAAGTACTAAACAACTTACCCTAAAGCACTCAGCAGAGTGATATTGAAATAGATGAAGTTACGTCAGCAGAATTTTTAGGTGTATTAGTAGATGAAAAACTTTCTTGGAAAAACCACATTGACTATGTGTGCAAAAAAAATTAGAAAAGTTTGTTCATTGGTAAATAGACCTGTCTTTTAATTTTTATAGTTTAATGTATCCATACATATACTGTAACATTGTTTGGGCCAATAATTAACCATCTTCTCTTCAAAAAATTATTTTAATCCAAAAAACTGTATTTTAATCAAAAAACTGTCAAATCAGTATGAACCATCAGCTCCCAGCACATTAATATTATTTTTATTATAATATATCAAACATATATTTTATGTATAAATGCATGTTTTCAAAATCATAGCCTATCAAAAGTATTATACAAACAGTTTTTTTTACTAACTTTGATTTCCATTCATATCCAACTAGACAAGCAAAGAATATTCATCTCCCTTATTATCATACAACACTTGGACAATATTCCATAAAATACAGAGGACAATTATTTTGAAATATTATTCCCCTCTTTATCAAAAATTGTCCATTAATGTCAGTATTTCAGTCAAACATGAAAAAAATACTTATGTCATGGTGAAAATTTAAGTATGTGTGTTTAAATATGTTTTATTTAACCATTTACCATTTTTCTCATTATCTTTTCTATAATAATTTTCTATAATATAAACTGAAAATCCAGAGGGGAGGTTTTACTATAAGCCCTTGGGGGTTTCTTACCCCTCCTGTATAATCCTTACATTGTATTTTTATATATTTTTATCGGTCTTTTGTGCTACTAATAAATAGAAAAAAAGAGTGCTCATGAAACAGCCAGTTCTGGGATTTGGAGTCTCCTTAGTGACCTTTGCATCCATTCATTATATGCATACAAACATCAAAGGCATGCAAACAAAACGCAATGTTTTAGGGCTAGTTTGCCTATAATTTGTTGTTGTTTCTGTTTGCTTGTACTCACTGGATGCCAAAGGATACAAGGGAAACTCCGACAACCAACAGGTCCAGGAGGTTGAAGTAATTCCTGCAAAATGCTCCTTTATGGAGAAAGGCTCCGTATGTCGTCATCTGAGGAGAGGACAGAGGAAGTTAGAGGAGAAAATTACAGAGAAAAAAAAACATATATTTCACTCAGCACACACTAGACACACACAAAGACACTTACGCTCCACGCTTCAGAAGACTCAGAGATATGTACAGCACAAACTTTTTAAATAGAACAAACATATGCTGATATACAGCACTCTCAACCTTGCACACGCGCACACGTCTCCACACTCTTTTGGATCACTCTGATTCGGGGTGGCGAGCTCAGAGAAGTGAAACAGGAGGCTAAAGCTACCATCGCCACCCCCACGGCCCTTAACTACATGAATGTAGTAGTAAGTCATTCATTTCACAATCTACTATGGGATGAGGCAAGAAAACATGCATTTTGTTGCCATGATGTCAGGGATATTTACTACCTGCAAGAGCTCTAGTTATAGTGATTGGAAAGTCGAAATGGCCTTAATGTCACATTCATGTGGACCGTCGTCTTAAAGCACATTCCATTATGTTCTTTAATAGTTCAGAATAAGGGAAGCAGCTCCCAATTAAAACTTCAGCAGAATTCAGCAGGCAGAGAAGAAAAACCAGCCAAAATAACTCTTCTTCAAATAATAAAAGTAAAGGATTAATTTTCTGAGTGCATGTAAATGTGGAGCCTTGCAGAGGGACGGAGAGAGGAGAGTGCTAACTAGGAGCACTGGAGAATTTGTAAAGTAAAACAGTGATGGACTTTGGCGGGTTTTGCCCGAAATGGCTGCAGTCACAACTCCACATTTCTATGCACTCAGTCAGGGAAAGCAGACTGAACCATGCTCGGCAGGAACATGGTTGGTTTTGCCCCCTCTTTTATGGGTAATCTGAAGAGCAGTCAGTACGAGAGGCATGGTGTCAGCTTTGACTGGAGTTGACTTTACGTCTTCGAACACCTCCCTGAAGATGACCTCAAACTCAACTTCAGCCAATGCCTTAACAATGTCTGAACAGCCCAGTAAAATGTGTTGCATTGCACAAAGGGGTTGCACCATGTTTTACATATCTGCATCATCAAAATCATTTCAGCGATGACTGCCCGAATGACGTGACACCCATGTGAGTATAATGTAATGCTGATGTGATGTTTCCTTCCCCCAACATGGATTCTTTGATTAGTGCACTTTAAACAAATCTTGTGTTTGTGTTGGTGTGTGCAAAGTAACAACTCCAATATTTAGTTTTTGCTTTTTTTTAAAAGAGGTGCCATGAAGAAAAAGTAAATAAGAGAAAGGAAACAAACAAGCCAGGTTGTACTGAGTGGCAGGTGACACACAAGGAGAGAATGCAGCAAGGCTCTCGTTGTCATTTAAGGGGTTACCTTCAATATGATCTCAAATGTAAACATACTAGTGAAGACATAATCTGCATAGCCTAGGACCTGGAAGGCAACGAGACGTTTGGAGTGTTATTGGGGTGAGGTTAGTCACAGCACGGACAGGGGACACAGGGCATTTACCTTCAAAACGATCTCAACAGTAAAGATAGCCGTGAAAGCATAGTCAAAGTAACCAAGTATCTGCAAAAAGCAACGTACATGTTTAACAAAGACAGTTCATTGTGCAGCTTCATACATCATATGTAAACGAGATGAATGAAAAAAAACAAACATTTGAAGCGTTTTCTGGAAAGAGTTTGTTAGAGTAAACACACAGTAAAATTTAATTACTTGCAAAAAGTATCCACTGACTAGTCCATAAAGCGTGAGTTGATTTTACGACGCCATCATTTATTATGCATTATATCTCATAAATCAACTAAACCATAGCTTAGTGATCATAGTGCAGTTAAAGTTATTATAATGCACTGAAAATTAAATTGTTTGATTTACAGGATTGTTCCAGTGTTTTTGCCTGTTTCAGCTCATAAAATATAAATTGCATATCCTTTCTAATAAGTTCAAAACTTCTAAATAGCAGCAGGGGAGGTTCATTTCATATCAGTACAGTACAAAAAAAAAAAAAATGTGCAGAAACCAGACACTAGCTGTGAAATAATCATTGCCTCCTTTTTTTGTACAAACTGTGTCCTCAACAAATTAATCCCGGCAATATTTTTTAAAAACTCTCCTTTAATCTGCATTTATGGACACTGACATCTGTGATGTGTGGGTGAGCTGCTTAAAACACTGCATTCATAAGCTATGTTGCTGGAAAAACAATTCCAAGTGACAAACAATGTCATGGAAAAGATGATAAAAGATAATGTGAACTTTGTACTTGGATTTAAAAGGTTGCTGTTGAGTACCTAACCCTTAAATCACAAATGCTGGAACCGACCAGCATGAGCAGGGTCACCAGATGTCGCCATTTAATTTGGACAGCCCATATTAGCAGGTCAGGAACAGTCTTTGTTCTGGCAGATACGGTCACGCCAAGTAATCTTTTTGAAATGTGTTTTCATGGACAGGATAGATGACAGAGATGTCATACAAGGAAAATAAACTTTATTTCTCAATAATTGTTTTCTATCTGTTTCTCCCTCTCTTTAGTATAAAAGAGTGGACAGAAAGTACAGCTCTAGCTCTCAGCAGAGAAATGACAAAATCTATGAAATGACAAAATCTATGATTTATGGGCAGATTCAGACTCACAGACACCAAAGATAAATGTCCTTTTCATGCTGGTAAAATGATATTATTTTTCTGATGAAATAATTGTTAGTTGCTTCTCTTATTTTAACGTGTACTGAAAAACGCCTTAATTCCTCCTTAGACAATGATATGTAAAAAAAAATGGATATCATGAAGTTCCTTTTGTCTTGCATATCAAATAATATTAACTGATTTAAGTTTTACTGAAACATAAATTCGGGCAGTGTTTGCTGTGGAAAATGTTCAGTGGTCATGTAAAGTATGCAAATTATAATTAATGGGCAAAAACATGCAAAACCACCGGTATGGCCAGTATTTAAAGCGCCAAAGAATTATAGAAACAACTGCATGTCAAACTAACCAAACTAACATTATATAGTAACATAATAATAACGTCACTCTTAAAGGTCATAAATACATTTCTGTGGTTTGTGGACTTACAATATTGCGAGCTGAAAAGTTTCGGATAGGATCCTCAGCAGCGAGTGAGACAGAGCTGAGCATGATGAACACCAGGATGAGGTTGGTGAATATGTGATGATTGATGAGTCTGTGGCAAAACACGCGAAACCTGGAGGACAAAGGAAATACAACATAGCGAGAGAACATCTTTGTGATCTGAGGCACAACCTTCGTGGATGTGTCCATATGTGTGAGGTCTGTGTGAGCATGATGTGTTAAGTGTTTCATACGGGTTTGTGCTGCTGAAGATGAAGAAGGCGCTTCCTTCTGGGATAGGAGTGATCTTCTCCTTCTTTACTAGCTCAGAGATGACCGGCCGAGGCCCCGACGGAACTTCTGGATCCTCCTCCTCTGCTGCAGTGTCATCATTGTCCTCCTCTTCATCCTTACAGAGAAGTGGAAAGGTTGAAAAGGAGCATATAACTCCTCAAACTGTAAAGATAAGCTACTGTATGATTCAGTGTCTGGAAGAAATTAAGGATACCTTGTCATCTTTATCATCCTCCTTTTTGTCCCTGTAATGAATAATAAAGTACAGTTTGAGCATACGGCTGATCATTTAACATTTAGAATAATATTTATCACAGAGAGACATCATAGGAGCTCAAGCTGTCACCCTTTCTTGTCTCCTTCATCCGTGTTGAGAGACTCTGCATCGGCCAAGTTGTCCACAGCGATAGCCAAGAAGACATTTAGGAGTATATCTGAGTAAAGTGTTCAGTAAAGGACAACTATCTCTGTAAAAGCACACATATGTATATGTATGTGTATGAGATGAATGTAGATTAACTCGAATATTTGCTGCTTCATCAGTTCCAGGTGTGTTTGCATCAGTGGCAGAGGATACAGTTTCCGCAGATGAAAAGGATGATGAAGTAAAAGCACACGATCATCCCAGAAGAGGAAGGGCCTCCATACGCCATGATCCCGTCATACATAACAGCGTTCCAGTCTTCTCCGGTCAGGATCTGAAAAAGAACATAATATATAATTTGATTTAGCATTTAGCATTCGCACTCTTTATTGCTAATTGCCATCAGCTTGGTTATTGGTGTATATGGTGCATAATATGCACTAAATACACCAATAAACAAATGCTTATATTGTGACCGTGGTGTACAGTACCTGAAACACTGTGAGAAGGGCTTGGGGAAAGTTGTCAAAGGTACTCCTCTTGGTCTGGGTCTCGTCAAAGTTGAACTTTCCACCAAACACTTGCATGCCCAGCAGGGAGAAGATAATGATGAAGAGGAAGAGCAGCAGCAGCAGGGAAGCAATGGACTTCATGGAGTTGAGCAGAGATGCCACCAGATTACTTAGAGACTGCCAGTGACTATAAAGAATTGAGGGGCAGTAGAGAGATGGAGAGAAAGGTGATTCATTGAACACCCCACATATACTAGACACACACAAACACACACACACACACAGCATGGTAACAGTCTTACCGTGTGACCTTGAAGATCCTCAGCAGGCGGACACAGCGGAACACAGAGATACCGAGGGGAGACATGATTTCCAGCTCGACCAGAATGGTTTCAGTGATTCCTCCGCACACCACAAAGCAGTCAAAGCGGTTGAACAGTGAAACAAAATAGGCCTGTAGCCCGAGACTGTACATCTTCACCAACATTTCACATGTGAACAGGGCTAGCAGCACCTTGTTGGCCACATCTGAAACCCAGAGAAAAAGACTGACTGTTAAAAAAACACAAATAAATGGAGAGAAAGATAACCTGTTTAGGGTGACACATAATAGAGAGTGCAGAGATTTAGCATTTTGAGATAAAATATAAATAAAACTAAATAAAAAATATATTAAATGTTAACTAGAGACACAATACATTTAATTCAAATAAATGAATTAATTTTAGAGAAAATTATCATTATCATTATGCAATATTAAGAAATACTTTAAAATTGTGATTTAAATGTCTACCTATTTTTATTGAAATTTGTTTGATATTTCCTACTAACTAACTAAAGAACCAACAAAATAGGCCAATGAGGCAAAGTGATAACAAATTTCTTTTGATAAGACTCAGATGTGTACTGTAGTGGTTTTCGTACCCTGCACTTGTGTCAGCCACATAGGCTGGTTGTAATGCTCTGATGATATGGTGAGAGTGTTGAGGAACACCAGGATGATGACCAGCCAATAGAAAGGCACCGATTTGACAGCCAACCTGCACTTCCTGCGGCAGAACCTGTTCCAGCGGCGCCAGCGCCGACTGCAGGGAGAGAAAGCAACATAAGTGTAAAGAGCAGTGGGACTCACTTTGCTTATAAATTGACTTAAAACAGAACAGGATCTGGTCACATAGATTATAGCATCTAAACAATAGAATACATTATTAAGGAAATCACTATTATACTTTAAAATTTGTAAAAAGAATGCAGAGGAGTGGGGGGGGAGGGGCCACGGGAGAACTGCATCAATATATATTTTTTGCAAGTCACACTGTATAGTAAATTAGCTGAAAAATACTGCGTAAGACTATTCTCTAAAAATACCTTATGGTACATGCTGACTTTATAAAAGCTGTTGATTTATCATCTGCGGCAAAGTCTCATTTAAATACAGTAAAATGAAAGCCAAGCACAAATAAAACATCCGTATAATTTAATGCAGGCATAGGCCTCACAGTAACAGCGATATGCGTCATGCAGAGACACAGACCTACAAATATACTGACCTGAACTTTGACTTTGAAATTTTTTGACTGAAAGAAAGAAGAATTAGACCATGTTAACAAAAGCAGGTTGTGGCAGAGACGTGTTAGGAGCATTGTTGGATAATAAGAATGTGCCAAACTGTAAAAGTCACTAGCATTACAGGGCAGGAAGACATTCTAAAGTTTATAAAGTAAGTGAGTTGTTTGCATTTAACCACCTGACCATTTTTAAAGAAAGTAGCACTTAGAGGGTAAAATGTGGGGACGGCTGTTTGTTGCTGAGAGCGTGTGACGTGAGAGACTGTTTTATCAATGATCTGATGTACTGTTATTTAAAGTAATTACACTGTTATACTGTCATGTTTCTGAAAAGGTTTGTTGTGCCAAATGCAGTACGTTCTCACCACAGAGGTCCGCAGCATGGCGTCTTTTCATCCTCCCCGTTTTGATTCTCGGTGTTCACAGATTCTGTTTCGCTGGCTGGAACGCTCGCTGCAGCAGCAAATGGAGCAGACGTTTACAAAAAAATAATCACATGCACAAGATTGTTCAGATAGACACAGTGCATTGCATCCCAGGGGGAAGAAGTGTGACAAGAAATAAGATGGAGACCGCCTGCATCACATCAGGCATTTCTGATAAAAGCTAAAAAACTTTGGACCTCATCGGGAGGCAGGGGCTAAGTGTGCTGTGGTGTGCATCACTGCCATCATTAGTATCATTTACCAAGTGCTGAAAGGGAGCTGACATGGGACAGGCGAGTGGACAGCTGCTCTACAAGGGCTGACTGATGCAGACAATAAGGATCAGAGGGGAAGAAGGGAGCAGACCGAGAAGGACAGAGCTCTTAGAGCTGTCTCTGAAATGCTACACTCAAAGTACAGCCAGCGCTTTGGAAAGGCTGTCGGTGCAGACAGACGATGATTAACTGTGTGAAACGTCTCGGTGCTTTAACTCATATGAGGGAATGTGGTGTGTTCTGCTTCTTAGCTTATGTAGACATGTTGGCTTTGATTCCTGAGTGGTCGGACAGCTCTCAGCTCTGAAAATAGTGCTGACTGCTGGAGTAGTGATCTGGGTTTAGCCCTGTTTCCTCTATTCATACTGAGCCCCTGCTTTTGAAATGGGACTTGGGAAGGAAACGGGGCCTGCCTGCTATTAAAGGCAGCTGTATTTCTACTCCCTATCAGACTAATTGACTGTGTTAATGATCTGCTTTTTGTAAAAATTTAGAACCAGTAGACCTTTGAAAAAAACAAGACAGGCAGGAAAAGTGAAAAAGGCTGTGATGCTCGGACACGACGGGTTTAGCACAATAGTAAAACACAAAGTGATGAGGTATTGCATTAGGCCACACACCCACACACACAACACACAATGATAAAGCCACTGCTGCTTACTTGTTTAATTTTCTTAATAGTACCAAACTATTCACCCATAATATATGCATAGATCATTTATTAATAGTAAATAATTTGTAAATAACTATGATTCTTTACTGACAGATGGATGTAAAGTAGATGTATTTTATTAGTAGTATGTTGTGTTGAATGCTTTTCTGCCTGTTCATAACTTTGTTGTTAATTCAACTCTTACCATTTTAATTTGTGAGAGAAGAAGGAAGCAGCAGATAGTATGGTCTGATTTATTTAGTATCAGATTCATTTGAGCATCAACTCACACGCGCACACACGCACACACACACACACACAAACACACACACACACGCACACGCACACACGCACACACACACACACGCACGCACACACACACAAGAGCTAGAGAACACTGGAGGGAAACCACAGGATTTACCATGAGTGTCGGACGACTGGCTGAACCACCCAAACCTTCCTTTCTTCTTCTCAATAAGGTCAGCCAGAGTCACCCCTTCATGTGTAATGCATGCAAGTCCATGCATTCAGACACAATGGCACAGCAGAGGGACATGGGGGGCGAGAATGGGCTGCTATCAAAATGGGTCAGAGCAGACAAGCACCACAGGACAACAACAGTATTCAAAATATCAATATCACACAATAACAATGACAAGAGCAGCAGGCGCCAGAGGGCCTCTGAGGAGGGCAGAGGAACAACATGGAGAGCTGTCAGTCACTGGAAGCGCCTGCAGGTGATGAGGCCCTGCACTAACATGTTACAGTGCAAATTAAAGCATTTGCATGTTAACATGTTAGTAGGGCCTCTTGTATCGTCGACAGACACCAAAAGCCAGGATGGATGTTGAAGAAAGCAGTATGGACCTGCCTCCTCGTAACACAGAGGCTCCACAGCTTTAACTAGGTGCCTGTCACTTTATGGTAAATGTTAGCTGCAACGTTATGTTGCCTCAGTAAAATGCAGAGAAAACGTCTAACTTTATACATGAAGCATAAGGAGGGAAAGACAGGTGGGAGAGTCATCAGGAAATGGACAGAGTACATCAAAAAATGGGGGGGGGGGGATCGTAATGAGCATACAAAGTGCAAAAAAATAGAGATCCTCTGCTCAAACTATAAGATGAATCAGCGGCAGTTCCATGTGTGCTGCTTATATAAAGAGGATTTGGATTAAGAGTTTTTCTACTGCTCAAGTAATATATTTTTTTTTCCTTTTTCACTCGCAGGGTGCTCCACTTCCATCAGTAACATACATTGAGCGTGAAGATAAAAAGGCTCTGTACATCTATGCTTCAAACACCCTTTATGTGTTTACATGAAACACCTCTAGGGAAAGATCTCTTTCTCAGTACATCTTTACATGCAGGTATGTATCTATGTGTTTGTGTCTGCATCTGTGTATGGCAAAGATATACCGCCGATAATTTTGCATTATGAAAGGACCAGTGTGCAGGATTTAGTGGCATCTAGCGGTGAGGCTGCAGATTGCAACCCACTGAATACCCCTCACCCAACCCTCCCCTTCCAAGCGTGTAGGAGAACATGTGTTGGCCACAAAATGCGCGACAAAAGCAAAAGGCCCTCTCTTGAGCCAGTGTTTGGTTTGTCCATTCTGGGCTACTGTAGAAACACGGCACTGGTGCAACATGGCAGACTCCATGGAAGAGGACCCGCTCCCTCTGTAGATATAAAGGACTCATTCTAAGGTAACAAAAACAAAATGATTCTTATTTTCAAATGATTTTACACTACTGAAAACATACTTACATATGTTATATTACATTTCTGCCATATTCATCTAACAGATCCTCAGAAATCTTAAACACTGGTCCTTTAAGGAAAATTTCCATCATCAAACATTATTAAACTGTGTCAATCTGCAATGTTCAAGACATCCCAAGAGATATTTTGCAATTACTGTAGAGTAACAGACCTTTTACTTGCCACCACGTTTGATCAATCTGCGTGATCTATTTCTGCTTCAGTTAGTGATTTCCTACAATTCCCAAAATGATTTTTGAAAAGCTTTATTAGACCCACAGAAGATTTGCATGAACTGGACTATATGAACTATTGATGCTACTGATGGTGGAGAAAGCTGAAGTGCTCTCCTCTGGTGGGTTTCTTCCTGCATGATTGCAAAAAGTTGTTGGAAAATTGTAGTGCTGAAAGAAGAGAACTTGAATGTGGTGTTTTAGATTGATGGCTCTTTGTCCATAATTAACACTGTCTGTATCTGTGCCACATATGTCTCAACGTGATTGACCAGTTATCTGGGGCAGTAAGATAAATAAAGCACTTTACACCAAAATGGACACAGGAATGCAAGAAAAAGCAACCATTCTGTTTCAAACGGTGTTATGGGATAAATGTTCCTTCTCTAGAGAGAAATGATCTATTACCTAATCCACTTCTTTTAAAGGATTTTTTTTTTTTACAAAACTCCCCCTATGACACATTATAGATTTCTGTACAAACTCTGGCAGAAATCACAGCCCTCTCAAGCCAACAATAATAAATACTAATGGACATTTTACTTAATGGCAGGAACAGATTTGCTGTACTGAATGGTGCTTGTGATGCCAGCGCAGCATCACTCTTAGCTGCATGACAGAGGGAGCAGGAGACGGTGCTTACGGTTGCGTTTGCTCTCCTCATCGGCCTCATCCTCGTTGTCGGGGTCGATGTCTTCAGCCTGAGTGATCCAGTCCAAGTAACCCTTGAGATCTTCCTCTAGCTGCTGCTTCTCACGCAGCTTCTGGAAGTCTCCACGGGCTTTGGCCTTTTCTCTCTCCTTGGAGAACTCTCTGGGTTTGCAGAACCACAGATACACAAAAACACGCAAACACATACAAATACACCGGAGTGCATAAATGACCAAAAACACACACACACACAAAAAGAGAAATTGTCTTTCACAGCAAATCAAATCAAATGGAAATAATACTTAATCATCAAAAATAGGGCATTTCCACTGCACCAAATGAAGATTTATGTATTTCCTATATATTGTCTTTGTCCATATTGTATTCAACATATTTAAATATTTCAATCACTTCTCAATGCCTTGTGTGTTTTTGTGAACCCTAGCCACTGGAGGGAGATGTATACCTTTGAAAGACAACAGCACTATATTTAGAGCCCGACAGTACAGTAGCTTATCCTTCAGGCGAGCATCTTAATCATACAGAAAAGGCAATTTAGGTAGACAGATGGTTTCAAGAGACACTCAACATTTGCATGGCATCTAAATTCATAAATTATGTAAAACATTGACTGTGGAAACTACTATATGTAGGGATTGAAAAGACAGGAGGAACATGTATTCAGTGTATGGTTGGATATTGTCATTACTGAGAAAAATATGTATTTTAGCTATGATAATTAAAAAGGTCAAAACAAAGGTGCCTGACGGTGAGAGGGTAAAGCAGCATTTGTAACTGCATTTAGAAAAAGACTGATAGAGATCTGAATGGATGGAGATAATAATTTATACCAATCTAAAGCAGCCGACAAGGCTGCAAGTTTGTCCGAGTTGATGATTATATTAAACTTGTTGGCTTTTTTTTTTTTTTAAATCAGGCTTTGCTGGCTGGTCAACCATCCAGAGTTAATTCTACTGTAATACCCCACCCCCACTCCACAGAGCTGGGAAAGCAAACTGGGGTTTGAGAGAGCTTAGGAGCGCAGAGGGAGTGAAGGGCGAGGAATACGATTAATTTCTCTCTCAGGAGGTTGGGTGGTGTTCAGGATGGGGAGGAAACGCTCACTTTGCAGTTGCCGTGGGAAGGACGTGATAGTTTGACGCCAACAGAGGACATAGAAGAATGCCTAGAATGAATGTACATTTATCTTTAGGTCCTAACGCTGAATAACCAACCACGGGTTTAATATATAAATTTTTTGTACGAAGGCTGTCAGGATCTGTGCATTTGAGTGGCTTACATCCAGAATCTGCAGCATAGAATATATTCATTTATAGGCTAACACTATTTCCCAAACATATCAAGCACTGCCAGGGTGCACAACAAACCACTGCATACATGCCTTGTACACTGCAGACCAAAACCACTGCAAAAGTTGCCTCTTACCCACTTAGCACACCTAATACAAGGTTTAACACGAAAAAGGAGCCCAGTATGATCAGGCTAACAAAATAAATCCAAGGTGTTTCCCATCCGATGGCGTCATTGACCTACAGGAGCCAAAAGTAGCCGGTTAACAGAGAGTAACACATAGTAGAACAGAGAACCTCAGACCTGAAATCAAGCAGAGGGTCTCTGTCTGCAAAGAGAGGAAGGTGCTTACCCGCTCAACACACCCAAAACCAGGTTAAGCACGAAAAAGGAGCCGAAGATCACAAGACTGACAAAGTACACCCATGGAAGCTCTAAGCCCATAGCATCGTTCATCTGGAGGAACAAGCACCACAGAGGAAGGAGAGGAGTGGGAAGAGAGAAAGGAAAGGGTGAAAGAGAGTGTTAAAGTTAAAAACTGCCAGAAAAGAAGAACAGAACAAAGGTTGCCTCTTCTTCAGATGAAGAAAAATAGCGAGCTTGCAGGAATACTAAAGTGCCAGGATAGCATCATATTGTCATTGTGAGTTGTTGAGTGCATTTAATCATTTAGTCAATCAATCATCAGAGTGATAAGAGCTGCCTCGGGAAATTATCAGCAGCTTCATCATCAGAATGTCACTCACATTACTGTTGTGTGTCTGATCTGAGCAGACATTTCAGATGAAGGCGTGAGACAATCACAGGATACTGGGAGGGCAGAGCGAGAAACTCACCCAATACAGCACGTCCGTCCAGCCCTCCATGGTGATACACTGAAACACAGTTAGCATGGCAAACAGGAAGTTGTCAAAGTTGGTGATGCCACCGTTGGGACCTTGCCAGCCTTCCCTGCACTCGCTGACATTGACGGGGCATTGGCGCCCATGCCCTGAGATTGCACATGGAGCTGATTCCTCTTCTGCTATCACATCTACAGAGAGTGAGAGGGAAAAACAGTGTTTGTAATCATCAGAATGTGTTAAGTAATTGCTAAAAATGACTGCATTAGAAATAATGAATGATTTCAAACAGGGTTCCCAAACTATAGAACGTGGACCAGACAACTCCAACCCATCTTTACAATTTATTGTTATATATGGCCTACAAATGTATGGCCCATAATTATTTAACATTTGAGCAAGACTACAAAGATAAAAATGACCTGTTATGTCCCATTCAGCAAGATATTCTTAAATTACTTGTCAGCAGAAACAATCAACACAGGAAAAAAGGCACCGTACACTATCTAAACTTTAAACAAAGGTTGACCTGGAGGACAAATAGTTTCAAGAGAGGTGGAGGTTTTTTTCATGTAGCGTAATGTGACCACCTCACTTCTCATCTGCAAGGAGTAAGCTGCTGTTCTCTGGGACCTTAGAATTAAGTTGAAATTCATGTTGCTATTGGTTAAAATACAATGACATTAATAGTATCTTTAAGGTCAGTATACATAAAATAGCTTAATAGTAGCTGCTTGTTACAGCATGCAAAATACAAGATGTATAGACTACAAATATGGTTTAATATTATATGTAAAGAAAGACAATCAAGATGGCCTACCTGTACCAGGAATAAAGCAGGTTGCGTGCATTTTACCGATGAAAAGCTCCAGGCCAATAATAGCATAGATGATAATGACAAACAAAACCAGGAGGGCAATGTGAAGGAGAGGGACCATGGCTTTAATGATGGAGTTCAACACCACCTGTAAACCTGGACAAGGAAGAAATAAACACATTATATGACGCTTTTCTGTACACAGGTGTGTGAATGAATGAAAAGTAAGAACATACAGCAACAAACATCAGTTGCTACCAGTCTACATCCCTACTATTGCAAAAATATTAACTCTTGTGTTTCCAGATGGATGGTGTTTGCATCCTGCATTATCTTGATCTTGACTTTTAAACGGTTAAGTTAAGAATGCAGGTAATTGGACATTTACTCATTTAAAAGAGTAACAGTAATAACTGTATTTTACAAACTGTTGCATGTATGTAAGTCATGATGGTTCACATTATGGCTGAGGGCTGAGGATATAAAAGCATTAAAATGTTGTTTATCAACATACAGAAGTGAACATAACAGTACAGTATGTGACGATTATACTGTAGACTACTGTGTGTTTTTAGGAAATGGATTTTTTTTCTACAAATTTGATACAAATTCCATCTATAATTCAGTACATCTACAACCCCATATAGTTCATAAATATGTCAGAAGTGTCTGCTCTGAGATGTTTATTTTACAGCCAGAGCCCATGACTCTAGGGCGTTGATGTAGATGATGAATAGATGTTTTTGAACAGTCCTTAGGCATGGTACACAGACCATCTGGACTCATCACGTGTAACCTACAATCCACTGGGACTTATAAGGACTCGACCATTATACAACATATACAGAAAATGTTTGGCAACTCGTATGTATTGGGTTACACTAAGTTAACATGGGTCGACTGTGTGTTGGTATATGAAGCTCTGCAGTTCTCACTACTTACTGGGTACTCCTGAGACCAGCCGCAGGGGTCGCAATACACGGAAGGCTCGAAGGGCTTTAACGTCAAATCCACCTGGTTTTCCCCCATGTCCGTGCATTGACGGATGGTTAGTATCTCCTTCGCCTTCCGACTTCTCCTCTTTGGTCAAAAGCTCCAAGACAACACTGAAGAGTCTGTCAGAAAGCAAAGAAAGAACCTCACACTATTAGTCCGCCAGGGAAAACATGCTGTACAGCACACAATAACGGGTTTGCGTCTGAACTACCACATATTATATGCTCCAGAGGTTCCTTATCTAATATCAGAAGAGCTTAAATAATTAGACGATTGATTGATTAGGTGAAAGACAGGAAATTACTATTTTGGTAACTGATTAATTGTTATAGTACATCTTCAAGGAAGTTTCAGACTCCAAATGTGAGGATTAGATGCTTTTATTTGTCATATACGATAGTAATCTGAATGTGCAATTTCCACCTTTGGCTCTGGACATCAGCAGATAAATCCTTCATGAAAATAATAATTTGTTGCATGTATTTTTACATAAATTAGGTTCAGCATCATAACATTTACACCGATTGTGTCCGACTGCAATGCTGTCTATCAATCATCAAATACTGTCATTAATTAATTTCACTGTCTTACTAGGACACAATTTCAGAGGCCAAGCACTAAACAGAACACACAGCAGATTGCATTGTATCATCCATCATAATTTTGTGGACTCTTCCAGCACTCTTCCTGACAGCTGAAAAGTTGTGGTTACTCTGTGGTTAATGTTGATAGTTTTCTTAGTTTGAAAAACAAGCACCAGGTAATAATGAGTGAATGGTGTTGAACCTACAAGCTAAGTATATGTTAATATCAAGTCATGATAGTGAATAATTAATTCAAACATTAAGTCATTCTATTCAGAAATGGACTTTAGTAAAAATATGTCATTTATCCTCAGATCAATCAATCTCACACATCAATAGGCTAATGTTATTCAGGGACATGATTACAATACCAGTATTTCCCACGCATTGATTTATTTGTGGCGGGCCGCAACATTATCAACGCTGACCGCCACATATTGATTTTCAGCTATTTAAAATGGGTAAAATCGTATTTGATCACAGAGCTGTGCGCAGGGCATTGGCCTATTTTCGCTCAGCACCTCCTCTTGCTGGGTCTTTCTCTGTCTCTCTGTCTCTCCCATGCAAACACATTGACAATGGACCGTGTGTGAATTGAATGCTTAGAATCATGAACACCGCTGCACAAATCTGTCCAACATAACGCTGTCAATGTTGGAGATCCACCTTCAAAAATGTTGAGGAGTCTAGCTAATAAGGATGGCTAAGTTAATGTTAGAAAAATGTGTCATGTGATAACGTACTCTCTGCCGACAACCTCTGTTTCTTGCTTTTGTGTGTCTTTGTCTGCTCTTGGTTCTCAACAAACAACAAACCTAACAACAAAGTCCCGATACAAATTTTTTTTTAAATGAACTAGGAATAGCCTACCACAGCCTAAACCATTCTTAGACATGTCACCCTGAAAGCTCTTTCCTGGCAGAGAGCCTTTTATTTTTCCGTTGTTGAAGTATCATTTAGCTGTGAAACTATAATGTAAAATGCTGCATCAGTTTACTTTACAGCCACCCACAAACCATACTGACATCACCAGGATACAGTGGGATTAATAAGAGTCCTACACATACAGTATATTAAATACAATGCACCATTATTGTTAATAGATCGTATAAAACCTGAACTAGTAGGTTCCATATAATCATAGTATGTATTTAAGACCTGACAAAAGTAAAATAAATTAAATTTGTTCTAACTGCACGTACGTATATTGCAGATAAATGTAGCAGAAGACCTATTTCCTACTGCAGTAACACAGTGAAATCGGCAGTGAATGAATCTCTCACCATGAGAGAGGACACTTCATTACAGTCAGTTAGACATTCCTCACCTAGCCATGAGGGGAAATCATCTCGACACATCACATCAAAGCTGTGGACTAAAGTGAATGAAGCTGCCGATAGGGGCTGGAAGGAGTTCTGAGGGCCTATAAGCGCAGCCTGCTCAGACTTATGTTCTACTGAGTCACAGCTGTAAGACTGACCGCCTGCCACTGGGGTTTCATTACTCATCCAGTCATCTTCAGAAGAAAACCATCCTTCACATATCGACACATTTGTACTGAATTTACTTGAGGAGAACCGCTTTCATAAAAGTGTTCAGGTTTCTTTACTGGTCAAACTGGATAACTGTCTCCTCCTCATTCAAAGAGGTTTAAAATGTTTTAGCCCATTTACTACAAATCACATGTGGTGATTTTATGTGTCCCTGCTAGTCCCCTATCCTCATGTCTTGGTGTGTAGTCCTTGTTCTGTGTTTTGGCTCTGTGTCTGGGTTCTTAGATTGGGTTACTGGTTTGTTGTTTTCAGTTGGGTTTTTCTGTTTCTTTCATCCTGGTCCGCTTGTTGGTCTGTCTTGTCCGTGTCCTCATCTGTTTCTGTATTTTTATCGTAGTGTGTTCGGCGCCTGTCTGTGTCAAGTTACAGTTTGTCTATGTGTGCTTTGTCTGTTTACTACATGTATCTGTGTCTTGCCTTTTTTCCTGTTTTGTTCTGAAGTTGTCTGTGTTTGCTGTCTGTCTGTATGTCCTTCAACTTCCTGCTAGAATGAATGAATTAGCCTCACTTATTATAGTCCTGCAACAGCCACAGATACTGGATGTTTTTTTTTCCTTCAGAGAATTTGATTTATTGATTGCTATATAGCAATCAATCATATATATATATATGTATATTCAACAACAGATGAGGCTATAAAATATTGTGAGCATTTACATACAAATCACATGCATACTCTAGGATTGCTAGGGGACACAAGTATGTCATGGCAGGTGTACTGCTCAGGACCCACGGAAGTGTGAGTGTGAAGTGGTTTGGATGAGCGGTTCTTGAAAAGAGAGGCCAAGCAATCAGCCTATTCCAATCAGGCACGTTTTGAACAAGCACTGCACTAGTCAGATAAAATATGCTTTTCACTGTAACATTATATCTCAGAAGCCTTTGATATTTTTCAACACTTTCCTTCCTATGAAGCATGGTTGAATGAAAAAAATACATGTAAAACCCTCCACCAAGCACAGCTGAAGCTTCAAGCAGCTACAAATTTTTCTAACCTCTATTAAACCATGACATGACCTGCTGTAATCTATAAATACAAATCACACAAACGTATTGAAGCCGGTTGTGAAGTGGCCTGAACTTTGACCTTTGACATGAATTTATATAGCCCTTTCAGAGCCACGTTGACACAGTGATATTTTGACATCGGAGGTTGGCAAGTCTTATTTTAGTGTCATTTCAGTGATTTAGCAGCAACAGTCACTCTTCATAGTGTGAGCAGGGGTCTTTGCATTTGACTGCATGGCAGATCAACCCTGCATGCCGCATACTGGCTGAGATCTGACCCAGCTATCCACTGGACTGTGTGTGCTAGAGGAGAGAAAGAGGAAGGAAGATGGAGGAGAAAAAAGATAAGCTGTGATAAGGATGAAGATAACTAGAGGAGAGTATGCAGGAGATAGGAATGAGGGCAGAGTGAGGTGGGAAAGTGTAAAGCAAGGTGTACAACCATTTGAGAGATCAAAATGGAAGGGAAGGAAGTATAGGAAAGTGCTACAGAGACAAACCCGGAGTAGGATGGGAGAGTGTGAGCGAAAGACAGACAGTGAGAGGAGAGGAAAGAGAAAATGGGAGGGAGTGTTGGAGAAGAGATGAAGTATGGAGAGATGGTGACTCACTCCAGTGGTGGTAAAGCTCTGATTTATTCTCTCTGTCTTTTCTGGGTCATATACTGTGGGTGTATGAGGGTCTCTATTAGCACTTGGAGCAGAGGCTTAAGCAACTTTAACTTTAACACTGACTCTCTCAGAAACACTGTAAACTGCAACTGTCAAACTGAGATCAAAGTGCAAATCCAAACCCCAAATACCAAAACCTCGCGACTGTAAAATAAATCAATTGAAATAACTGAGCTCGAGGACTTACCCTATGACGACAATGACGAAATCCAGCATGTTCCAACCGTTTCGCACATACGCATTCTGGTGCATCACCAGACCATAAGCGATAATCTTCAGAAAGGTCTCAATTGTGAAAATGATGAGGAAGGCATACTCAACTGTTTCCTGCAGACACACAGAAAAAAAGAGAACACATTTTAAATGTCTCAGAAACAGACGGAGAAGAAAGAAATCTTATGTGAACATTTCAATTCAGGAATGTGCTCAATAAAGTAAAGACAAAGCAACTTTTTGTATCATAAACCTGGCCCTGGTTGCACAAGAACGTTAGGAGTTTTAAGAACATTTTTATTTAGTAAGACTGTTTGGCGTTATGATTTAAGTGTTACTGTAAGGCCCTGACACACCAAACCAACCTCTCAGTCCAATAACTTACAAGATATATTCAGTGTTTTGCCATTGAATACACCACAAAGAATCCAGTGGACAGACAGCTGACCAATGACATGCATGTACCCTCTGAGTCTACATGACAGGAAAAAGCTAGTCAGAAATCTGGACTTGTAATTCAAAAATAACAAAACAAAACCTTTTTTCATTAGCTTGGAATATTAATTGAACATAATATTATATAACATATTAAGGTAAAAAATTGCTTAGCTTTGCATAGGTGTTGTTAGTCAGTTATCTCTTGCAACTCAGTATTGTGCCTTTGTGGAAGAGAAAAAGGCAATGACATAAAATAAGGAGAAAACGGCACCAAATGGATGAAAACACCCATTTACAAGGCTGAACAATCAGTCAGAAAACTCGCTGACCGATGCATGAATGTGTCCGAGAGAGGTTAAAAAAGGGACAAACACACTTTAAGTAAAATATTTCAGAGGATATGTAGAACCAGTGATGTAACTCAGCATTGTGCCCTTCTCCAGCTGTTTCAAAGACACAGAGAGAACACAGGAACATCAAGCCATCAGGCTGAGGTCGATTGGGAGGCACACATAGCTAGATAAAGGTGGTTTGTGCATGTTAGTGCAGTGAGGTATGTGGGATGCTGGTGGTGAACAACCACCAACAGGGTGATTCAGCTGTTTAGGACAGTCCTGGGACCTCCCTGGAGACACGAAACCACAGAGAGGCCGTCTTCATCCTTAATGCATGAGGCAGGTCCACGTAAACGCTGCACAAGGGCTGGTATTCATAACATCTGTCCATCATTTAGCTTTTCACATACGATGCCCATTGGGTTCTTATCATACACAATACAGAATACACATACACATGTATATTGTTATATACATAATAACCTTTTCTGCCTGAGGGAGTACTTAATCCCCTGCTCTGTGGGCACCATAAATGCAAGAGCACTGTGGGCTGCGGGGCTCGTTCCCAACAGTTTACTGCAGCTTGTGAGAAGCACTTAGCCCACAATAAGGGACATGGGCCTCTTTGTTACTGAAGTAAAAGGTTGAGTTAAGCTTAAGGCTGCTGCCACTATGACGGAGCAAGCTCGGGCCGTAGGGAGCAGAGAGAACAGAACGATTCATAAGAGGATGGAAGTGGCAGAGAGACAAGCGAACAATTTTAGAGGCATAACAAACCAAAAGGGCCGACAGTAAACTGCTGCTGCAGTAATCTGTTGGTGTAAATAAGGCTGCAGTTAGGTGGTTAAAAAGAACAAATTATTTGTTTATTATTATCATTTTATATGCCTTATATGCCTATATATGCAAAGATCTATAAAAGAAGTACCAAGACGTCGACATATTTTCTATGTAAAATCAGATTTAAAAAAAGATGTTTTCTCCTGTGTGGTCTATAGCCGCAATTGAGTAATAATTGTAAAGATACTGAAACCAGCAAATAATGTATTGTCAGAACAATTTTAGCTTTCCAAGGCAAAGTAAATCTATGCAAATTGCCACTTCCTGGTTCATAAAAGCATGTTAAATATAATAGCAAATGATAACCATTCCCTCTCAATTAAGCAGTAATTTATTCAATGATCAGCATGTTAAACTGTGAGCAGAAAGAGAAAGAGGGAGAGAGATAAAGAGAGTGAGGAAACAGGCCTTTGGGGATGACCATAAATATCTCTGACTCATCTTAGTTTATCTGTGCTGTAAAGAGACTTACTGTATGTAATGTTTCTTTTTCTCATACAGTATATGCATATCATCAGCAGTTAATATGTTCACTTCACTTCCTGCTCTTCCAGGTATACAACACAACATGATACATCACACACACACACACAGACACACACACGTTTATGTCCTAAAATGCACGCTGACATCAGATATTAAACTCATGCAGAGCATGATACCTTTTCCTCCTCAACCCCTACAGCTGTACAAGCTCCCTCCTCTACCGCAGGGTGAGTGTTCTTGTCTACAGGCACAACTCAGTTCATGTCACACACTAACAGATCTCAGATCACCATATGACAAAGGATGCTAACCCGCTGAACCATGCATTCCCCAACATAGTTCTCCATCTGATCGAGCCATACGGACAGCGGCAACGTAAACCTATCAAGAATTCAGATAGGCCTGTGTGCAACACTCACGAGGCTCTGTGCATCTTCATCCAGACTACACGCAGAAAATCACTAACTGAATTTTGTTCATACTAATAAAGAGTAGAAATGGAGTCATAAAAATACAATAAAACAGTTTGTCTTGCAATTACAGCACCATGGTTCATATATTATCATTTATTATCTAAATAAAGACTGTTTTAAACTGCAGCCTCCTGGAGTGAGACCAGGAGTGTCAAAACTAACTACATCCCTAAGCTATTTTCAATTCAATATTTATTATATCAACATGAAATACTGTGCTTGAATATTCATTATTGCTTCCAACCCAGCCATATCCCATCCACCCCTAATCAAGTCAAGTCAGGTCTATTTTATTTATATAGCCCAATTTCACATATCACAAACAATTAAGGGGCTTTACAAACTACAGCATACCAGCACCATCTCTCCTTAGACCCAAAATTCTGATAAGGACTGCCCAAAACAACTCAGGAAGAGCAACAATGAGGGATCCCTCTTACAGGACAGACAAACATGCAATAGATGTAGCATGTACAGAATAGAGGGGGAAACACCTAGCCTGGATCTGTCCAAAGGTAACAACAAAAACAACAAGTTGTGGGTTTTAGGATTAGTTAGTGCTGTTTTTTTAAATATGGTTTACATTTTTACATTCTTGCACAAATGACCAAACATGTGAATAATTAGCTTTAAAGTGCTGGCCATTGGATTTTTTTATAACTTTGGAAAGATCCAGGTTCCAGACACTGGAACCAGTTTCCCCGTTTCCAGTCTTTGTTCTAAACAACACTAATTGGCTGCTGGCATTAGCTTCATATTTAGCATACAGATATGATAGTGGTATTTACTGTATCTTCTGTAACTTAACTCTGAGCAAAAAACACAAATCTCCAAAATGTCACTGTCAAATGTTCTTTTACAGAAGAATATAAATATTAAAGGATAAATTAAACCTACAAAAAGACCTTACTAAATCTGATTTTATATTTTTCCTTGAGACGCTGAACCATTCAACTGTAAAATACTGTGCTGTAAATTACATTAAGAGGATCCAGATATTAATGTATTGGAGTAGTACCTTACTCTGCTTGTTCCTTAGAGACAGATTGAACAAATCTTGAGACCACAAACAATAGTGTCAAGAAAATACTATTAGCACAAACAGGATGCAAACTAACAAAGATCTCATAGATATGCACCAATAAATTAAATGTACCAGTCAAATAGGCAGGGCAGTCACCCTGACTGAGGGTCTGTAATAAATCTCAATGCTTTATGTTAAGTAATGAAGGCATGAGGACATTGGGAGGAGGCCAGTGACCATAAAATATCTCTATAGTCCATTACCAGCATAACAAATGGAAAAGAGAGAATGCTCATTGTATGGTTCAAGGTTGCTAGTTTATGCAACTATAATATCAAGCCAATTTTAACGTCATAATGTAATGTTATAGGATTAGGCTTTGATATACAATCCATATGTCATTCTCTAGTTTTGAGGAAAAGCTGTTCCAGAACATCTGCCAGAAACCACAAAATAAACACTATATACAGTATGTTAGCTATTATTTTCCATTATTGACTAATATTTTCTATTATTATATTATTCCATTAATTAGGTGTATTAAATGTCTAAAAATGTCAAAAAATCTTCAAATTTCTTGTGCTGGAGTTTAGGAGCAGATAACTCCTGAGTTTCAGGAGACGCTACAATTTTTGGATCTGTTTCTGCACACAATATATTTTGTAGGACTTCCCACATCACTCACCCGGCTACATCTCCCTCCCCCTTGCTCTCTCCATCTCTCGCTAACTCTCTTTCCTTCCCCTGTCTGTACAGATCAGTCAGTGCCATCCAGCCAAGCCAAGGGGGGTGAAGGCGGTCAGCATTTAGTGCTTCTTCACCGCCTACTCCTGCAGGTTTGCACAGTAAATAAGTGTGCTTGAGTGTGCAGTCTATATTGGGAAGCCTGTTCAAGTGTGTGTCACGGATGGGGTTTGTGTTCGTGTGTGTCTTTTTAATAAGGCCTGCTACTTTACTAGCTGATCCTAGGTACAATCATTTCACATTTTGTCAGAGCTGATTTATAATTACCTGCTATTTCTCATCAGGAAATAGTTGAATGTGTGTTTAATACTGAACAACTGATTAAATCCAATCAATAAAACAATAACAGCAGTGACAAAATGTCTTGTTGAAATCCAGCAATTGCGTTACAAAATGTAACACAATGTAGTGGACATCTGCTCTTATCCCCTGTTCTTTATCGCTCTGTATAGCCGAGCCCACATTTTTGTATGTACAGTATAAAAATGTGGCTTTGTGTGTAGTGCATGTGTACCCACAGGTTTAAATGTGTGTGTGTGTGTGTGTGTGTGTGTGTGTGTGTGTGTATGCGTGTGTGTGTGTGTGAAGCACTGTGGGGGCGGGCAGGAGTTGTGTGAGGATGTGAATGTCACTCTGCCAAGGAAAACACTTCAAGCGCAGGTCATCTTAAGTTTACCCACACTACCAAGTGAATGTCTTCACAAACAAACATCACACTGAATATTTGTTGCATAAGCTTGGTGATGTATTACTTAGTTTTGCCCTAAACTTACA